TGCCCCGGGCGAGTATGGTTCTCCTTCTTCCAAGTGAAAATGTTCACTGGAAGTGTAAGTGTGCTGCTCACAAGTGCACATTAAAAATAATAATAATAATAATAAAAATAAAAAATAAAATATTTTGTATGTGTAAATAATAACAACTTATAAAAACCATGATTAAAATTTTCATTGTGTCAATAATTGTTTTGCTTTATGAGTATGGTCTTAAAAAGTCCGTCAGTACTTTGCAGAAGCGTAACTATGCGCCTAAAAAAATTAAAACCCTTGCCTCTTTGGAGATTTAACGATGGTTATAGGTAAGGGTTCTATGTGCAGTCTGGACAGGTCGAGTGGTTTTGGTGGATGTAGACTTCAACATCCACCAAAACCACCAACATTGTTCGGGGCTAGATGTGTATCACGTAGCCCCATGAAATATCTGAACATGTTTTAAAACTTCATGTACAATATATGCCAAAATACAGTTATACTCGTTATATTCACCCTTTGTTGGCGAGAACGTTATATCCCAAATATAATTAAGCTCAAAGCAAAAGAAAGGCGAATCCCGAGAGGCGAATACATCAAAACATCGTGGGCATCTATGCCACAATGTGTCCAAAATTCAATCTCAGTCCCTCTCGATCGATGTGGTTTGGGTGGGTAGAATATAATGCCGACCGTTTTCTTCGTGGTCTCGTGTTCTTCACCCAAAACGTCCTTCTGGATTTTAATAGCCTTTTGAAGCTGCTCCAAAGCTGACTTGAAATCTTTTTTAATAATCAAGACATCGCTAAGGTCAACATGGGACAGTGCGGTATCCTGAGTCTCTCAGCAACTTGATTCGCAAATCTAGAGCCTCTCTGCTTTACATTTCAGCTACACTAGCTATTCCGGAATCTGCAGATTCAGATTTCGCAAGACACCTGTACGAACTGGCTATATATCGCAGGATCGAGGCTGTCCAAGGGTGGTCACCAAGCTCATCTTTATACACTGGTGTAGTTTCTGTTTTCCAGATGGGAATTGCTTGTCTATGGTCCCCGCACGCTCTGTAGGTGTCTAAAGGAAAAAAATAGAAGGGCCAGTTTAACGTGTCGAAACGCATATTAGCCGGTGTTAAAATTGTGTTCGAAGCACTTCCACTTCAGTAAACTTTCTAATCTGAACTCCTACTGTAGCCATTAACGGTTTGTGCTTAACTTCAAATTTGTCCTTGTAGTATCAGGCCTTTATAAGGCAAACTGGTCACACGAGAACTGGAAACTTAATCTCGCGAGATAAATCAACTATAACTCAGAAAACGTATTTGATGACATAAGCATTTCAACGGTTACATGTAACCAGGTCAATGCTTACACTGATTACCTAAGAGAAGTGCATCGAAAAAGCCCGGGCTTAGCAATACAACCGTCACCACTGGGTAATCAGGGCAAGATGGTGGGAAATTGAGATTTGTATTAGAATTCAAAGCCAGCTAATTCTTCTTGAGTTTATGTATTTGATGATTTCTGTTTGAAAAGAGTAACTTACGAGTTCAAAGAAACAATACACTAAATCTGGAGTGCAAAGAAGTCCGTGATCAGTTTTTAGAAAACCTCATTTTTTCCATACATTTTCTGTAATTTTGGTACTAACTTTAATTGAATTTGAATTTGAATTTAGCTGCTATCTGTATTATCGGGTTAATTGCCCATAAAAGTAAGGTCTCCTTCAGGCGTAAGAAATTGTACGAGAAATATATTTTAAGATTTTACTAGTAGCACGGGTAACGAAGAAGTCCGATTTCATAACCTATGATGGTATGTCCAGAGATATAACAAGATTTTAGTGTTTATTGCCATGAATAAGCGTTAGTTCATAAAACCAAACAAACTCAGAGGACAACACGGTGCCACAACCATTATCATCACCACCATCATTATTATTGTTACTTTTATTATGGCACTAAAACTCAGGGACCTAGAGTGTCCTAGAGAGTTAATTGGCAAGTACGCACGCGGTCCATATGGTCTCAAAAACTTCACACAAAATAACGTTTTTGCTTCCGTTTAACCCATTTGCCCAGGAGCCGCCCGTAATCGCCGGTGCGGATCCACATCGCTTCTTCCACTTGTAATGTCATCAGGTTTTGTCAGCTAACTTTTGCAGAGTGAAGAGATCTTTTAAACCATATCAAAATGAGTACAATTCAGTCAAGGGCGCAAGACAAAAAAAAATAATAATAACCATGTTACACTGACCGGAAAATTTCCGTAAAAATCTTTTTCTTACCCACCTTAAACTAAGGCTTTCTCGCATTCTGTAACTCGAGTATAAGGATGACTCGGTGAAGTTGACTCGACGAGGACGACTCAACGAGACGATGACTCGACGAGGACAACTCGACGAGGCAAGATGTGTCGACGAAGACTACTCGATGAGTCACGGCAAGGGATACTTGAACCTACTAGTCAGGGTTGTTGACAATTGAAAGCGACATTTGTTTTGCGATATTTCTTTTTTTCCATTATTTTAAATGTTAAATCTTTATTGAAATTATGGTCATTTTTCCATTTCTTATTCGGCTGTTTTATTTCACTCATCAATCAGTTGTTCTGAATACTAAAGTTTCATTTCATTTTCATCTACATAATTATTATATGTAAGAAGATATAACGAAGAGACAAAATTTTCTGTTACTCCGAGTTTCGTGCTCACGCACTCATCAGACAGTATTTAATGGAGAATAAACCTATCAAGTTATATATATACACGCGTCTATTGATTGCAAAAAGCAGGGCAGTGCGGTTCTAATTACAATTAGGCGTGAGGAAAAACTAATAGAGTGTTGTTTTTGAGTCAATTGTTCCTAAGGTAAAACTTGTTTTCGTGGCGGCACTTGGAAATCAGTTCTGATCTTTTATTTAGGATTCTGTCGGGGTTTGCAGTAATGCAGTAATGCAGTAATGATCATTACTGCAAACCCCGATGTCCGTCCGTATTAAGCGGGTTTATTTTAATGAAAATATATAACACCATAATATAGTTAGCCTGTTCCAGGCTCCGAGATAGCTGGGCCCGCTGAATTGAGAATTCGCGTCTTCCCCACTATCTGAGAACCTGGAACAGGCTATCATATAGTCAAATGCCAAATCACTAGAGGGAAAACAACTCTTGTTGAACGTGAAGTCGGGCTAGCCACAATTCTAGGGATTTAATTAATTAATACGGTCGACGAATCAGATCATATTTGACTCTAAATGAACGCCCCGAGTCAAACATAAAATCTGTAATCCAGAAATCGAGTGAAGCGAACTGCTCTCTGTGTCCTTTCCGCCTTTCCGCGTGTTTTCGCACCTTCCTTGTTTGTGTGAGTGTGTGCGTTTGATCGTGAACAAATGCTAAAACGATAGGAAGGGGAAAAAATTAAAAAAGACACTCACTCAATTGCCAGGATTCGAACTCGCTCTTCTCCACCAGCTGTTAGTTTCGCGTGCCGGAAACAAAAAAAATGCCAAATAACGGTGTAAACAGCGTTTATTAAAACAAAATCGGCGAGCAATTTTTGTTTAGGGGTATAGAATGGTAAATTTGAGACTTCGCAACACTGCGAGAGCGAGACTTTACTTCTAAAAATCCGAGCCTGAAACGCTAAGCGCCGAAAATTTCGAGATAACGGTACAAATAAAACTAAGGAAAATGACCCAAAATGCCAATGGAAGACTGTCTTGATGATCTGCTTGCTCAGTTCGATAAGTGTACCCATGAACTCTGAAAAATTGGACTCCTTAAGACCAAAGGGAAAGGAAAGACGACAAATCTGAGACTTCGAGACCCCTCGGTAAAACGATTCAAGACTTCGAGACGCAAAAATCATCAGAAAACGCGACTTCGAGACACATAAAAAACGCTTACGAGCTTTCAAGATCTGGCCAAAATTTTCCGAGACCCACGTTTTTCGAGGCACCATTCTAAGCCTCTTTCTTTGCAAAGTTACTCCACACGTATTAAACCCATGTACGCGAGCGGTGAACGCCGAAGCCGTGAGCAGCGATAACGAGGGTGTGAGGGTCTCGTCTTGTCCTAATCCGTTATTGTAACATCGTTGTTTTCAATAGCCCTGGCTGCGATAAGACCTGGAAGGATTTTAAGATATCAGTCGGACTGCAAGTAGTCTAAGTAGGGTAGTCCTTCGAACCCCGCATGGTTTGCCCCTTTATTCTGGATGGGCTCGTTATTCACCCTTTTCCGATCCACACCAAGGAGCCTGGTCCCAGGCTACCGCTCCCTCAAGGGGTTACGTCCACCTTGGAACTGAGTGGGAGCTGCTTGTGACCAGAGGTACTTGGTTTCTAGTCTCTATATGAACCCACAGAACCGATTTTAGATAATTCCTAAGTGTTAAAGAAATATGTTTGTTGCTGGACGACAATTGTTATTGCAAAGAAACATATCTAATCGCCAGATGTGAAAAACCTCTTTTAATTTGAAAGGCTAAAGATTTTCGTTTTCGTTTTCGACTTTTGCTGCTTCGATCGCTTACTTAGCCTGGAAAGAATAAGGTTATTTAGTACACTGACAATTGTGTAAGAAATCAGTTATAATAGCTTTCTCGTTTCTAAGAAACCTTGGAAATTGATTTACGTTGTCGTTGGGCGTTGCTTACTTGGTACATTTTTTTGGAGCTGTAAATAGACAATTTGGCAAAAAATGAAAATTGATAACCACGAAATTATTTCTAAATAGTGCTTGGGGTGAGGACTTCACTTTCACGATCAATTCAGTCGAGAAAGGGGAAAAGACTAGCACTCGTCACTGATTTAACCCAGTCACGGAATTGATAAACACTTTTCATTCAGCTCATTTATTGTACAGCAGCTTTTTACGTCACTAATTTCTACCAACTGTTAGCGCAGCTTCACTACTTGAGATATTAAAGCTGATACAACTCGCAAACGCTTGATTACCGTCGGACAAAAGCTTCAATGCCAGCTTTTGAATCTTGTCAAATCACCTCATCGACTCAGATGATTCCTGGGACCTTTTCTCTAATTACAATAAGTATCTCCTATTCTACCTTAGATTGTATTTCCTTCAACTGCATTAGTGTTTTCTTCGTGGTCTCGTGTTCTTCACCCAGAACGTCCTTCTGGATTTCAATAGCCTTTTGAAGCTGCTTCAAAGCTGACTTGAAATCTTTTTTAATAATCAAGACATAGCTAAGGTCAACATGGGACCGTGCGGTATCCTGATGTTCTCTCAGCAACTTGATTCGCAATTGCAGAGCCTCTCTGCTGTACATTTCAGCTACATCAGCTATTCCGGAATCTGCAGATTCAGATTTCGCAAGACACCTGTACGAACTGGCTATGTATCGCAGGATCGAGGCTGTCCAAGGGTGGTCACCAAGCTCATCTTTATACAATGGTAAAGTTTCTGTTTTCCAGATGTGAATTGCTTGTCTATGGTCCCCGTGCGCTCTGTAAGTGTCTAAAGGAAGGAAATAGAAGGGCCAGTTTAAGGTGTCGAAACGCATATTAGCCGGTGATAAAATTGCGTTCGAAACGCTTCCACTTTAGTAAACTTTCTAATCTGAACTCCTACTGTAGCCATTAACGGTTTGTGGTTAACGTCAAATTTGTCCTTGTAGTATCAGGCCTTTATAAAGCAAACTGGTCACACGAGAACTGAAAAGTTAACCACGCGAGATAAATCAGCTATAACTCAGAAAATGTATTTGATGACATAAGCATTTCAAGGGTTAATGACCAGATCTAGAAGTCCACATCGAGGGACATGCCATAGAATCGGGTGTCCGTATTAACCCTTTAAGCCCTAAGAGTGATCAGCATCAAATTTCTCCTCGTAATATCACTGCTTTATAAGACACAGAGGTCATGAGAATCGAGGACGTGATCACACAAGGTGAATCTAATTGATACTTTAACAAATTCTCCCCACTACTTCTATTGAAAACGTATAGGGATAACAAAAGAGAATTTGAATTTTGATATTAGGGTTTAAAGGGTTAAGCGGGCTCTCCGAAAACACGTCAAAGCAGGTTTTTTCACTAGAAAACGTTGTTTTATTTCTCAACCGTAACTGTTACAAGTTCATCCTAAAGAAACCAACCGAACTTATGTTATCCCTTGAGTCAGTGTTCTTAAAACACGACAATAGAATCCGTGACGTTAATTTGTACTTGGATGGTTTTTGTCTGCGACCCAGCCAGCTGGACTTAATGTTAGACAGAACCTTTGAAAGGTCATTTGGCCTTTCTGTTGGCTTTTCACTGGTAAGATATTCAGTCCTAGGCAGCGCTCAGATAAACAGTGTCCGTAAAGCGGGGTTGACGATATATGGAAGTGTGCTGTCGGAGTTGAGTGCGTCCGATGTCCGTCCGTATTAAGCGGGTTTAATGAAAATATATAACCTTTTCGTCGAAACAAACGAAACTGTCCGATATATACAGGTTTCCGTAGAGGGGGGTTTCACATGGATACAGATTAATCACATTTTTGAAGCACATAGTAACATGGCCGTTAATGGGGCTATGCCTTTTTATTTTTTTTTTATATTTTTAAAAAGCGTTAAAAAATTTTCGCCGTAGTTGAGTTCCAATAATAATGGTCCGGTTTTATTTTGTCGCATGAAACGGATGACAAGGATGAACATGAATTGAAAATTGAAAAGGCCTGTAATAATCACCTAAATTAGAAATATGCATATTACAGTTCGTGCTCCCTGATAAAATTTGTTTCAAACAAATTTCATCAGGGAGCACGAACTATAATATCAAATTGATATCTTGTTCATAACTCTACAGAAGCATTCTGTGTATGGGGTAAAGGCTTTGCTAAGTAGTGACGTAAGCGCAGAATTGACCTTAAAGAGCAAGTTCCTCGTGGCATAGCCTCCTAAACCCTTTAAACCCTAAGATCAAAATTTGATTTCTTATTTGTTGCCCCTATTCATTTCCTACAGAGGTAGGGGTGAGAATTTGATAAAATATCAAGTAAATTCATCTTCATGTGATCATGTCCACAATTCTCATGACCACTCTGTTTTACAAGACATTGACATTATCAGGAGAAATTTGATGTCGATCACTCTTAGGGTTTAAAGGGTTAAAAGTCACAGTGCAGGATTCAGACCTCAAGATAAGTGGGGGGGGGGGGTCATCCAGAACCTTACATAAAGGGCCCGTCGGGCCTCAGTTTGGTCTAAAATTAAGGTGGGTGGCAAGTCCTCCGGGCCCCTGCCCTGGATCCGCCATTGAGGCCAAAATAATTATCTGAACTAAACCTAAATTAGCAACGTGAAGTCAGAGTCAAAAGTCAGAGTGAAAAAAGACGATACTCACTTCCAAGATCACAATAACCAGCAGCTACATAAACAAGCACTCCAAGCTTCTTCCTCATATCAATTCCTTCTTGGATTAGCTCCCGTCCTTTTTCTACTTCGCCCTAGACAAAACAAAGAATCGTTTTGAGATGCGAACATTTTGGACGCAGGAAAAATAGCTAAAAATGTTCTTTGCTTGAAAAACTAAACAATCTTTAATAATACCGTGATATGATAAAATAATAATTGAATAATAAACTAACCAAATTTCTAGCAAAGTCTAAGACTGGCTAAACTCCTTTTTCTCTGTCTTCACTCATTAGTTCCTAGTTTTTTTTATTGTATTTTGCTAGATTTTCGAACATTCACAATTATTCCACAAGGCAAAGTATGAGGCTACCACTATCACTACCAAACTTCAAACAGAATTTTGGGACAAGGACCTTTCATGACCTTTATTTTCACTGGCGCAAAAATTTTTGACAAACTTTCTTAAACATCGTGAAGAGTGAAAACATTCAAACGTTCTGCTGCCAAGCAAGACATTTCTTTTTATCATAACTTTGATATCTTATTACATTTTAGGATTTGAATGTGATTTTGTATTGTATTTTTAGGCTTTTTTAATGTAGTTCTTAAAGTTTATCATTGTATTTTTATTAGGTTCTTTAAATGCAATAGTTTATGATAATTCTTAATGTAAATTAATATTTTTAAGATAAAGGGCCCCTATGGAGACCAGTCTTAGAGCTGAATGGGCAACCCTGTGTAATTAAAGTTTTACTTTACTTTACTTAACATATAGTAGAAGCCTAATTGCCCCGCAGTTTATTTGGTGTCGCAACCTATAACGGAAGTGTTGTTTAGCCTTATATAATGCTTGGTAACTATAGGAGAAGTCCTTGTTTGACCTCTGAGTCAAAAATAATCGCCAAGAAATTGCCGGAAATTTACATTTGCAATGTCCCGTCGCATCCAAAGTGGAATCTGAATCGCTTTAAAAAATCGCAACAAAAATCCTACGAGAATACACCCGTCTTCAGGATTATTTCAATTTAAAAAATGAGCTCGCTCAGCAAAGCTTAGTCGTGAAATAGGCCTTTTTTTCTAACCTGACATTTACTTTATCAGTTTATGCTACGTCATCATGATCAAAGCATATTTTCATCTTCGGGAGTTTTCTGATGAGCAGTGATTACAACATGCTCGGTCAGCTTCGTGATTTGATGTTGGTTTAAAAAGTAAGTACCTTTAAATTTAGCTGCGGGGACTTTAAAGACACCCTTCGAGGCAGCCTTCGTTGGATAATAGAAAAAGAAACACCTTTTCGAGGCATTGTTCCATTGGCATTAAAAGAGACTTCCCTTTCTCTTATACGTTATGTAATGGAAAGAATAAAATTAAAGCACTTACACACGAAAACTTAATTCTGTTTGTAGTTTTACCTGAAGTGCGTAACACAGCCCAAGTTTGGAGATGGTGTGTGCATGCGTTTCACAGTGCTGTTGTTCCTTTGGCAATTTCTGCCGAATTTCATAGGCCCGCTGAAACTTCTTAAGAGTATCTTGGCTGACCTCTCGGTGAGCTTCTTTATAGAGGCCAAGAAATCCGAGAGCAGTTAGACTATCCGCAAGTCTTCTCATGTCATTAGTTGCTTCGGCAATGTGCCGGCAGCTTTCATACAGTTTTTCACACTCAGGGGGCGGAGATAAAACTTTGGCCAGGAAATCTAAAACCACGGTGGAGGTAGCGACATCTATGCAAGACTCGGTCTCTTTCTTGTCGCCTCTTTCCTGCAGGAAATTTGTGAACATTTCCAGGATGTTTTCTTTCTCCCTCCAAAAGGTAAAAATAGCTTTTTGCGACGACTCTTTGTCGATAAAGTTTTTACTTGAGTCTTCGAGGAGCTTAAGGTAATGTCGATTAAACTTGCGTTGTGCTTTTTTACCTATATCAGCCATGTTCAGAAGTTTTCTCTCAGCTTTGAGAAACTCACGGACCAAAGGATGCAAAACTAACATTTCATCGTCAATTTTGCGTAGAAGAGAGCGACGTATCATCGTAGTCTTAACTGTCTCAGGCTCCGTAGTCTTAACTGTCTCAGGATCCAATGAGTCACCGAAGACAGACTTCATGTCTTTAACGGAAAATGCCGATGGGAAAACTGAAAGGCGAACAAGGTTTGCTTTTATGTTTTCTGAAATATTGAGCAGAAACTGTTTCAGAGCATCGTAAACATCTTCTGCGTTGGTCTCGAAAAGTGGTATGGGATTTTTTTTCAGCTGTGCCACCAACTCTGCCGGGCTGATCGTGTCTTCTTCTAGTAAGCCTGCACAGTTGACAAGAACTAACGGTATCCCAACACAGAGCTCACCAAGCTCCTTGATATACTGTTCCTCACAGTTTGGAACAGAGTCCTGAAGTAATTTGGCAGACGACTCAGAATCCAGACGATCTAGACGCACTTTGTGTATGTTCCTTGATTGAAAACCCACATCCTCTCGAGTAGTGATGACCAACTGAACTTCTGGTGCGTATCGTTCTACATATCGTACAAACTCTTCAAACTGTTTTCCTTGGTACTGTATGTCTTCTGTGTCGTCCAACACAATAATTTTCTTCATGTTAAGCCCTTGCAGTCTGTTTTGTACTAACTTTACAATATCTTGACTCTCTGAGGGTCTACGAGCTAGAGGGTTAATTCGACGGAGGATTTCGCTGCAGACGCCTGTAAGGTTTTTTTGTTTTGGAACGAATATAACAGACTTTTTATGTTTCTCTTGAAGTAAATGAGTGACATGGATTGCAACCTCTGTCTTACCTATCCCAGGAATACCAACAATGATGCTGACGCGTGAAGGATTTGGGTCCTGAGTAAGTTTTTGAACAATTTCTTGCACCACTGCTCCTCTGCCTTCAAAATGTGGCCCTTTATAAGGAGCTTTTTGGTCTGCTGGTGAAGTTAACTGTCCTAGGAAAAAATATCACATATATCTATGAAATTCTTTTTGATACCAAATCCTAGATAGCACAACTTCGATACCAAAAGGTCCACCCCTTATAGTAGTGTGGTGCTGCTTGTACACTGCAGACTCCAGACCGAAGACTGCAGATCACAGACTGCAAACCACAGACTGTAAACAACAGACAGCAGAGCGCAGACTGCAAACTTCAGACCGCAGATATATATGCAGAATGTAAATTGAATCACACTGAAAACTACAAAGTAGAGAGGTAGCTCTTAATTAGTGGAAGTCTCCAACGAAGAGGCAGGAGACAACACCATTCATGCGAGCGTTTTATATTGGACGACATAGTATGAACGAGAACCGGGAATTGTTTGCAGACCTAGACCTCTGATCTACGCGCACTGACCGCGTCACGGCAACTGAAAGCAGGCTGTTGACATGTGTATCAGCAGAAGATCAGGTGATCCCTAGGGGATGTAAGATTACAGTATGGATACACCTTGTGCCTGCTACCTGGAATGATAACACTCCAGCCCCAGCTAAAGCCATAAGAAGGACAAGGAGTTACAGCAGACAGGTATTGGCTTTCTAAACCTGTCCAACAGATTCCAAGCCCCGCAAATGGAGCGGTTCTAGGATTTTTTGTAGGAGGGGGTGCACCACTAACCCGGGACCACTAAGGACTGGCGTAACTGACAGGTGACCTAAAAAATATTAAAAGCGAATACGAAGATAGCCTGAATTTCATCCGATTGCTTCGAGTCGTTTTCTTCTCTCAGCAACGAGGTTACTGAGGGAGTAATAACGACTCGAAGTAATCGGATGAAATTCAGGCTGATACGAAGAAGGGTAGACTGCGAGCAGTCCCTCAGGATGGTCACGCGAGCGAGGAAATCGAGCGAAGCGAGCGAAAGTAAAAAACAAGAAGCCGAGGGGAAGGAATTAGGGGAAGGTGGGGAGGAGGCGCCTCTCTCCAGTTTCCCTCTCGGCCATTTCGCTCTCTCCAGTCCTGCCGAGCTTAGACTTGACTGACTGAAGAGGGACTGCTCGCAGTGTAGAAGAAGGGTAAAGGCAGTAACATAATGTGAACTGCTGAGAATACGTATCATACATATCTGCATATTTTGCAGAATAGCGGTTGTATTAGAAAGCCGCAGGTCATCTCGTGCGGGGGGGGGAGGGGGGTGCACACCCCTTGCACCCTTCCCCTAGATCCGCTTCTGTACAAGAACTGTGTCACAGCCGATATTTCAATGTTATCTTAGTTAAGAACGAAACTCAGTTTTATCAGAGTTGACATTTGAGCCTTTTAAATCTGGTTTCAAGGCAACGAGTTTAAGATCTCAGAAAACCCTGTAGAGATGAGTGTTAATTCAGCCGTGTTACAAGTTGTTTTACCGAAATCCATTGGCAGGGAGAAGTTCGATCGTAATTAACCTTAGATGGGAAAACGAGCGCTGCTTATAAAACATTATTTTTTTAAAAGTTTCCGTCTCTTATGAAATTAGTGTAAACACAATCTAGAATCTGGATATTAGTTATATTCAGCACAATAATCTAGAGTAATTGAAGTGTTCTCAGCTGCTTTACCACCCGCCCTTTGTAAGAGTGGCTTGTTTTTAACTAGGAGGATGTTAGTTGTTTATTCTGCTGTGAATGCAATTTTATATAAAGGACTGGCCAAACATAACATTTGAACAGTGTGAACATACAATTTCTATTACTTCTTTAAGTCACCTGGCTGAATTACCTCCCGTTAAGTCACAGAGCCATGTGAGAAGATTTTAAAAACATATTTGAAGAGTTCCAGTTCTGTTGAGGTGAATTCTGCTTTGCTCTACGGACAAGTGAACGACCCAGTACTTCTGGCACTGTTTGTAACGTTGCACGAAGTCCAGCAAAGTGTTCTGCTGAGCCCCGGGGGGGGGAGGAGTACTCCTGGGAATTCTCGGTAGGGGTGTGCCGCCCGGTTCCTCAAATCCTGACCCGATTTCAGACCAAAAGATGTCATTTTCCACACCCGTTTTCAGAATAGACCTCTAAAATCCATACCCGTTTTCAGCCCTGGCATTTAGGCAGGGTCAGGCAGCACAAAACAATTATTATTATTATTATTATTATTATTATTATTATTATTGCAGTATGTTGTTTAGAATTTCAGGTCTCTTGTTCTGAGATCAACACGCATGTTGAAAAACGTATCCAAAGATTGTCCGGAAACAGGACGAGAGTAGATGCTCTTCCCGGAAACATCAATTAAAGAGATATAAAATTACCGCGACGACCCAGACGTATTTACAAGAAAATATTCAGGGCTAAGAAATAAAGGAATGTTCGAATACGTAGCCAGTTTACCCTGCTAGCGGAATTTTCCTTTTGGTATGGAGTTGTAGCGGTTACGAAGTCGTTCGCACCGTAGCAGAAGCAGGATACGTTAGCTTGTTGGAGCGATATTCAGTGATGTGTCAAGTTCTCCATTGGTTCCGCGGTACTCATGTCCCTGTTTACACGTTTACTTTCCTTCTACTTTTATAAAGAATGAACAGTTGCATGGAAAACGCGGGGGAAAACGTCAATGGGGCGTGAGAAAAAGAAGCTGTATGAACCTATAATGGACCATTTTGTTTTCCCATTGTAGGTCACTGATCCTAAAAGAAATTTGCCCTTCGTCTTGTCATAAATTGTGTGTAAAATGCACACGAATAAGAGAAAATTAAAAAAGAACAGTCCTCGAGAGATATATGTCTCATGCTTTAGATGTTTGTGTTGGGAAAACAAACCTTAAAAGTTCAGACGTTTATTCCTGATATATTTCAGGTGTTCTTGAGGAAGTGTCAAATGAACTGATGAGTTCCACAGTCGTCTGGTCGAAGAAGCAATGTGAGTTAAAGTGAAGCGACTTAATCTGTAGTCCCACGGTCTTCCATCCGAAAATTAATTACTAAAGGCAAGAGAAAATGAGCTCTTGCTAAAGGGTTTTAAAACGACCGCTTCTGCAGTCCCAGAGGCCCGTTTTTAGTCCTCAGTGAGTTCCGTACTCGAAAAATTGGTTGCACCGACTGCCTCCAGACGGGTGCCCGCGAAGAAAGGAGAATATGCAATTATGTATTAAACAATTTCGCTTTTACTTCCGCTTCGATGCGTGTCTTTTATTTCGATGCGTGTCTTTTATTTGCGCTTCGATGCCTCAGTGAGTTCCATTCTCGAAAAACTGGTCCTCCCGACTGCCGCCAGACGGGTGCCCGCGAAGAAAGAAGAATATGCAATTATGTATTCAGTTTCGCTTTTATTTCCGCTTCGATGCGTTTATTGATGCTGGCGCTCTCAGAGTTCGACACTATGGAATCAGTCTTTGAATTGAACATGAAGAGACCAAGTATTCTAACCGTAACCACAGGAAACGGTTAGGTTAGAACAAGGATTACAGCATAAGCTAACATAAACGAACTCCTTATCCGAATAATTTCATAACCACTTCACCCCGCGCAACGAATGATAAAAAAACACAGTGAATATACTCTTCTTACCGTCATCCATGGCTCTCTCAGCAAGCCGAACGAGGTTTACTTTTTCCAGTAGAGTTACCAAATACATGACTTTTCCCGGTCCGATTTTGCCGCTTTCTTTAAGAAAATTTAACAGCTCTCTTGCTGTCTCGACGCGCTCAAGTTTTCCTCTGGCTAAAGTGTCATCTCCCTGGCATAGAAACTTCATGTCGGCCAATTCCATGCTTCTTATTTCATTGGCTATTTGGAGCAAGAAATAATTGAAATCTGCCATCAAGTCTCCACTTCTTACAGCAGATGACGCTATATTCGGTGATTCAACAGAGATTGAAGGGCCGTAGACGCGCTCCTTAGTATGCATACAAAGCCACGTTACGTCCGACGCACATCTGGGGCTTTGTTTGCTTCGTCACGAGTTCTGTACGTTCTCCACATTACTTGGGCATGACCTTTGATTTCGCTTTTCAGGCTTTTGTTGACTTAGAAGAATCTTTCGAGGGTCAGTTTCATTTTGGGGGAAGATGATCAATTTTTTGACATTTTGCAGGGGAAGAAAAGCGAATTTATATTTCAAACATAAGCGGTAGTAGCAATTTCTTCATGTGAGATGTAAAAACCAGTAAGTTATCGCCACTTCTTTTTTCACGGATCGTTGGAAACAGCGGAAATGTCGAAAATTGCCGGTCACACACGGTACTCTGAATCGCTAGTCTACGGTTTAGTCTAGTAACCTTCACCTTCTCGACCTTACATGTACATCAGTCATTCTAAGTACATCTCCCTTGCATGGCAGGTGTTTTAAGTGGAAATCAGGCGCTCTTGGTTCTCTTTTTAGATCTTTTTAATTCCAGTTACGAACGCCTGACACGCTGGCTAACCTACCTCTAGCTTGCGAGACAGGCTTTCGAAAGGGAAGAGAAAGGGGATCGGCCGGATCGCGCTACTGTGGGATCACGCGCTCCCCACCCCACTTGCCTACTTGTGCACATAGGGTAGCGGTAGCTCCTTTACAAAAGCAACACTAGCCTGGGACAGGGGCCGGTTTCTCGAAAGTCCCGGTAACTTTACGGGCCCGAAATCAAATATTCAAATCGAAATATAAAGAATAAGAGCGCGGGTCCTGGCTAGCAAACTACTCCATTTTGTTTCATTAACTGACAGTTTTATCATGTTAGATGCAAAACTATTGAAACCTCGATCTTTAATGTAAACGGAGACAGCTTACCCGGACCGTTAATTATCGGGACTTTCGAGAAACGGGCTCCAGGCTCCCCAGTGGCGGGAAATTAAGGCGGGAAAAGGCCAAATTAAAAATCCCCTCTCCAGTCCACCGCTCGACTCTCTTCGCACGCCGATTCTTTTTTCGCTGTTTCACTTCCTTTCTTACCTTTTTCCTGGCCCCAGACTATTAAAAACAACAAGAAAAACAGGGACTCCAGATCTAAAGTTACCCACTGTTTCCCTTAGCCTTGCATTGCCAATCAAACGAATTAAACCTTAGATTCTCGACCAAAAGGATTAACATAATAAATAAGTAACAGCGGTAGTGAGTAACAAAAGAACAAAAACAAGAACCTTTTGTTTGGCACTGCAGTTGGTCTTCATTAACTGATTACATGTTTGAAAGGCTTACTTGATCGCAATACAAAAGGCCACTTTACAGTCGCTTTTTTTTTCTTCAAACGATACTAGGCGATGTTTAGTTCTTTCCTGATCATCGATATTCCCTATAGTTTGTAACGCATTTTGAATCGGGATTATTCATTTGCGAAGACAGGAATTCATCGAGATTGGATACATTATTTTACTACAGACCGTGTCTCGCGCGGGGTCTCTCGGCCTTGCGAAAAATGACCACACGTGGCTCGCTTTTCACTGCGTAAGAACCGTAAGTGAATACGCGTCAGTAATTTGTTGGAAAATATGTCATCTTTTGGGTAAGTTTATTCCTTAGATATCTTCAGTTGTTGATCATTTCGAAAAGGTCAATTGCTTTCTTGGTAAGTGTAAATGATCCAGGAACACTGAACAATGCTAATAGTGATTGCAGTACTGAAACACTTTTACGATCAGCGCAAGAACGGATGAACGGATATCGACGCTGTTAACTTTTCTTACAAGTTGAAATTGATACGCAATAAGAGCATATCGGTATCAAGGAGTGTGAGACATGAGCTGTTTATTGTCTCAGTTTCGAAAAACCGTTTTGGGGTGGTCTTCTTTGCACGCAGCAGAATTCATGATCATTGCTATAAAAGTCATTTTATCTGTTTGCTTTTATTTAAACTTCTGGCAAAATCGAATCGAGTCGCCAAAGCTACTTTCATCTTTCAAATTGGTGTTTTTATTACAAGCAACATTTTCACACCCCAGTGTTAACCCTGGAGTGCAAAGTAATTTAGGCTTTCCCGGCAGGAGTGGGGTGGGTGGTTACCATGGTACAATACTATTTTTAACTTGCCCGGGGTTTCTCTTCCAGACCGGTAGCCTGTACAACCGGCGTTTTTACAGGGTGCTTAGGCGGGTTTTGACGCGTGAGCGCTCCAAAACCCGCCTTTTTGCCAGTTGCGTCCGTAGTGCAGGCTAACGCAGGTGCTCTGGAGTTTTGTCGCCTTTAAGCATTTACTTGTGGGGAAAACTAGAGTAATAAAAGAACGGCCCAGAGAACGGTTTTTTCAGTTATTGTTATCATTAGTATTATTTTTTTTGCACTAGACTACAGACGAAGAACGAGTGGTGTATTATCTTATTTTTTCACCAAAAGTCCTAGCATGTATACAGGTGCCCCGTCCCCTGAAAAAAAGATTTTTTTTACGGGAGGGGGCGTCTGTACACAGGCAACGGAAGTCCAACCTGAACCGTAATTTTCTGCGAACCATTTACTTCCCCTTCTTTCCAGAGGCTTTATTTTTAAGGCATATCGGATAACAAGGCCAAAGACCGGTGAACAACAAGTGCAGGAATGTGCACTGAATTAGTTTTAGAAAATTTCTTACAACACAGTCAATGGTTGCGCGTATTTTGCTCACCCTTTCTCTGAGGTAAATAAGGGATCACTCGGAGTCTAGTCGCGAACGAACGCTTATGCAAATGCAGAAACAGCCGTGTGTTCGCCATTTGCACATACAGCTCGTTTGCCCCCCCCCCCTCCCCCCGACGCACCCCCACCAAATTTTGCAAAGTCTTTGTATCCAATTTCTCCTGGATCTTACAGCCTTTCCAAGAGAAATTGAAGGCAGCGCGTATGCAAAATTTTGGGAGGCAAATGAGGTGTATTATGGGAGATGTGCAGATGGCGAATAAGTTGTTATAATTCTTCAATCATTCCCAGTGTTCTCTGGTACTCGTCTACACGTACTCGTTCTGGTGGATGAATCACTCGGTAAAGAATCCTTGGAATAAGGATTATTACGTATTACTGTTATCATTGATTTAATTCTATATACATTTTCCATATCTTCTTTTAAAGCGAGGATGGTTATAACACAGACAGCTCTGAGGCATCTTCATTTCTAGAACTGTCGTATAAAACTTTACACCCGAGGGACTCCCCAACGCCTTTCCTTTGCATCACGGATGATAATGACGTCACACATACCCCGGATTCACCCGGCACTCCTATTCATTTCATAGTAAGTCTAACAGAAAATTCCCAATTACTCCTTACCTCTAGTGACGTGTTGTGCTATTATCGTGGCGAGAATTCTACGTAAAACAGTATCTGAATCTTCTTGATTTTTCTTGAATTACCAGATAAGAACGCCATATTTCAACCTTCTGCTCGAATCCATTTTTTAAAATAGCGAAGCCAGACCCAACCCTAGCTTGTTCCATTTTTGACATCCAAAGGCAATCTCTTTCCCAGGGTCCTGTTCTACTCGTCTTACTCGGCCCCTGGAGCGAGAGAATGGACAGGGGTGGGAGAGGACTCTGAAAGCGAGGTTGAGCCAAAGGGACGTGAACACGAAGTCGAACTTCGGTTATATATTTGTTGTACCATGAAGCAATATTTCGAGGAAGGATAGTTTCAGAATTCTTCCATTTTTCGTTTGCAGTATACTCTACTAATATTTTCGAGGGATTGTCTAGCTACTGTATATATAAATCCCTCCACCTGAAAATGACAGTGACAATTTCAAACATTTCAGACAACAATCGGCATTCAATTATCTCAATCATTGTTACTTTTTCCACCTGAAATACTTTTTAATTAATGATATTTGAAAGTGGTTTAATCCTCTAGATACAATAGATGTTTACTGTACATTGTCATTATAAAATAAGGCCGTTTGTTAATTACATGTTCAAAAGTGAAAATAAGTTTAACTTTTAACTGCCAGTGTTTTGAAAATTAAAAAGAAAAAACAATTAAAACTAAGTACCTTTAGTTTAAAATATAAGGAGAACGATAATCGCCTGAATGATGTCACCAAATCTTATTATTGCTGTAAGCTTTTCTTTTATCATTAAATCACAACACAAGACAAACCTTTCCTTTTTTGTTTTCTTCTGTCAATTCGTAACTTGGATGTGACATTTGATCACTTATTATTCAGAGTCCTTTGACTCTAAAAGTAAATATATATTCACAATGGTACGGAATTCATATAACTAGAGCCATGATGAGCGATGTTTTCACCGGAAATTTTCTTTGAAAATCGTTCACGGTAATATGAATTGCCTTCCAATTTCAGGTATGTTTCACATTAAGTGATTTTTCCCATACGCGTGTTACTTCGATGTGCTAGATACTTGCATTCCAGAATCGCTAGCATAGAACATAATTTCCATAACGCAGACCGCGACATTCGTTCGTCACTGCAAAAAACACGTGTCTTTACAGTGATTTCATTTCTGTCACCATCACTGCTCTGTCCTGCACAGCCATAACTTTTAGGTTTAGTTTAACAGGGAGTTCATGACTTACCATGCGGCTTAGAAGAAAAATGTAGGTCCGAAAAGGCTATAATTCTAAAAGTACAGCATTTTCTGCCGTTAGGGAAAATTCCATAGAGTCTAGTATAATCCATAGATCCAGTGAAGAAGTCAGGATCACAAATGACTTTATAACAAGCTGCCGTATAGTTTGCTCTTTTTTAGATTGTAAATTCATCAAAAAGCGGTTATTGATCCTTCCCGTGTGTTAATTTCGAATTACAAGACTTTATTGACTTATTGACGGTTATAACACGTGCTTTATTGTAGCACGAACCTAACGAAAGGAAAAGATAGAAAGCATTTTAAATTTTTTAAGCTTCTACGGCTTCAGTCAGGTTTACAGCAACCCCTTCCCTGGTTCGATAAACCTGTTTCGGGAGTTTACCTCCGTTACTCAACTATCCACACGTCTGGTGCATGTGAATGTGATCTAAACACCTGCAATCCTCTTATCAGGCTCAACATGATCCACGTCCCTCCCTAGTGCTGTTCAAAACTGGGGAGAAGAGTGGAGATGATGGGTGGATAGAACACAGACGTGTCTCGAACATTCCTATGGGGTTACTATTCAAATGGAACCTCTTTGGTAGAGCTTTTGCATAAAACTAAATTGTTTTCTGTGTAAATTATTTCCTTGACCACTATACAGTACTAGGAACGCAAAAGGTTTAAGCTTTTAGCATGTTTTAGGGTCTGTTAACAGTATGGCGTGGAAGTGAAATTGGAGGAAAGGCTATTATCTAAAGCTGAATAATTAGTTACACGGCGCTGTGTGCAGGGCTTCAACGAGCCGTCTCGTTGTGAATTTGTGCACACGACCCTAAACTTGATAAAAATGGTCTGTTTTTGCAGTCGGACTACGAAATGGAAGTTGAATTTAACGACGACGCAGAAGCCCGTCGCAGATTTGAGTCCAGTCTTCCGGAAAACTGGGTCTTATGCTCCTCAAAGACACACAGCGGCCGGTTATACTACTTTAACTCGGTAACTGGGGAGAGCCGATGGGAGCACCCCCTTATACCTGACATGGATCCTCCGGTGAGTTTTAACATTGCAATCACACGACATGTTACTATCATTTTCGTTTTTTTCATTTCAGGATTATTGTCGTGGAGACGAGAGAGACGAGAGATTTTTATTTTGACAAAATTGTCTTTAAATGAAGCATGGTTCGGAAATTAAACGAATTGTACAAAGCAATCCGGAACCTCCTCGTGAGAGACCATCTTCCTCCTCAACCACCATAGAACTCTAAGAAAGAGCGTCTTCAAATTTTTAAAATTCGTCAAGTCTGAGCGAGCGAGAATATAGCTCCGTAAGTTGAGAAAATTTAAAGAAAAAACACAAACCTACTTAACTTGTCCAGTTAAACGTTGAAAAAACAAAAAAAAGAAAGAAAACAATTTGAAAAGGTCTATTAGAATGAAACAGTAACAAGATCTCCTCCAGTAAGAACAAAACCAAGCAACGGTTAGGGCGTGGCCTAACCAGGATGACAAGTCCACCACTCTGACCTCTTGGCCACACTTCCTCCTTTTTGACAACTGAGTAGAACTTGAAAGTTAAGATAAAGACCAGCCGGTAAACAAAAAAAAAATGGTGGCGGTCGCTTATAAAAGGAGCGATCACTCACGATCACGTGAACTCTTCGATTACAGTTCAAAAGGGGTTTCAAATTCAAGATGGTGCATGGTCTTAGCTAGTAGCAAGAGCTATGGCAATAGTTGGAATTGTTGCTTACGAGGGTCGGGTCGCAAGGAGAGCGTCGACTATATTTCATCGTTTTGCGCAAAATATCAAGAGCGATAAATGGAATTATTGAGCAATTTCCTGCTGGCTTAGAATTAATCATTGTGTAATTATAAGCCGTATGGTGATGAGCTGAGATTACGCTTGCAGTATTAAAAGCTGGACAATTCACGCGGTGACTCAAACACGCAATCGCTGTTCGGTCTATAATTGTGGTATAGATTGGCCTGTTGACTGCCCAAGTAGCGGATGCATTCCACGCCTCCTCCGTCATGTTAAGATATCTTTGTTATTTCCGTCATTTTTATCACGAAGGGAAGGAAAAGAAAATCTTTTTTAAGGGATGTAAATAAACAACAGAACAGTTATCCGATTTAGTTTCAAATTTGATAGAAAGGAGCAGTAAACGGAAGAAAACTAAAAAAGGGAGAAAAGAAGAAGAAGAACAATTTTTAATGCTGTTTTTCTGTTAAACCGGGCAACTATTAGTAACAGCTAAAAAGAAATCTCGTTTCCTGATTTCACAGTTGATCCAAGTAATTAACTCGAAAATGAGGAAAAAGAGGAACCTACTGGTGCGAGAATTTCAGTTAATCCCTCAATCCTTGCATAATCTCTTACATGCTTAGCGGCTATCTTTTGCAGCTCTTTCACATTTTTTTCGATCGAAAGCTAGTGGAATTGACAGGAATTGACAATTTTTTCGGCTACGCTGTAGGGATCAACAACAAATTGCAACGGTACTCACGGTCTACGTATTTATTACCAACGCAAGCGGATATCAAAGCTACCCACCCGTAACTTTCTTCAAATATTTCTAATGACTTACTATGATCGAGTGATTTTGTTTAATACCATTGACGTTGTTCTTGAATGTAAAATTTTGGAGTTCTAGTTTTAAAACGGAGGAATTTGTTAAGCCATTTTACTTTTAGGAAAACCTGCTTGCTTATACCCTCCGAGCAGTCACAGCAAATACGCGGCGGTGTCAGAACAAATCGTCCAGCGGTTGTCGTCTGAATTTATCGATTCCCTCCAAAAAATATTCAAAACGCAAAAAGGTTGTTTGGTAAAAATGTCTTAGAAGTCGCTTGGTTTTCCAATCGTTGGTTTTATTTTACAATGCCTGGAAAGGTAAGAAACGTACCTAGGGAAAGGTTAACATAACTATTTGTATTTAAAATTTTATTTCTTAAGTTTCATTGCAATTCTTCGAAAATGTCGTCATATCGATGGTTACGTTTGGTTTCAAGAGGGATCGACCACTGTCATTTGAACTATTTGTAAACTAGTTCATTGCAAATGTTCATTCTGGTAGCGTGAAATCCCAACTCTGGTATAATCTAAGAGGTGCTAAAGAATTAGCGCCTCAGCGGGTTAAATAAACTTAATCTAATCCCTTGCAGAGAGTTCATGCATCGCTCGCTTCCTAAATCACCAGCACCTTGGCGAAAAGTTGTGTCAACACTGTTCTATTCTACCATTTGACGACTCAACCAAGTTTTGACCGCAGACTTTATGTAATCTTAAAGCTCTTTCAATATAAACAATTTCTTCTACAAAACGATCTCCATCAGAAAGTGTTAAACACACACGAGACATCGATTAGAGAAAAATCCTATTGTTTTCTTTGTGTAAACAAACTTGCTCGAGGCGAAACGGTCGATGATTTTTCTTGATATTTGCAGGAAAGGGCGCCCAATTCCTCTTCAGGTTTTATGGTGACCGATTTTATTATGCCAGCTCGTGAAAAGCCTGTCTCCCATCCGCCTTGCGATCCTCCTTTGTGTGAAAGTGTAAGTTGGTATTAAGTGTTTCAATGTTCTAGTTCGAAAGGTACGTTTTAAACTTAGGCAAATTGTTGAAGCTGATTAATTTGCCTTTCTTTCTTGAAGTCTTTGTTCATATTTAAGGTTTTCTTTAATAATTTATGAGTGATCAAATCCACAAGAGAAGATTCCTCTTTTTCAATTAGCCCAATAAATCGTAAATTACAAGAAAATAATTAATAGTTGTCACATTCACGCAATAAGCCCCTGCACTGAAATGCTGTAGATTATTTCAACCTCTAAGTGTCCAAGTTCTTTATTGAAGCGCATATATCTTTAACTTTTTTATTTAAATGTGATTTTGTAAACGTCTTATTTCTCAGATGATCATTGCAAGGATTCTAAGTCTCACCAACACTCACAGAACCAAAATCTTACTGTATTTTAAATTTTTCTTTCAGTGTAGAAAATTGGAACTGACATTTTTTGATCCAAACTGCCCTGGCTGTCAAGATATTCTTTTGGAGTAAGTAATCTTAACGTAATATCCAAATAGAGCTTGGAAATGTAATTTATGTTCATTCAGGTTGATTCATGATCATCTAGAGAGAGAACTTTGAGTAACAAGGGCTTATTTGCAAAAGGCGAGATATGGTATGCTCTTTATTTGAGACATGACTAAGGCGATGACATATTTTGAGTTATACTCTTATGCCCTAGCTACTCTCATGCACTTTTATCAGCTTATTGAGAAAAACCCACACTTATTGATCATGGTACATGTATGTTTAGCAGCATTTCTGATGTGTTAAATTGGTGTAGCTATTAACCCATTCGCTCCTGGAGATTTTGCCAAAAAACGCGTTTTGAAGCTAGTCGAGTGGTTTTCTGGTCACTGTCGTGCTATATTAAAAGAGCTAAAACTTACCACAAACCGGTTTACAGGTCGTACACTTGGCGGCCTTCTGATCCAGATGCAAAGATATCAGCTTGCGAAGTTCGGGCATGGGCAGAAAGCAAAATTTCGAGATAGTTTTTGGGTTTAAAAGTGACACAGCAGTCTTGACTTTTACTTTTCGCTTTCTCTCCTCCCTTCTTTTTTCGCTTTTCTTGCCTCATTTTTTTTTCTCTTGCTGGGCATTTAGTAGGCTTCATTTTGGTGGAAAGACTTTTTGGGAAAGCTTTTAGGATCTTAGGATTAGGTGAAAGGAAAGGTAGGTGGGTAATGGAACAAGATTTTCATGAGGATTTTCAGGTCCTTGTCACATGGTTTTTTGCTTCTTTCTCCGGTGTCCTTGACTGAATTGTGCTCATTCTGGTATGGTTTGAAAGATCTCTTCACTCTGCACAAGTTAGCGAAGAAAGTTGTCCTTGACTGTTAAAACTGATGACGTCACAAAGGGTAGAAAGGATCTGGATCCACACGGGCGGTTACGGGCGGTTCAGGGGTGAATGGGTTAAAGTGTTTAAATAAGCAGACACATTTTCAGTAACATGCAAAAATCTTGAGTAGGTTTGGGTGGAAGAATGACCAATCCAAAAAATTAATAATAATTTTATCAGGATGAGGAAGTCTGTCACCATCAAACCTTGACACTATTTTGCCCTTTAACTTTAAAAGTCTTGATTTTTATAGTTAGGGTGTGCTAGATCACAGTGTCTAGTGTCCCCTGGTGACTTGCATTTGTCAATTATATGCAGGGCACCATGGATTTCCTCAGTTCATACAACTTCTTGACTCCTTAAAAGTTTGCTTTGAAGGCAGCTTGGTCGAGCAGTTAGAGCGCTGGACTTGTAATTCAGAGGCCCTGAGTTCAAGTCCTGCCCTGACCGCTAGCTGGATTTGTTTTCATTAGTCCCAAGTTCAAATCCTCAGCCACACTTGTAAAGAAGCCAACTGGATCATTCATCTCCATCTAGTTGAGATTTATAGCAATGCTACATGTATGCTCCATTTAAATGATTATTATTTGTTTACATGTAATTATCCGTTAAAAGCCCTATAAGAGGAGAGGATATTTAAAGTATTATCAATTATTATTATCATTATTATTATTATTATTATTATTATTATTATTATTATTATAATGTTGAAATATTTTGAATTTTTAGGCCAAAAACAACTATTGCAGAAATTTTTGCTATTATGCGTCAATGGGTTCCACAAGTGCAGCAAAACATTGAAATGTTAATTAGAGAGGTGAGTTCAAGCTATTTTAGTAAGTAAGTACGGTAACTAAGTATTTAACAACTTTGTTTTAAGAGGGTAGCACATAACAGAGGAACCGACAAACTACTGGCCCTTATGCTAATCAGAAGCCCATAACCTGTAGCTAGCAACTCCAAAACTAGGCCTGCATGTATGTCAAGGCATTTTCAAGGATCATTTTATTTTTATATTCATGTTAGAGCACCTTTTCCCATGCAAGTGTTAGTTTCTCTCTGTCTATGGGCACCTTCAAAGTATAAGATTCAACAAGGAAAACTAAACTTTGTTAAAAAGTCACAAATACCATGTGTTCGGCCTGAAAATTTTATTGACTGATTTGTATAGATATTCTAATTTCTCACAATTGTTTGAAAAATAATCTGGTCAATGAAAATGCTGGTGACATTAGTACATGAAAGTTGCTGCTCTGTGTTATGGGCTCCTGCAGGCATCAACTCCTTGCTTTCATTAGATGGCTCCACCTAAGTATTTTTAAACCAATATTGCATGTACAACTATTGCAGAAATTTTTCTCATATTATACATCAATGGGCTCCCAGCACTTGAATATATTATATATTTTGTGAAAAAAGTTGGCCCTTGTGGTGGAGAGAAGGAGAACATTTGATTTTATTAAGTTAAGCATTCATTGTTTGCACATTATAACAATTAACTTGACTTTTTATTGTCAAGTCTTTAATACATGTGCCAGTGGGTCCAAATACACACACTGTGGCTAAATTACATTTACCCCACTGTAAGCTGATCCTGGGGTCTTTTAGTTTGTTTTTGTGTGTGTGTGTGTGTGTGTATGTATGGCATCATGACTGCACATAACTCTATGTTGTATTTTCTCTTCCTTCCTTTTTTGTTACAGCATAATGTGAGCAATGATGTTATCTGACTGACCAAATGATTAAAATAATAATTAACAATGAATGAATTGGGCTGAGTATCTTATGAAGAATTATGGAGATCAAGGAGGGTGTTATCCATTGAGGCCGTAGGCCGAGGCGGATAACACCCTCCAAGGTCTCCCTAATTCTTCATGTGATACAAAAGCCGAATTCAATAACTGTTATTCATTCAAAATAATTCCTGGTTTAAAAACATAGCTTAAAACGTGCTTACCTCCATCGATGTTAAGTTCATCTTCCATAGTGCACGTTTAGGGTTGTTCAGCTCCGCAAATATTCTCCAAATAGCAGATGTCGCGCCCTTTGAGTTGTCTCCCTGCTGTTCATGGTATGTTTTTAGCTATTATTTCACCTAGTTCTTACTCTTGAAATAAGTGAAATGTCTGCCATTTTTGTTTTCACAACCAAAACAAATCAACCTTGTCAACAGGTCTTCTTGGTTAATGATGATTTAACCTGCAAGGAAGCTGCACTTTTGACGTCATCGGTTGATTAATTGAAAAATTTTTCCAAATTTGGTCATCAGTAGCTGGTTATATAATGGTGAATTATGCATGTGCTTTTAGCCAATCAGAATCGGGGAAATATTTTGAATGAATAATAATAGGAAATTTATAATTGAAGCTGTTGAATATATTAACGTGGTTTGAATGACAGGTGTTAAGGCGGGGTGCACATGTTGACGATCGAGACGGACTTACAGACATGACACTTCTTCACTATGCATGCAAAGCAGGGGCAGGTAATGTTACTGTACCTTACAAATTAAAACAGCATACAGTAAGGTCAATATACGTGTAAACCTAAATAATTGGAGAGGACTTGTTGGGAGTTGCGCTGTCATTTTTGGGTGAAAGGTACAGTCATGTAGGGGTTTGTGAAGTGTGTAATTATTGTAGGGTTTTTGCCACCAACTTCCAACAGTTTTATCAGTTGATATTAAATTAATATACTGTCATTCACTTTAAAAGAATGACTACAGTCTGCCTTAAATTTAAATTATGCTACTGTTAAGTGACAGATGCACTTTAATTGAATCGACATGGACTCTGCCTAAAACTCTTTACTTCTCTTGAAAGAATAAATATTATTGATGCTTATGCTTGTGAGAATAAAGCTTTTTTAGTTAATTATTATATTCTCTGTCTTTGCTAATGGTCTCTTTTGATTTAACCAGGGATTTAGCTAAGGGAAAGATAAGCAGGCTTTTTCATTAGTCAAGCCAGATTTTTTACTCAACTGCATCTCTAAAATCCCCCATGTTTTTGTTTGCATTTGAGGTGGTGGTAAGCTCTTTTTCAGCTGGTGAAATAAGCTGGACACCGGCTCTTAGTGACATCCCTGGTACCCCATGCAGTGTTCTACAATGTTTGGACACTTAATGTTATAACAATTGTAAAATATAATATATATACACTGGCTACTTGAGCCCACTCTCCCATCCCTAAGAATATTAAATTTCAAGCAAAATTGGTACAAATAAGTCTATTTCAGAGCACAGAACCTGTAACGCTCCCCAGAATCTTCTGCCAACTTTAAATGGATAATTTAAGTATTAACGTAATGTTACTGTTAACAGTATTTCAATTTTTTTTTGCTAATTAAGTGTCCCGTTTTTTTATTGTAGTCGGTGTTGGTGATGTCTCTGTTGCAAGTAATGTTGTCAGCTCATTAATCTCAAAGGTACAGTGTAAGAAAAGAATCTTGCACACATCAGTAAACCTTTATTTAACTAGGGTAATCCCTTCAGAAATACTTAAAAGTATATCTGTTATCAACAGGAGCACTAAATTAAGACTAATAAAAAAGTTTAAAATAAAAAGTAAGAAACTAAGTAACTATAAGTTAATAATAGTACAGTATAACAATTAAAACTAATTCTTATTTACTAAATAATTATTATACACAACTGAGCCTTTAAAATAAAAACTTTTCTTGGCGGTCTCAGTTCTTACTGCAGGTAAGTATATAAAATTGCTTCTTCTTGTTTCTCTTAAAATAACTTCCTTATTCAACTTAAAATAATTCTTTAAAAACTGTGGTACATTATTATTTAAACACCTCTTCACTAAACCTAAAATATGAATGTTACAGCGATCTTCTAAACTCTGAAATTTAAGATAGTCGGTGGATGTGTACCACATTTACATTTACCCGCCTTTGCAAAGATTCAAGACTTTCCATATCTGCTTTATTGCAGCTGTACCAAACAACATCGCAATAATCAAAAATGGGCAAAATTAATGAATTATACATCTCGAAAGCTGCGTGTATAGTGATATTCCTTCTAAGGTGCCCTAAGACACCAACTCTTTTACCAACCTTAGAAATAACATAACGAACATGGTCTTTCCACGTAAGACTATCGTCAAGAACGATGCCTAAATACTTAAAATCAAAAACTCTATTAATTTCATAATCACCTATTTTGATAAGTACTGTGTCAGTAGCTTTAGAAAGCCTAGCATCAGTTCCAAAAATTACAAATTCTGTTTTTCTTTGGTTGATAAAAAGAAAATTACTGAGAGTCCATTTATTCACTTCATCTAGTTCGGCATTCAAAGTTTCCTCCAAGATTTTCAGCTCTACTTAATGCCGGCTGGCTATGGTTATGACTTCCAGTATTGGCAGTTTCAAACCACATTGGTCAGTAAAAAATTGTCAATTTCCTTCATTTCCTAGCCGTACGATGTACTTATTTTTTTTATCAATTATAAATAGTTACAGCTAGGAGAAAAAAGGAAATTATTGAGAATTATCGAACTAAAATGAAATCATTTTGAATTTCACTTTGATTTCAACAGTACGCAAACATGGAAATAAGGTATTTTTATTTTATTTATTGTTTATTATTATTGATTTTTTTCTGTTTCTATTATTGTTTTGTAGGGTAGTGATGTCAGCCAGAAGTGTCGTTGGACTGACATGCTGCCATTACATTACGCAGCCTTCTTTGATGCTGCTCCAATTCTGAGAGTTTTACTCAAGGCATCCAGTGCAAGAGGTACAGAAACTTACAGAAAATTATGCCTTTCATTTTGAATAAAAGACGGCTATCTGTCACTTGATGTTCATGCACATTATATTATTTCATATCAGATGTTGATATCCGGTGTAAGGAATTTGATAATGGTACTTCTCTGCACATTGCGTCAAGCAATCTTTGCCTGGAAGGAGCCAAGTGCTTGGTAAGTGATTTTTTAAATTCAAAAAGTGTGTTTAGAAACAGAGCACAGCGGTCAAATGGCCAGTTTTTCCAAATTCCTACTGGCCAGTGAGCTATTTCTGTTGGCCAATAGCTCAGATGACACCACCGTTTTTGTCGAGCCCTGGTTGAACTAAAATATAAGGGGTTATATGTTTTAGTATGATAGAATGATTGAGGTTTTGGTCTTTTGAGTTCCATAAAGTAGTTTAATGGCGGAGTGGTCTATGCCCAAGTAATGGTACATTGTTATTTAAAGTATAAAATACACTATTATATACATATACAATTTGCAATTCTTTGATGTTGAATAATAAACTTATTTCCTGATTTTCTTCTTACAATGGCAATAGCTTCAACATGGGGCTGATGCTTCACTGAGAGACAAGCTTAACAGACTAGCTTTACAGTGTATTCCTGATGGTAAGACAAAAATAATAAATGTAAAAACTTATATAAAACGTAACAATAAAAGTATATTCATTTTCGCTTTAAAATAGTTATTCTATTCACGTTTGGTTTTCGTGAATGGAATGTTACTTTGAATGATGAGTCTATGTAAACTGAGATCTGAAATAGAGTTACTTGTAGAAGAGTATTATATGTATGACATGAGGAAATATATTTAGTTAAATTTGATTCAGTTCGTAAGCCTGGTGCAAACGGACGCAACATTGTTGGCCAACAACTCCCAACATTGTTGGACGTTACGTGTTGCATCCGTTTGCACACCCTGTTGCGCGCTGTTGGGAGCTTGTTGTGCAAAGTTTGAAACTGGTCAAATTTTTAGCTACGTGGAAATGGATTCAACAACTTCCAACAATGTTGCGTCCGTTTGTACCGGGCTATAGTTTCCAAGAGTTACTCAGTCATGCAACCAATTTATTTAGGAGTCTTCACATGACTATCCCCATTTTCTGTCATTTCAGACTAAATTTGGTTACTGAATAATAAATTATCGGTCAACCTTACCCAGATCTCTTTCGCTCTGGATTAGGGAGCTTTAGTAACGATGACGGCGAGGGCAACGAGAAAATCACAATTTTAAGCAATTGGTTTAGATTGGCAAAACAACAACTTTGCACGTGCATTACGCTTTTTTGTATATTTCTTTTCCGTCACTGAACCACTACAACATAAAAGTGCCTAATTTCACGTTTTCTGGAGGATGTGAACTTCTTTTGCTTTTTCTGAACTTGATTCAGTCTTTTAGGATCTAACTCCATAAACATTTACCAACAGTCACGAATTGAGCAAGACGGAATCTAGGCGCGATAAAGTTTAAAACAGCGCGAATTCACTTTGTAAGTGACTGACATTGAAGTTTATCGTAGCCTTAAGCTCTCTATAGTGTTCCACTGCAACTTAACAAAAGAAAAAAAGAAAGCCAAAGTTAAAATATCTACACTCTTATCGACTGGGAAATGCAATCATAATTATCAAAACTCAAGTGGAACCATAAGCCGCAGGCAAGCAGGCGAGTGCAGGTCTCACAGCAAAGTTTTGAACATTTTTACGTCATTTCTATGGTTGAAAAGAATGTAGGCTGTTGGGAATTGTTTTCGATTTGTTTTTTCAGGTTTTGATATTGTGATGTCTATTTTATCTTGGAAAATCGTGTTCGAGGGGTAAAGAAACACAATCGTTGTGCCATCATTTAACATCATTGAAATTACTCTGTTACTGTGGAAAAAACTTTCCCTCACATGCTCGCAAGTTTAAAACTGTCCGGAGAATATTATGTATTTGTACCAATTGTGCTGTGTTTGCGTTGTTTTCCTTCCTATCAGTAACTTCTTTTGAGCAAGATTCTGAGCCAGCAATTGTTGCTGAAAAGATGACAAGACTTCTTTCAGAAGCAGAGCCACCCATGAGGACAACACAAGATCAAGAGGTTGGGTTGTTGTTTTTGTCGTCTTTTTTTTCTTTACTATTACACAGGACGTCATGCTCTGTATATGTGAATAGAGTTAGGAATACATACGAGAAGTCTGTCCAGAGGGCGCAAAGGAAGTGCAAAATTTGCCATCCATGAGGCACAGATGATGATGATGATGATGATTGTTATAATAATTATGACTATTATTATTATTATTATTATTATCATTATTATTATTGTTACTATTATTATCATTATTTTCTTCTTTAACTTAATTTATATTAAAATAATAATAATAATAATAATTATTATTATTGTTGTTTTGATTGTTAGAATGAAGTGCCAGCAACTTTGGCTTCTATGGGTCTTAAAATTGGTGATCAAGTATGCATTGGCGGGAATAAGGTATGTCAACTGGATTTTCCCCTTGGAAAAGTCTGCTAGTTACATGTTACACCTGGAATGAATCCGCAGTAGAATTTTTGCTGAAAAAGTCAACTCTTCTTTAACAGTGGGGAATATAACAGAATCCTAAGTTACAACTTGAATGTAACTAGATGTTTCTAAAACGACGGAAATTTTATTGGATAAGAAGGCAATACCACATCTTTTTACATCTTCTAGTAAGCGAGTCCTTCTGATACAATGGTCGTCTAATCGTTGTATTCGCTGTATGTACTCCGCTACTGACAGTATGAAAAGAACTTTTAGAAAAAACGTACGTGTTGATTTACATATATTGTAACCCAAAAAATTGCATGCAGTAAACTCTCCCCGAAAAGTAGATGTGTCCGGACTTCTTCTCATACAAGTCCTCCTGCAGTTCGACTCTCGTAAGCGACAATTAACTCTTCACGTTTTGGTTGGCTGGACTGTATGTATTAGTAGTTGTACACGGCAGTATAAAGGACTTTTAGTAGAAAACGGGGCAATAATTTGCGATGGTTCATCAGAAGAGAAAAATTATACAGCATGAACCAGTGAGTGAGTGGGAATGAGACCAGAATATTGTGAATGTTTTTGTTTCAGTTTGGGATCCTTCGTTTCTGTGGCCCGACTGACTTTGCTTCAGGGGTATGGGCTGGAGTGGAACTGGAAACACCTATTGGGAAAAATGACGGCTCAGTTGGAGGAGTCTCGTACTTTGAGTGTTTTCCCAAACATGGTAAGCTAACAATGAGAAGCAACTCACAATAATTCAAAATGCAAAAACCTGCAAGCTCCATAGTAAGTAGACCGTTAATACGAAGCTTGGTAAGTTTCACAGAAACTTTGGTACTGTATCAGTGGAGGAGCGAAATTCTATCGGCAGAGATTAAAGGCTGAATTGGCCACCGTAATTGAGGTTTATAAGTAGCCCTCTTAACCTTTCGGCAGACCTCTGTCAAAGAGTGGAGTGTTGGTGTTGTGTGTGGTGTATTTTATTCAGTGATGGAGCTATGTTATACTCTGATTTAGAAACTGTGGTGTAGGCCTGTGAAAAGGCTCTGGCAGGAGAGCGTGGCTGACCGGTTACTGGTCAAGTCGCCCGAAAGTCATCTCGCGTCGCCACAAGTCAGCTTGTTTCGAAGTTATGTCGCCCGAACGCCGAGGTTTACTTACTCTTATATACAAATCAACGAAGCCACTTCGCACCTTTAAAAAAGTGTATTTATCGTTCCTAAAGCTTGAAAAAAGGTAGGTCAACATAACTTCGAGCGTTGTTGGGGCGATGTGACTTATGGACGACTTGACCTTGTTTGCACGTCTGGTTGGCGGTAACTTAGCCCACCGTAAGTAATTTATACCCCTAAAAATTCAACGGCAGGAAAACTCGCCTATATTTGACCAGTTGAGCCAATTAAAATCACCGCCATAAATTTAAAAGCCGTTTCCGCCATAAGGTCTCTATTAAACAACCTGTTCTTTTAGCTAATCAGTAAAGAAAACCATATGTACTTCATCAGGAATCTTCGCACCTTTATCTAAAATCACCAAAGCAGACTCCTCACCAGGCTCCCGTCCCAGCTCTCGTCCCACTTCAGCCTCTCGTTCACAGGCTTCGTCGAGGTCCAGTTCAAGGCCAAACTCGAGATCAAGCTCTCGCGCAAACTCACCGACCCCCTCTTCGCGGATGAATGGAGGTGACGAGTCTCTTGGTTTTCAAGTAAGTGGTCAAAGTTTAGTTACCTACTAACCTGAACAACACTTTTGAAGCCTGTGACAGTAACGCAGTAACGTAGATTACTGTTAAATACGCCCATTGCAAGCCTTGCTTTTGACAGACCTCAGTGTTGCGGTCAGCAATTATTATTTAAAAAAAAAAAAAAAGAAGCTAGAAAATTAGCTGGATTTTGCTAACCTGCGTTAAGGCTCTATTTTCTTGCATGAATTGGGTTTGGTTACAGATTAGGGTTTGTGAAACCTGAATTCTTTTCTGAAAATAAGAAAAAACAGTTTCTGAGCAAATTAAACATCCCCGAGGTGAGTTCAAAAGGGTCGTTATTTTTTTTTTCTCAAATACATGTACAATAAACCGTTTAAGGCTACTTTACTTCGGTTTCAGGTTAAGAAACAAAGAAAATGAACCTATATCGCCGCCTACTGGTAAATGTGCTTTGGAGATGGCTTTTTAAAATCTCAATACAACTGATACAAGATTTTAAACAAGCAACTGACACCAACAGCAGTACATGAAATACTTTTCTCCAGATTCTTGAGTCAAATCCAGCACATTTTTAGCCTGAGAAAGTGGCCGACATTTCGCGACGCCACCACTGGTTTCCCCGCGAAATGACGTCTGAGAAACGAAGAAGGCACAAATTTCAAACTGATGACGTGTCACTGCCGAGGTCAGAGTAGTGCTTCTGATTGGTTGTGCCGCGAAAGAAATTTGCTTCAACCAATAAGAAGCACCACTCAGGTCTGGGTAGTAACACGTCATCAGTATGGAATTTTGGGCTTGTTACTCGGACGTCATTTCGCGGGAACACCAGAGGAAGAGTCGTGAAAAGCAGGTTGTTTTGTCAGGTGTGCTAACCTGACAAAACAGCCGGCTTTTCAAGTGTCGTGACGGCAACCACATCTGAATCTTCACAGCACTCAACCCGGCACTGGATCGTCTGCTGATCTAGTCTTACTGTGGATTTAATTTTTTTTTTTGCAGACAGGCGATAGTGTGATGGTTGCTGGCCAGAAAACCGGAACTGTAAGGTTCGTTGGAAGGACGCAGTTTGCATCAGGGTGAGTCTTGTGAATAGCACTCGAGGAAGAGATATCCTACCTTCCCCATCTCCATTGAAGACAATAGTGAGACCCGTTCCTTTTTTTTCATGTTTGTGTAAGCCGGATCAGTTAGTGAATAGCCATCACCCTGATGATAAGTAAACCATCAAAGTTATAGTTCCATCAAGTCGCGAAAATTACACACGTGGGCCCCCCACCCAGTCTCCTTCCGATCCGCTCGGGCCAGAGTTACTCATTACTCGGGCCCGAGCGGCTGCGAAGGAGACTAACCTCTCCACACCTACCCACCACCACACTACAGACATCACGTCTGTACGACTTTGCAGAAGGTGTATCTTCGTAAGTTTTTCGCAAAAAACTCTCAAATTGGCAGCTTTACTGGTATTTAGGCGCCCTCTCCAGCGGTGTCGATAGACATGACACGGAAGAGTTGAAAAAAAGATCCTTGAAAGGGTCAATTTAGAGAGGGAACATTTAGAATTGGTAATAAGTTTGTGCCTTGTAATTGTCAGTACATCCTAATTGTGCCTTGAAACTAAAACTGGTGTTATTACTCATGCCAAGTTAGACACCAGGGCCCTGTTGTTCAAACGTTGGATAGCACTATGCACCGGATAAATCACTATCCAACGGAAAAGTATTTGAGAAAACAATTGCGTGATGCACTGGATAGAGATCTATCCGGTGGATAGCGTTATCCACGTTTTGAACAACTGAAGCCAGGAATTTCACAATCAGCCATCAGAATTTAAAACAATTTCAAGTACATGCGCCCGTCCTCCCAGCTCCGCTGCGTTTCAGGCTGGCGTGGCCTTTTTTCTCGCACAGAGTCTTGTAATGTAGCCAGAATTGTCTAAGCTTTTACTCCTGATTCGTTGTGACTTTTTAACCGACAAAAAGAAGTAGTACGTATTTCAGAGAGCTGTGTTTAATTGAGTAGCTTTTAAGGGTTAGTGTCTCGATGTTCCAGTTCCCTTTGTTTAGTTTCTTTGCTTTGCCAAGGTAAAATACATAATAATTAAATAATGCAAGAATGGCAAACTTGCAAGGAAGCCCAGAAGAAACAGAGAGACTTTATAGTCACGGAAAACAAGAAGAAACGTCCAGCCCGTCTGACATTAAAACGTGAGACAGTCATGAATGGCTTTCGAAATTCAATAGCTAACCGCCTTGTTGTCGGTATTTCTTGTTTTTTAGTGTGTGGCTTGGTATTGAGCTTGACCAACCGGTCGGAAAAAACGACGGAGCGGTTTCAGGCGTTCGATACTTTGACTGTAAACCGAGCCACGGAGTGTTTGCTCCTCCATCAAAAGTCAATAAGTAAGTCATTCATAATCTTACCACCAAGGTGTAATATTTTCTTGTTAAGGTGAATAGCCGTCCAACAGGTGAAAAGCGCCACTGAAGCTAGTGAACGTTACCAAGTAACTCACGTAATAATTCACTTATTCATAATTCACGTTATTCTTCAGAGTTGGAGACCAGTCACATCGTGGCGATCACAATGGTTTTGTCGTCCCATCGGCCCCTGCTGGTAAGATCAGATCTAGCTCCCAGAGCTCCTTGCAAGCCTCGGGATCTCATGGCTCCTTAAGTGACTTATCACAAACTGATTCCAACCCTGACCTTAACGGCAGTGCCAGGAAATGGTCGACCAATTCTTCTCCGGATCATTCATTGAGACGAGGCAGCGCGTCATCTGATAGGTACATTGTTATAGAAGTTGTGGTTTCGACAGAGCACAATCTGAATCTAATTGACGAGTTTATGAATACCGTCGGTTGCATCTAAGCGTGTACACGTGAGGAAAAACATGTTTTGCCGCCAAACATTCGAAGTTTGGAGTAGAAGGCGGCTGTTGTCGACTGGATTTGTTTTCGCTCAACAATATTGGCTACGTTTAGAATCGGGATTTAAAAGCTATAGAGAACTGTAGAATCTGAAATCTTAATATAAAGAGAATAGTTTTGTGTGCACTTTACGCCTGAAAGCTTAAGCTTGTTATTTTTTGTTATTTGTTATTTTTGGCAATTTTTACTCTCAGAAGCGGCTCAACATTGCGTAGAGGAAGTTTGCCTCAACAGAAAGGAAAGTCGTCAGCAGAATTTCAGCTTACAGAGGTTGGTATCAAGGTTTCGCTTACGGTGGTTATTCATTAACAGACTGAAGTTTATCATTATGGCGTAATCAGAGCTCGAAAATGCTCAGCCAGCGAACAAGTTTTCCATATATGGCAAGCGAAGCGAGCTAAGAGACAACGCGCGAGCGAGTGACTCGCGACTTCTCCAATATCGTGACTCTCCCAAATGAAGATGTTGCTCGCTGGCTAGAATAGGGTTTAGCTCGTTTACTAGGCGCTTTTTGGGAACTGGGTCTGCGGTCCTCTCCCCGCTCCCCTCAGGAAAAATCGGAGAAGAGGCCCTTCTCCCAGTTTTCCTAAGGGAAAGGGGTCTGTACACAGGCTACTGAAATTAAGTCTTAAATAATCCCGTCTGTTTCTCCGGGACCAGTTGTGACTGTTCATACTCACTTGTGTATTGACAATTGCCCATAATTCGTCGTTTAACTAAATCATCAAAAATTAAACTAAGAAAATTGTTTGTTTCCTTTTCACGAAAAAATTTTTTTTTTCAGAGACGTAAACCGGCTGCGTCATGAATATCATGGAAAACTTAAAGTATCTCTCTGCGATTTTTCGTCCGTTTCCTGTCGCGATAACCTAAAGTGCTGAGTAAACGTTACTCGGCAGTGTTGAGTAATTGTTTTATATTACTGTGTATTTAGTTTTTGTTGCTTTGTGCCAACAGGGCCTCAGCGTACTTGTAAATAGTGAGCTTGGCGTTATTCGGTACATTGGATTAACGGAATTCGCAGAAGGAATCTGGTTGGGCGTAGAAATGAGAAAACCAGGTAATAGACTGAAGTAGACTACGAGCAATCGGTTATTTTTATTTATCACATGACAGATACAGCCTCATTTCTCGAAACCTCAGAAAATTCGAACCAAACCTTACTTCCCCTGACCAGTAACACACTGTAATTTTAACCCCCATTTTTCGAACATCCCGACAATTCACTAGTAGTCCAGTTTGTTTTTCCAAAGGTGTTTGAAAAATTGGAATTCCATTGTAGTTAAGAAAGAGCAAAACAGCCGCGAAAAGTCCGGCCTCTTCATCCCGCGATCCGTATCCTCTCGGCGCGAGTACCTTGTAAAGCTGGTCCCAAAGTTGGTAAATGAAAAAAGAGGCGGTGTTTCTATCAGAGTTGATCAGCAAAATGAAACGCAAATGTGACTTGGTTGAACTGTGTATGCGGGACTATCTTCCTGTCGCAGTCCACTTAACATACTTCGTACTTAGGTTCTGGATTTTGCCACACCCATACCCGCGAACTCGGAACAATGGTCAGTCTACCAGTCTCAATTGACCCTGTAAGCCCCAATATCAACATGCATATTCTCCTCACTGTTTGTTATACATTCCTTATGGTATTGCTGGAGAGAATTTGCTCAAACCTCAAGACATTTCACCCTTGGTGATCACTTCCTTCATTGTCGTGACCTGTATGTTTGCTGAGGCAGGGTTAATTATTGGGAAAATTTGTGTGATGATCATCGCTGTCGAGTCAGTACTTTCATATCGGATGTGGTGCATTATGCTAACAATCCTGAGACCGACTCGGTAACGCACTTTTAGCAATCTCGTATGACTGCTGTAATGTAGCTAACTGAAAATTGTTGTTTTTACAGTTGGGAAAAACGATGGATCTGTTAACGGCAAAAAGTACTTTCATTGGTGAGAAGCTTCCACATAATTCTTTTTAAGTTGTTGTTGCTGTTCCCTTTATTTTCTAAATTAAAGTTTTCCTTTCTTTGGCTCATTTTGATTTTGCACTGACTGATACACGGCGTCCTAGTGGTCAGTGCTTTGGAATCCGGATCGAGACTAGAGTTGTGTAGTCATGGGCAAAACACTTTACCAATCATTCTGTCAATATAATCTGTCAATCAATCATTCTGTCAATATAGTTAACGTAACATTGATATCGTTAACATTTTTTTTTCCAGCAAACCTCAACATGGCCTCATGGTTCGACCAAGTCGAGTCACTTGTAGAGGAATTAATTGCGCCAAGTTAATAAACGAGGTGGAATCGTAATTTAATGAATGATATAACTGGAAAGAGGTACGTTCTATTACGGGAAATCGCGAAAGGTCCTGAAGATCATCCCTGTTGTCCCGAAAGATTGAGAACATGCGTCTTTAAGCTTGGCAACAACTGGAGAACCACTGTGCTGGATAAAATTCTCCCTCGGCAGCAAACATCCAATCGAATTTAAGCTTGGACAATGTCTCATAAAAAGCAAACTTGGGCGCTGATAGATGACAATGAAAGAATTGGCTAGGAGTATTCAAGAAAGCAGCGTCAAAAAAAATCAGAGTCTTCTTTCTGTCTTCCATATCGTTTTACAGTCTTTTTATTTACGTTTAGTTATAAGAACAGATAGTTCCCTTAATGTTCGAAGATACCACCTCTTTTTGCCATTAGGGCACTATCAACATACTCGAAATCAAAATTTTATTTTTTAACTGTTCCTTTTTATCGCCTAAATCACAGTCTTAGCTAGACTGTGAGCGGTGAAGAGAAAAATTCTACCCTAACCTTTTGCTCGCTTTTCACTTAATAAGGTATACGAAATGGGCGACGAGGTCTTTCTTAGCCAGCGTAGGTAGCTGGCGGGTTTTTTTTTTTTTGTGGTTCGTAAAGTAAGAGATACAGCCGTGCGAAAGCTGAACCGAAGTCGAGCCAGAAAACGACGAACCAAAAACGAAAATCACGGCAAAACCGCCAGCTCCGGGGGCTCCGACGTTCTGTGCAATTTTTTATGTCAGTTTTAACAAAGTCAGTAACTATTCCACGAACCGCATTTTCGGTTTACGACAGGGGTGTACCCAGTGTTTTTACCAGGGAGAGTTCTAACCCTCCGAAATTAGCCACCCAAAAAAGTTTAGTCATTTCGATGTTGTGATTTTAAGACAATTGATAAAACAGACCATGGTGTGATAGTGCGCTGTTATACTGCAGACATTTCGCGGGCCCATACACTTGTGTCAGTTAAAACTATAGAGCAGCTGTGGTGGCACTTTCATTGACCTTTGAAAACCTTAGAGTACCACTTTTATACATAGAAAAAAAAGGAGTGGAGGGGTTCCGAGACTCCGAAACCCCAACAACCCCTTCCTTGGGTCCATCCTTGCAAGAGTGTAACAGTTTGTAAGAGTATATCAGGATTCGTTCACGTCATCAAAACCTGTGAATTATAGCAGTCTGTTTTAAGGCCTTGAAAATACCTGAAGTTAGTGTTTGGTCCTTAAAAAAGTCCTTGATTATTTTACTATAGAACAAATCAATTATGAACACTTTAGTTACCGTAAAATTCCGAAAATAAGTCCCTCCATGTATAGGCCCCTCCAAATATAAGCCCCCCAAACTCGTAACGCAAAAAACCCTCCATTAAATCGCCCCTCCAAATATAAGCTCCCCGGGGGCTTGTACTTGGAAATTGCCCTCGAATTCTAAGGAAAACAAAGCAAAAACGGTAAATTTCCTTCTAACTATAAGGCTAGCCCAATTGATTTTGAAACGCAAATTTCCCTCCATAGATAAACCCCTCCGAATTTAAGCCCCTCCAAAAATAAGCCCCTCAAAAAGGGCCTTTGAAAAATGTAACCCCGGGGCTTATTTTCGGAATTTTACGGTAGTTTAAAAGTACAGAGTGCAATTGCAGACAGAATAAATGCTGTAAGTGCTTTGTCCCTCGCACATGTGCATTGACATAGAGCCACAAGATCACTGCGTATGTCCTTGTTTTCATATTTCAAGCTCTCGCTTTCAGCGTTTGTGCATTAACTCTCTAAACAATAGCCCCAGAAACCTCCAATAAAAGTCCCGGCCTGACAAAAAGGTTCACGAACCCTGTATATAGGTTGTAACGACGCTGTAAGAAATTTCCTTTGCGCAATGCTATTTTTAAGTGTAAATTTGAAAACTTAAAATTATTATCAGATGTAAAGGAAGCTCTCGTGTACCTGATTCTGATAAGATAAGACAGATAAATATTTTTAAAAAGTAATATTGTTAAATAACTTTTCAAAGAAACAGATAACTATATTTCTATTATGTATGAGCCGCGATACCTGCCAGGTATCAGCCACATATTTATTATGTAAGTAAATAAACTACGTGAAAAGAACTTATGAATATTTGTTGGCTGTAACTTGTTTATTATAGAAAGTTTAACAAAAATAAACCAACCGTTCTGAACAGCACTTTCGGGTGAAGTAGATATTCTCAAATCACCCGAAAGTGTTAACATGCGAAGTCATAAATACCGTAAATCCCCTATTATTCCCCAGGGGGGTGAGGGGGTGCTTAATAGAGACGGGGGGCTTATTAAATTTAGCCCGGACGATGGTATCAGTTCTCCATAAAAAAGTAGAATACAAAGTGGAAAAGCTCAATAGGTCATGCAGCTGAGGATCAAAGACAAATCTGAGCTTCCAGTTGGTGAATAAAGCCAGGCTTATTAGAGGGAGGGGGCTTTATAGAGGATTTACGGTAACAAGAATAGAACAGCTTGTTCCCAAGTATAGTCTGACGGGAGGGTTTTTAAGACGATTGAAAACAAATATGAAACACTGTGAAACATCTCTTTATATTCCGAACTGAAATTTCTTTGGGTGGGTGTGTGGGACGGGGGCTGAGTTGAGTGTAGAGGCACTTTGTGCGGCACCTTGCGCTAGATGAAACCACACTTTAATACTTTTGAAAAAAGTAGCTGCTACAAAACTGATCAAAACTGATCTCTGACTCTGAAGATGACTACCGCACAGGTTGTCGAAACGTCAATCACTGTCAACAAAAACAACAGTGCAATAACCCGGATGATCAAACTCAACCTAAATGACTTTTGGGTTCGAACCTTTCACAGCGAAACTTGCCAGGTTGCGATCTCGACTAAAGCACCACACGGATACATACAAGTTACACACGGATACATACGGGTACATGGCGAATACATATGAGTAACATGGAGTAACATAAGGACGACCTCGTTCCCGGGATGCTCTACTACCCGTCCCTGCAGAGCGAGAGACATAACGGGTTGGAGAGGACCCTGAGAACGAGGTTGATGTAAGGAAACATAAAGTAACATACGAATGCATAGGAGTAACATACTATTATTATTTTTGTAAACAATTTTTAGTTTTAGCAGTTTTGAAAAATGTAACTTAAGTAAACCATTAAGAGTATTTGTTTATAACATATGTATTAAATTCATATCATTTACCCACAAGTAGTGCGAAATTTCTTTTTTGTCTTTTTTTGTTTTCTTTTTTTCCATTTCATATTTCAAATAAGGCGTGAACTGGCTCTTGCAATTGTGAATAGCCAAAAACACGTGCATGAACTCTTCCAATACTTGTTGGGGACGGGTTTACATGGTTTGCGATCGACCCCTAAAGCTAATTTACAAGTTCTTAAACTCGTCAATTGTACTTAGTCAAGTGATCCGAGTTATATAGATTTCGTGTGGGTTTTCTTTTACATCATCTATATAATATGGAGAGATGTTTCACAGTATTTCATGTTTGTTTCCAATCGTCTTAAAAACCCTCCCGTCAGATTATACTTGGGAACAAGCTGTTCTATTCTTGTTACTGTAAATCCTTTATAACATCATCAGGCTTTTTACGTAATTGCATAAACTGCGTTCACAACTGCTAGGATCATTTTTTATTTGATTTCATTTCCGCAGTTCTTTTATGATTTTCATATACTTCTATCTCATTCATCTCTTTCACGGAAACATATGAACACTTAATTGACCAGCTCCTAACATCAGTGGCTTCCAGTAGCTTAGTTGGTTAGAACATCGCACCGGTATCGCGAGGTCACGGTTTCAAACTCTCGGTTGAAGTCCTGAATTTTTTCAGGCTTCCTAGTCTTCTTACGCAAATTGCCATGCATAAATTGCGTTCACAACTGCGAGGATCATTCTTCATTCGATTTATCCGTATGTTACTCATATGTATTCGTATGTTCCCGTATGTATCCGTATGTTACTCGTCTTGTACGCACCCGTATGATCCGGTGATCCGTGTAGTCGTATGTAACCCGTATGTTACCCGTACGTAGGTACCCGTGTGGTGTTTTAATCAAGACCATCAGGTTGCGAGAATTTCCACCCGCCATGCTTGTCAGTTATGACTTCTTTGCGATACTGTTTAAAACCAGGAGCTTCCGATAAAACGGGCGTTTCTTGCTGATATGGGAAACGTCCCTAGGATAACAGGGCTCAAAAGTAATGAAAAAAGTGATCGTTTCCGTTGTGGCGTTTGGTTCGTCCTATAATCAAGCGTCAGGAAAAATGTTTGCAGTTAATGAAGTGCTAACGAACTGAAAATCACTAAAGCCATCATTTAACCGTTGTACGAACAGGTACTCTTGTACATGATATTATTCTATTTTTATAGAAATTAAATCGGCTGCAGTCATTTTGTGGAACGAAATCCCTTGGAGAAAAAGCCTGGAAAAAACTCCGATGTTGTTTACATTTCACCTGTACTACTGACAGATGGCTAAAACAAAACACTTGATTGATATGTGACTTATAATCCGTGAATAATCATGTTTTCATACACACGTACATTGCACTGATATGACATTTTTCGCTTTATCCGAAAGTAGATCGATTTTCCTGCCATGTTTCATCGAACGCGTTTTAGTGAAACAAAAAAAAACAAATTCGTAAGGCTCCGACTCATTTGCTTCTCGAATTTTTTTCCTCTGAGCAATGACTTAAACGGTTCGCAAAATTCTGTATCACCTGTCGAGGTTAGTTAGCTAAGACATTTTACTCCTCCGAAAAGTGCTTATAAAGGCGTTGTTTCCTCTTTTGTGGTTGTTCAGTTTGCATTTATAACCATCCGAATTATATCACCCATCAAAAAGAGAAAAAAGTTCTTTTCGTTTAATTAAGTCAAATCTGAGTGACGGATATGTGGAAACCATGGCAACATATCGACAAAAACAACATTCGATATCCGATTGCATACAGATGCAAATTTGCATTTGACGAGAGACCCATGGAAAAAGGTTTCGTGAAGTGAATAGAAGAAAGAACGTACGCTTGGGAATTGACGAAACACGACATTGAAGAGACACGACATCAGCTACTTTTGTTGAATAGGATGAAAGTGTACAACGATTCACTCGAAACAAAAGAAACAAAATTGGATACATGGAACGCTTTATAACCGACGTGTATCTTACACCCGTGGTTTATTTACATGAGGCAAGACCACCAAAGAAAATATGGCGGCTTCGACTGCCATCTCACCGAACTGCTCCGATCTAGTCTACTCTTCAGCATGTGGCACCTCGCCGGTTGTTGTGATAGAAACACTTGTGTTGTTGACAATGTTTCTGGGTTCTTTGATCGGCAACGGACTCATCTTGCTCGTAATTCACCGGAGTCGACGAAGCGAATGGACGACAAACTACTTTGTATTAACTCTAGGATTATCGAACTTGACGATTCCGTTTATGTGTGTTCTGTGGACAATAATCTGGGTCATGCGAGGTTCGTGGTTGTTCCACAGCGCAACCTGTAAAGTGACTTTCTTTTTCCAATTCTTGAACGCTGGACTTTCAGCGGGTCTTCTCGCTTGTATTTCACTCGATCGGTTCTACATTATAGTGCATCCGTTGCAGTTTAAAATGAGTCGTTCCCAGACTAAGAAACTCATCATATATGTGTGTATTTTCATGGTTTGTTTGTCTGCACCGGCCTTATTCTTCTTCAAATCACTGTCTGGACCGGGCTTACTCTTCTTCGAATCACAAGAATATCAGTCATCGGACGTTGAGTTCTGTCTCGTTAATTTCTCCTCAGTTTACTGGAAAGCCTATATAGTGCTGTTTTTCGTTTGTGCTTTTTGTTTTCCTTTATTATTCACCCTGGTCATGTACACACGGATCACATATGCTGTCATCACCAGAAATCGTCACGCTCAAAATTACCCGAACAGTTTTAGAAGACAGACATTCCGCGTTCCGCGTTCGAAAGTCAAAGTTCTTCGTATGTTGTTTTTGCAATGGCTTGTGTTTGTTAGCTGCTGCCTGCCTTATTTCTTCAGCCTTGTTCTGTGGACGTTTAAAAGAAGCACATGGACTGAGCACTTGTACATAGCCTTGTTGTTACTTTCATTTTCTAATGCGACGTTAAATGTCGTAATTTATGCCCTTTTCAATGGGGATTTTCGGCAGGGATGCAAGAGGGTTTTCTGTAAGCCCGATGCGTCACAAGCTTACCGTCTAACATCACTTGGACGAAAGCATCGGGTCTCGCCGTTTGAATTTAGCTCCGATCATGGAGATGGCCTGTACGAACTTCGACTACCCGAGCACAAACCAGTTGAAAAGGCAATCCATCTAAACGTTAATATGCGAGGTGTGAACGGTTGTTTTAATACCTTAGAGAAGCAAACTCAAGCGTGGGTTAGGAGCAATAGTGACCGACAAGGCAGTATTTAAAAAGCTATATTATTAAAACCGTGTTCGCTGAGGGTGGAACTTAGAAATAAGATAATTTTCAAGCCTTAATATTGCAAATATAATTCAAAACTGAGATGAATAAAATACTATCTATCGGAAGAAATCTTTAAAACGGACGACAAATCTTCAAACTTGGCACTTTGATATAGCGAATTTAGTCCCAAGAATTAGTGGTAATGCGAATTGTTCTTTTTGCGTTCTACCCGTATATTATTTATGTTTGCAAAGTGCGTATTTAAAAAGTTGCCCACATTGTGGTGAGGTTTTCCTGTTTAAAGGGCAGATGTCAGGTGGATATAATAATTATTTATTCAGCTAAAATCAGACATGACCGGAATACTCCAGTTTTGGAATGGCTGAGAATACAAAAAAAATTAATCTTAAATATTGTAAATACAGTTGAAAAATTACTGACTCGCACTTCAGAATTCTACTTGTAGGCTTTAGTTTAAATGGTCGAGCTAATGGTTTAAGACAGAGCAACCATGCGGTTCTTAATTATAAGATTTGACAAAGAACATCGGAAAAATAAATTTATACCTATTATCAGCCATATAAATAATTTTAAAAACAGTAAATTATTTTGGGCAATAACTGTACGAAATGAGATTTTTAAACCAGAAACCAGTATTGCTGTGGGAGATGTGAGATGAAATGACAGAAGTCAGTTAAACAATCATAAAAATAATTGCTGTCATGTTCTTTTGTGTGGCATTATGTATTTTTTTATTGTAAGACTGAGCCTGTAATTCAGCAACCTCCTCGAATTTGTTGAACCTCAAAAGGTTCGCTGTTTACTCTGGACGTTTCGCTATTCAGAATGTACAGGACAGTTTACAGGGCGATCAGGGAGCTTATACAGTGACGGCAAGGGGAAAGCCATATTTTTCATGAGAAAATTACCCGCAATAACTCCTCACGTCCATCGTGCTCTTGGGGTATTTCTATGACTTCTATGGCGACACTTTATTGAATGAGTCATAATTTCCCGTTTTATGAAGAACGTCAAGATTGTATTTTTATTTTTCTTATCTTGGCTACGGTCAGTAAGAATTCAGCTCCATGCAGAATAATAATTCATCTACCTCTACTAAGTTCCTATTATGAATCCTCCTTCTGTTACTCCTATTAAATGAAATGGCATAATCGCGATGAATTTTTAACTGGCGCGAACATAAGTGACGTCGCGCTGTCGCCTCGGTCGTGCTGAGCAAGTCCTTAACCTCGATCGCAGTGATGGGAAACGACCGTGCAAGGCCGCTGTATTCGAAACCATACCGCGCTACGGCGCCTCCTCAATCACGGTAAATGATCCTCAACTGGTTTAATTTTATGTCGCTTTCAGATACTTAATTGTTTGACCGGTGTTTCCGAGCGCCATTTTCATGAACTTGTTCCCCGACAGGGTTCTTGTCGTTCTTCAATCCCTAACGTCGTCTGCAGGGCTTTCAATCCCTTCAAACCAAAAAAATATTGTCCTCGATTCCGCAATCACGATTATTTATTTATTCATTTTTTTTTTGAAAAATCCCCAAATCCTTTGTTCCGTTATCATAATACCGAATGAGGCAGCTCTAAGCCATTAGACATGTTAGACCCTGTAGTTCAACAGACAGTACTTGTGGCCCCATAAAACCTGTTGGAAGTTAAAACCTTCGACAAAAAAACATTTTGTTTGAAACGAGCTACAATGGATGAATCCGCCCCCGTTTTTTGGAAAACGAAGTTAAGTGCTCAGCCTTTGATGTAGAAATGATTTTTCATTCTCAAGCAAATAAAAGTGACACAGAAGGGCGAGGGTTTTTGGAACTTGGAAGTGGCCTATCCTCGCGGTAGTTTCAGACTAACGCTTGTTTTGTGAAATAAAGGGCTGTGAATTCCCTTTCATATTTCTGATTTGTCTTAGGCATAGTGTACAGTTCTTGTTTTGACAAGATTTACGTCATAATTGTTTGCTGTAAGGTCGCTACCGCATCCAAAGAAGAAACAATGATCACTTTCACCCATTCTCTATTTTCCAATTGCCCATAATACACTCTGTTTGCCCCCAAAATTCTGCATAAACCATTGTTTTTAAATGCTCCTGGGAGTATTGCATTTTCCCAAGAGCATTTTAAGACAATAAGTTATGCAAAATTTGGGAGGCAAACAGAGTGTATTATGGGCAATTGGAAAATAGTCAATAAACTGCCATTATCGTCTTCATTTTCTGTTGTCCAGAATAAACAAACTCGACCGCGATTTCTTGCATCAGCAATTTTGCCCCCTGAGAAACCACGTGACATTGCTTTTATCCCATCAGCCAATAAGGTCTATTGGACCACAGGGCACCCACACAATCTGTTTGTGTAGCCGATTGTTATTTTATAGTAAATGTACTGGATTTACCGTTTGCTTCACCTATAGCGATATATCGCTAGCTATGTATATAAATCAATGATAAATAAACGTTGAATTACCTTGCCTGTGGTGTATAGTCGTTCTTTTGCCTCAAAAGCGGTTTTTTGAGCGATTTTGAATGAATTTGAATATATATGGAACAGTCAACGGCGAACTCAAATTCATTCAAAATCGCTCAAAAAACCGCTTTTGAGGCAAAAGGACGACTATAACCACAGGCAAGGTAATTCAACGTTTATTTATCATTGATTTATATACATAGTTAGCGATATATCGCTATAGGTGAAGCAAACGGTAAATCCAGTACATTTACTATAAAATAACAATCGGCTACACAAACAGATTGTGTGGGCGCCCTGTGATTGGACACCCTGATCATACGCCGTTTCCACTGGTGTACTAGTAGAGATTATTTACCTGTGGCTTTGTCCGTAAGTGCGGCTACACCTTTGCTTACTCCTACGATACCAGTAGGCAGACTGCACGTACTCTTTACAGGCTGTTGCGACCACTGTAGTAACCGGAGCCACCTATTGTAGACAAACGGCCCCGGTTACAGAAGTCGCACTGTAAGTTAAAAGATGAGAATTCTACCGGCTCGCTGCTGAGTATTGCAATGAGACATGCAGTCTTCAACCTTATTAGCTAGCGATAAATACTATACTGGGTAACCACTGATCTACACCTCTCACTAAGGAATTAAGACGGAATCCACCAGGAAATTGAGTAATTTTTTAAATTTTCAGTTGACAAAAACCTTGTACCAGAATAATTTAAAGAATATTGCATTCTTTTTTACATTTTTCTAGGGCTACAGATGTAATTATTTTAGTAATCTGTAATGACACCAAAGAAAATTTCTTATGAGTGCCCCAGAAAATGCATATGAATATCAAATTTCACAAAATTACACCTTACACATGAAATTTTCAGAATTCTACCCGTGTTTTCACAATTCTTGTGAAATTTGACATTCATTTTCTCCGACTCCCATGAGAAATTTTCGTTGGTGTTACTACAGATGACTAATTACATCTTTAGCCCTTGAAAAATGTAAAAAAAGAATGCAATATGCTTTAAATTATTCTGGTACAAGGTTTTTGTACACTCAAAATTAAAATTACTCAGTTTCCTGGTGAATTCCGTTTTAATATTGAATATGTTTCCCCTCAGGTGTCTTCCCATACTTAATACAGAATTTGGAACCAGGATTATATTATGCCTCCCGTTGGGAACTGATATGAAGCATTTTTAATGCGCTTTCAATTCCCCAGGTGTTTGATTGGGTGATCTGGATTTAGATTTGAATGCCAGGAAAAATATCCTTGGATTTCCTTTCTTTCCGTTTTATTGGGAAATCCGAAAAAGGATCTCAAACTGGGCTCTTCTCAAGACCTGCAGTTTCGCACGCCCCCACGTAATTAGTGGAAAAAAAGGGCCAGACAAACTCGGATTTAAAAACTATGAAACGGTAAAGAAGAAAAAACCCATCAAATCTGGATTAAGATTTCTTTATTGAAATCCATCCGAAATCTGTTTTCAGATTTTGCGTTTTATTGCACAATCCGCAATCCGTTCTTTAAATTAATCCAGACTTGCTAATCGGCATTATACTTTACTTCTCTCAGGAAAGAGCCAGTGGAAGATTTTGAAGTACTGGCGTATGTTTTCAAACCATTGCTTTTTGGGCGATCGATTATGTAGTGCTGCATGTGTCTTATCCGCTGTTTTATTTGTTTTGTTTTTGTTGTTATTGTTTTGATTGCATCGAACGAGCAACAATTATGGATGTTATTACAATTATGTCTATATTTTGCTTGAAACATCATCTGAAAATAATTCGAAAAAGTTATAAAATATCTGTATAAAGACAAACGTACGGAAAGTAATTTTAAAACCTGAAACAAAAAGTGATGTTTGAGAGGACCTAACGCAGCTATTAAATTATACGTAACTAAGTTCTTTTTGGCCGGACCACCAGACCTGTTACCACATGATCACATGATCATACCACAAGCATGGGGAGCAAGGGTGGCGCAGTGGTGAGAGCGCTCTCCTCCCACCAATGTGGCCCGTGTTCAAATCCTGGCGTCGACGCCATATGTGGGTTGAGTTTGTTGTTGGTTCTCTCCCTTGCTCCGAGAGGTTTTTCTCTGGGTAGTGTATGTCCGGTTTTCCCCTCTCCTCAAAAACCAGCACTTCCAAATTCCAATTCGATCAGGAATCGGATAGACGAAGAACCACTTTGTGGATGTGCTACCTCCAAATCATTATTATTATTATTATTATTATTATTATTATCATTATTATTATTATTATTATTATTACAAGCAATACCTCGTCCCATGGTAAGTAAGGCTCTTCTCAGCGTATACAGCGTAATAGGCAAAGCAAAGTGCGTCCAACGGGTACGTGTATCCCTCCCAAGAAACTAAGCAAGAACCTACGCCCTGAGTAGCCTGCGAACACAGATGTATTTACAGGATACTCCCGGAGACGACAGTTAAAAACCCTCTCTAAATTTGTTATGACGACTGAAACACCCCAGGAGATGAAGCCTGGGCATGAGTCATGCGTTCGCACCGCATTGGTGGATTCAGAATAACCTTGGTAACTGGTGTGACGTTCTTGTGAGATGATAACACAAACTTAACGAGCATCCTGGCTTATTCACCCATCAAAGCACTAGGAGTCTGGTTGCGTACGCTCGGGTTTATTGGCGGGGTTTTTACAATTTGGATGCTAAGAACTTCGGTAACTAACGACCAAACCTGAAGAGTTCATTCTACAACACAAAGGCAACCGTTTTTGGAATAAAGGTTAGTAATTGCCAACTTTTCTGCAACAGGAGGGCTTTAAAAGACTGTGCGTGATATTGACTGAAATAGCTAGGCTGAAGTGTACCAGTCATAGAAAGTAATCTCGACCTAACGTTTTCGTGATTTCTAAAGTAGGAATTGATTTAACTAATCCAAGTTATATGCCAGCAACATGTGAATCCGGTAGCACAGTAGGACTGGATATAAGTTTAACGGTGCGATGCGGTTCGAATTCTCAAGGCATTCAAAAGAAAGCGATTTTTAGCACAAATTCCACATTACATTCTTTTCTCATAGTTCCTGCTTAAATCACTGCAACGGTACATGTGGTTATGTATAAGAAAGTTCCAATCTTACAAGATTTTCTGATTTTTTTTTATTGCTCCATGATCTTTTGGCCAACTTGATTAAATCACGAATTTCGGTTTCGGTCAAGTTAGAAAAAAAGTTAGTTTTGTTCTTTGTTCTTTTCACATCTTATTTATTATGGTGTTAGCTCAGAATGTTACTTGTTTTTTATGCTTTGACTAAAGATTTGTGTGTCCGCGTGTCTTGGTAAAAGTTTTCCAGATGTGTCTAAGAGATAGATTTTTATCTGTAGACGAAAAAAGCCTACTGCGTTTTTACAAATTATAGAAAACTCTCAAATTCTTTGTTGTATAGAATATTTTACTGTAATGTGCTAATGATCCCAGGAAAAAGCACTGTAAAAGAAATTTCATTTTAATGGTAAAACCACTGGTTTTGTTCATAGACTCAAGTGGTAGAACAACATCACATCGTCCCGTAAGAGTAAAAGAGTTAATGGAAGGAAGCAAATTACAGTCAATTTAAATTTCAATGGGAAAACTACGCAAAACTAAATCGAATCCGTTATGATGCAAAACAGCTATGATCTGTGATGGACAAATATCTTTTGAACCGAGTTAATGGATCACAACAGCGTTTATAATCGACAAGGAAGCTTTTGTCTTTGAATTAAAGCATACTTCTATCTAAGCAGTTTCAATTTGCAGCTGTTTTAAAGGAAGGCCTCGATCGTTGTACGTCAATATATTTAAAAATACTTTACAGAAAGTGCGCTCTTTATATGGTACGTTGATGTGTCTGAGTAATTTGTTAACAATGATTGAATTTTGCTATGCAGATCTTTTAGGATGTTTTCCACCAAGGCCGAATAGCGTCTGAGAGGGGCATACTTCCTCACATCATACTAAAGTCTAATTCACTAATAATTATTTTACTATCCATTCAAAATACTTCTTAGTTGTTAACCACCTCAGCGCCTCGTATAAGAATTTCTTCTAACATTTGCCTGTTTCTCGACACTGTTTCAGGATATAAACAGCATTTTTCATGCAGATACACCTTAAAAAGTAGATGAAATCTATCGAGCAATATTTTTTTGCTTATTATTGCTTTTCGACCGTTCAGTTTCAGTCTAAAATTCGGCTATTCGGCTATTTCTTTATTTTCACTCCGGGATGCCGGGTTCTAAATCTCTGCTCAACTAAAGCGATTGTTGCCTGAAAACGAGGCTGCTAGATGTGACCCCTTTGAATCGATGGGTTATTGCACACATTTTCCAAATATGGTAAACGCCTGGTGGTAAAAGAGAATTAGCTGGGGAATTGGAACCAATCAGAAAGAGCGAAATATTTTGAATGAATAATAATTAAACAGATGGGTTTTTTCCAACAGATGTTCCTCAAAAAGTAGATTACATCTATCAAGCAATTTCTGTTGTGTATTCTTGCATTTTTTTCGTCCAGTTTTAGACAGAAATTAGACAAATTCTGCTTGAGGACGAAACTTAAACAGCAAGGTCACGAAATTTGTACATTCATTATAACTGGGCTTTTTTTACTTTCTTAGCCGGAAATGAATAAGGTAAAGCGTGTTTGTGTGATTGGTGCAGGACCCAGTGGAATGTCCGCTTTGTATCAATTCAAGCAATTGGAAATGAAGGGACAGGAAATTCCAGAGATAGTGTGCTTTGAAAAACAGTCTGATTGGGGTGGTCTCTGGAAATATTCATGGCGTACAGGTAAGGTTGCCATCGCGTTTTGTCGAGATTTACGTTGGCTAAAACTTTCGTTTGCCCAGGGTGCCTGTAGAGACTTTTCTTTCATATGAAAAAATACATTATAGTCTTAAAGTTTCAAGTTTTAGTCCTGTTGCTTTCGATTCTACCGCATAGTCTTTATACACGGTTTCTGTTCATTCGGTCAAGTCCTTCTATCCAATAATCTGCGCGAAAGGTGTTTTCTTCCGGCTACGCCTCTCGTAGTTTCGGACTTTGGCGGACGTTCTGTCGGGCAATACCAAAGCCGTCCCGCCGCACGCGAGTAAAAAGCCTCCAGTACCCAGAGAATGTTCCTTCAACACTTTCTGAAAACGCCGTCTCTTAAAATGACATCACAATGAAAGAGTAGTCAAGACTGAATGGCTTAGCTTGTTGGAATCGAGTAACAAGCAGTACAGATTAAGGCGCAATATATCGTCTCCGCATCTCTTTTGTTATCGCAAACCTTAGGACAGACATAGTTCCACATTTTCACTTATCTATTATTTGAATTTGTTTCTGTTCCCAGTTCCTTTTTTCGATATTAAGTTATAGCGCACCCATTCACTTTCTTGTCAATTTTACTGATGAACTGTTTGTTTTACCTTTGTCCTTTTTCCTTGACGGGTGTTATTTAGATATTTAGGCAAAGACCGCTTATAATAAACGGGCCCTCGCCTCACATGCATTAGCTAACTTCAAAAGACCCTGGTTAGTACGACCAGGAGTTGGCTCGGTATCCATCGCATCCCACCGTTTTATTTGAAAAGACTCTAGTGTTCATGTGCAAGAAGGTTTCTCGGTTTTCGTGACATCAATTTGATGCCGGTTTAGAAGGAAATTGGTGCATTCGAACAGGTTGCAGTGGTTAGGTTCCTGTGATGAAAACGCGGCAAATTAAAAAAGTGAACTGGGATGGTCGCAGTTCGGGTAATTGCAAATAAACCCGAAAACAATTTCGGGTTGTCAAAGGGATTCGAACCCATGGCCCCTGCGTTAGCGCTGCAGTGCTCTACCAATTTAGCTATGAAGACCCATACATTGGGAGCAGGCCAGTTTGCATCCTCGGAGACCCAGGAGCAGTTAATCGGGTCGATAACAAACATTTTATCGACCCGACTAACTGCCCCTGGGTCTCCGAGGATGGCCAATTTGTCGAGTTCATCTTAACCCGTGAATGAAATGAAATAATGAAGATGACGTAAAACAATAAAGTATATTCAGGCAACAATTAACAACAAAACTCTAACGTTTCTGTTCAAGGACTTTATAGAACTACTTTATGGAAGTCAAAACATTTCTCGGGGAAAATTAATGAGCAAGAACTAATAAATCATTACCGCAAAGTTACAGTGCGACTACTCGAACCGGGGCACTTGGAGAAAAATTATCCAATCACATCGTTTTTTGAAAATAAAAGATTCTCAAGCTTTTTTGCAAAAGGACCGGTAAAATTCAAGGTTCAATTATGCCACCCACCTTCGAAAACTTTTTAAAGCTTTAAGATCAAACGGTTTAAAAACCATTTGATCTTACCTGAGCTCTCAGAAAAAGCGAGTTCAATTACTGTGAGGACGGAAGTTTTCATCAGTAAGTATATTCAAACCCTGTCCGTCAAATTGTCAACATTTACCGGTTCTTTCAGCCTAGTCCCTAGGTGTTTTCGGCTCGGTCAATCCTGGACTCTACCATTTTTCCTGGGATAGTGACGTCACCGCAGAAAATATCCCACCGCGAAAAGGCGCCCGCTCTTTCCCAGAATTCGCGCGGACAACGGGGCAAATAAACAATGATTAATAACTTTCAAATTGCGGTTTTAATTTACAAGGAGAATGACAGACGAATTAATACTTTGCTGGTCATGACCAATTTAATTTACGCTCATGATATAAATTTTCACGCGATGCCGCTTTACTATCCCTGAGGACAAATGGGGGACTACTCGTAGTCTAGATATAAATGCGATGCCGAATTTTAAACCGGCAATTAACTTAATAAAACTCTTACAAGTGTAATTTACAAGTGTAGCTATTGTTTCGGACCCCGAAACAATGGCTACACTTGTAAATTACACTTGTAAAAGAATTACTAAATTGACCCCAGTTAATTCCATGTTGGTACTTAATTTCGCGATTTTGGCGAGATGAGACAGTATTTCGCACGGGATGTTGGCGATTTTGAATAGGAACATATGAAAAAGGGGCATTGAATTTCGCGAGGACTTTTCTCCGCGGGTCTTTATTTTTCCGATTTTTTTTATATTAATCACTCGCGAAATTAAGTACCACTAAGGTATATGAAAATTATGAAAAGATGTTTCTTAAGCAACTGAATGGTATGCGTTCCCCTCAAACGGGGGACAAACCGATGACTTTCTTATAAATGAGTGGACGTCTATAACACAGCCTTATACTAGAAGCAAGAAGGCATTTATCATGGCAATTTGTAATTCTGTGCCTACGTCAAATACCTGTCTTAGTCTTCTTCCTTAAGGAAATTATCGATTGACTTTAATTTTTTGTCAGATACCGATGAATACGGAGAACCTGTGCATGGAAGCATGTACCAGGGTCTGTGGACAAATGCTCCAAAGGAATGTTATGAATTTCCAGACTATACTTTTGAGGATCATTTTGGAAAAGCTATTCCATCGTATCCACCAAGGGAGGTTTTTTACGATTACCTGACAGGTAAGAATGTGCTTGAAAATTAATCCTATTTGGGCGGGTGAAACTTAGCCAGTGCTAGGATGAAGTTTAGTAGACCTCGGTGTTGCTGATGACCTCTCTCTTTCGGCCCAAACGTAAAAACGCTTGGTCACCTCGGTATCTGAAAACCTAGTCAACAAAATCACCTCCTTTACACAATCAGATTCTAGGGGGTGGAGGGAGGGGATTAAAAAACCTAAGGTCAACATAAAAGGGAAGTACCGTTGACCTTCTGTCTTCTTTACCTATTTGTGTAAAAAAAGTGGGTACCTGTGACTTAAAACGGGCAACAAAAAAGGAGCAGCTTGTTTTGCAACATTGCTGCAAAACGAGTTGAATAGCGATGTTGCGCTTTTTACCCACGTTCGGACCTGCCTAGTAATAAACAAATAATTGCAAGGATTTTTTTCCGGGGTGGTTAAACGCGTAAAATCGCAAATCAACTCGTAAAACAAGTTGCACTTTTTTTGTTGGCCGTTTTACCGTACCTTTAGGTCGTTCAAGTATATGCATGGGGCAGTAATACTGATGCAGCTGTTGTGGAGCTGTTGTGGACGTGAGAATCTGACCTAACCTTAACCTCTTCCAGTAGTCACTCTCCCACGCATCTTAGCTGTTCTAATGTGCTCTAATCTCTTTGTAATTTATCTGCCCAAAAGGAAAACTATTCGGACGTACAACTGAAATGGTTGTGGCTCAGAGTTATGGTGTGTTTATTACAGGAAGTTTGCGTCCACATTGCTGATATTGAATTTTTAATTTATTCATTATTTTACTTAAAATTTTAGCAAACGTTTTCTTTCCCAGGTCGGTGGTCTAACAGCAATCTTCGTCCTTGGATTCACTTCAGCCATGTTGTTCGTCATGTTACCTACAACGATTCTACCGACGACTTCACTGTAGTCGTCAAAAACCTTTCAGAAGACAAGCTCCTTCCAGCTGAGAGATTTGACTACGTCATTGTAGCAACTGGGCATTACTCCACTCCCAACATCCCTTTCTTCACTGGAATTGAGAGGTTCCCTGGTCGAGTTATTCACTCACACAGCTTCAGAAATGCCTCTCACTTCAAAGGCAAAAGAGTTCTTGTCATTGGTTCCAGCTACTCAGCAGAAGACATCGCTCTCCAGTGTCTTAAGTACGGCGCTGAAAATATCATCTGCTGTTGGCGAACGCTACCGATGGGATTCAAATGGCCCCCACAGATAACAGAAAAGCCACTGCTCACCAAGCTGGAAGGAAGCACAGTCCATTTTAAGGATGGTAGCACGGCAGAGGTTGATGACATCATACTCTGCACAGGCTACCACTACTTCTTTCCTTTTTTGGAAGACCGTCTGCGCCTGAAATCCCGCAATGTTTGGTACCCTGAGGGACTTTACAAGTCGATTCTCTGGACCCGGGGTGGAAATAACAAGGTTCTGTACATAGGGATACTGAATCAAATATACAGTTTCACCATGTTTGATGTTCAAGCAAAGTGGGTGGTGAATTATATCATGGGGGAACTAAAACTTCCCGATAATCAAAAAATGGAAAGTGATAGCAGGAAGTGGATTACCAGGTACTTATTCGATTTAGGTGACTCACTACCGACAGGCTTTTTATCTGGCGGGAGATCTACAATCCCGGACAAAACTACTTGAGAACGTTTTTTTGTTAATACGCACTACCTAACGCAACAAAACTATTTCCAACTCAGTCACTTTGCCTAAAGAAATTCCCTCTCCCGGTTCAAAGTTGCTTCCTACAAACGTCTAAGTTTCTTTTGAAGACACAACAACACTGCTTCTAGGGGGTGAGGGGAAGGAAAAACTCTTACTTCTACGATGCAGTTTTTATCAAGCGTTTTGTCCAAGATTGTAGACCAATTTCACTCGGTATTTATAGCAATAAAAATAGGCTATTTGACAAAATGACCAGTATACTCTTATAAGTAGGGAGTACACTCATTTAGATAGGAAGTGATGTTTAAATCTTGAGTAGAGCTGCGCACATTTGCAACACTCAAAGTGAAACCAAGATGTAAGTACCAGGGTGGCTGACGCAGGACCCGAGAGGAGGATAACGCCACAGGTTACTAAGTAATGCAGCCGCCTTTCCTTCTCCATTTCACCTCTGGCCTTCAGCGTAATGGTACGTCATGGGAAGGTCTTGCGCTGATTTCTGACTTCCTGGGGGATTGCCTCGCCCCTTCCGGGCCTTCCTTTAAGATTCTGCTTGTAGCGAACGCAAGGACGGCCTTGCTTCCTTTTACCATCTTCTCGTGCGTTTGACACTCGTGAAATGAAAGGTCAGTCTATCAGCTAGGACTTCATCAGCATTGCCTCAATTATTATTTTGTTGGTATTGGAATTTAAAGTTGGGGAAATTGTCCTGCCATCAGATGCCTCTCACGAATCGCTGGGCACTCAGGTCTGCCCAGCTGCTTGATGTGACTGCGGTTAACCTTCCGAGTCTCACAACCGTCCAGGAGGTAAGTGAAGACAACGGTACTACATACCTTCAGATAGTGGAACACGTTGTGGTAAAGTTGAGTACCTTGATGTACATGAGTCTTCCAAGTGCCTGCCTTGCCAGGTTCAGCCAACCCTCATACAAACGGCACCTTAGGAGCAAAGTCAAGTGGCCGCTGTAGATGGTGAATAAACAGCAAATATATCCCCTAGGTCCCGGAGTGTAGGTTGTCTCCTCTCCCGATTTTTCCTGAGGGAGGGGGGACGTCTGTACACAGGCTACTGGGGGGCGGGCAGTCGGGGCAAAAATGTTGCCGATGTTAAAGGTTCGACTGTACCGTAGGCGCTGATTTATTACGTCTGTATGTCTTCGGGTTGGTGTGTTTTCAAGGGAAAATCGTATTCAATGAGAGCTTCGTAGTCAATTCGTGTCTTGGATTCTACCGTGAGATAGCGAAGGCCAAATATGGATCCATGAACCTCTTACCAATTCTACTTGGTTTCTTGGATAGCTTGGATTTCATGCTTGACAAGAACGGTGACGAACCCCTAGGAAAGTCTGCGTGGGAGGCTAAGATTAGAACGTTTTAAGCCAGAACCGGTGCAGCCTTGCGTCACCAAATTGCTAATCTTGGAAGTGTGAGACTCTCAGCCATTTGAGATAACTTGCTTTTCATGCTAGTATGGATGATACTGAGGTTTCCCCTTGAACGCGCTCAAGGCCTAAATATGGTCGATGAGCTCGATTCTGTTCGATACATTTCTCTCGCTTGCACTTTGCGCATTTAAACATCTGATGGCGTCATTAGTTTATTATGATACAATCTAAAAAGCGCAGCCATTGACTCTTCATTTAAGGGGCAGCGCGGCCGGGTAATAAGAGCCTTGGGCTTGCAATCGAGAGGCAACGACTTCAAGCCCCGCCCTAAATTCTAGCTGGATTTGTTCACGGTAGTTCCGAGTTCAAATCCTCGACAAATAGCCATCCAGTTTGGCTCCAGCCAGCTGGATTTTTTTGATCCGGTATTGTTTGATTTTTATTATTTGGTTCAGTCATTTGCTCAGTCCTCGCCAGCCTTAGTGCTATAAACGTTACCGAAGGTAAACAAAATAATTCTTTTCATTTATTTACCTTCATTATTTACTTTTTCATTCATTTTCACTGGTATTATGACGAAGTGTTACCTTACAGTATTGTAATTTCTTTACCCACGGCGTACTTATGAGTTCATAAGAACTTGTTGAAACGTGTCCGTGTGTTCCAGATCGAATTAGAATTTGGAAATGTTTGGGTTTTAAGGAGAGGGGAGAACCGGATACCCGGAGATAATCCCCCGGATACCCGGAGATAATCCTTTTAGAGCAAGGGAGAGGACCAACAACAAACCTAGCCCACATGGTGTCGACACCAGGATTTGAACTTAGGCCACATTGGTGGAAGGCGAGTGCTCTAACCACTGCGCTACTCTTATTCGCCAGTAGGCCCAGTCGAGCCTATGCCCACTTACCACTCCCCTAAGCCAATATTGACACTTACTTCTCACTTAGGGCAAAATGTTGGTTTGGTGGAGGGGTAAGTAGTCAGATTCCCAGAAATGTATAATAACCCTGCAAATTTCGGGACGGTTATTATGGGTTATTTTGTTTTCTGCATTGTTTTTCATTTTTATGTGATTTTTATCAACAGGATGGACGACATCAAAAGTGTAGACGACACTATCGACTACCAGACAGCTTATGTTGCGGAAATTGCTAATGAGTCAAACTACGGCCACGATATAGATGTATCAGAGATCCTTCATGCCTGGAACAATTACAAACAGGACCACATTACCACCTACAGAAACCAAAGTTTTACAAGCAAGTATACTGGAAACAAGGCCCCACTTCCGTTCACTCCATTTATGGAAGAGTTTGACGATTCCATGAAGCACTTTCTTAACTCTGAGCAGTGAATTGTCAGCTCCCATACAAAAGCTGCGGACGTCTGATATATTTACTACCACTTTATAACAGTATATTTATCGAAAGTACAATCAAGGTGTACTGCGACATGACAGAGTCACGCCATGCAATCCTGAATATTTATCTCCGTCAGTAGATGTTTATGATATTTCTTTTCGAAGAATAATAGGGAATAAAAAGGGCCATAAACGTAAAGGACCGTTATCTCTATACTGATACAAAGGTTTTCAAATGGGTTCTACTATTCATTCTGAGTGAATCACGATAGGGTACGGGCCACACATTATTCTACCATCAGGCACACGTTTCTCTAATTGTTCCGCGTTTCAACACTTGCTACATAAAAGACTCAGCCGCGTATAGGGGTTCAGTCCTATGGAACACAGTAAGCTAGAACCGGCGATGCGAGAACATTAGGTTATGACGTCAGCGTACGCCTGCCCATACAGACTGACAGGGAGGGACACCAGTGAACGACAAAAGTGCTTCTGCAAGGGAGGGGACGGGGGAGTTCAAAACATGCAGCTTTGCGTTTGTCTAGGAGAATAGATAACCAGTTCATTCAAAAGCATTGAAGTTTCTTTTGTTTGGGTAACGACAAAAAACTTTCAAAAATATATTTAACTTGGTCTAGGACCAATCTACCCTAAGATTGGTCAACGTTTTGACAGGTGTCATGCATAAAAGAGAATGTGACACCTGAAAGTTTGTTGACACGGTGTATTTCCTGTTGTTTCATGAAGAACAGTAGCACTGTCATGAAGACACTTATGTCCAGAAATGCATGCAATGGAGAAAAATCGCCAGAGGGCCGACGACTCAAATTGGATGCCAGAAGTGGCCCCTTGGAGGGTGGTGATTTAAGCGAAACTGGCAAAATTTGGCAAAAATGGCGAGAAATCGCAACGTCCTTTGGAGAGTGGCACAAATGGTGAAAAATTGCCAGAGGACTCCCAACGTCCAGAATGTGGCAAATATTCAAATTGAATGCCAAATATTGCCCCTTTAAATTAGATAACTAAAGAGGTCCCTATAACTGTGAGGCAACATTTATAAAATACAACTGTATCAAATCTGTCAGAAAACGCCTTTACTTAACTGTGAGGCAACATTTATCAAATACAACGCGATCAAATATATCAGAAAACAATGAATGCAAGTCGTTTCGGTTAAGATTATGTATCTTAACTTAATTTAGGTCGAACCAAATTTGAGTTTCATTTGTCTCATGAAAGTTTGACGTTTGGCCTAGGCCTAAAAAAGACTACAAAGTTTCCTCCCACGACAAATTTTCTTTGGAGTGTCTCAGTTGGCCATCACTTGCTCACTTGATAGCTTTCTTTCAAATGCTATTCAGTGTTTGTTTCCATTGGATTCTTTTCCACTCCATGCTAACTGGGCAAAAACTGACAGCTCAATCAATCGAATGCAAGCTCTTCCCTTTTTCCTTCCCCTACCTCAGAGCCCCCTACCATGCGTAGCAGGCGCTTGGAAGTAATGGGCACAAGAGAGAACAAGGCGCGCGAAGAAGACACACACGAGGAGAGGTGTCTCCCTCGTGTGCCTGTTTTTTCTTGCACCCATTACTTCCAAGGACCTGCTACCCATGCTAACAGCCCCTCCAGAGATCTTTCTCACAGGCTACAAATGTTGCAATAACTCTTACCCCTGTTGACTCCAAAGAAAATCATGTTTACAAATATTCCTATTAATGACAATTGTCCTTTAATTCAGTTACTCTGTATTCTAACTTTCTGCCTATTTTCTACTTAAATTCTAGTCCTTCAATTGAATATAAATTTTTCAGCAAAGTTTATTGTGATGTGTTAGCAATCATAACAAAGATCAGGACACACAAGCAAGCCACAATACATCTGTATGAGTTTAGGCTGTATTCACACCATACCAGACAGCTTTTTGCTGCCGACCCAAAAAGCTCTCTGGTAAAGTATGAACACCTTTTCAATAAGTGACTCTCTGCTTTAGGGCCTGCTTACATGGAGGTGGGAGACCCCAGGTATGTGAGGTAACCTGCAGCAGGTCACCCCACTTATCATGTAAAAGTGATCAAATTACTATGAGAGATCATATGGACAGGAAGGTTACCTGACCTACCTGGGGTCCCCCACCTCTATGTTAACAGACCCTAAGAAATTGGCAAGACACAGCTTCACTCTGTTACAGAAATCAGGCCAAATTAAATAATTCTTATGTATGAATGGAAGACCTATCCGGTATGGTTTTCGTGCCAATGTAAAAGTTATTCGGTACAATGTGAACATAGGCTTAGTTTTCTCATGCCTACAATTGGCTAGCCTCCGCACAGAATTCCCTGTTGTCTTTGCTGCATATGGAAAAGAGACAGCATTGCGCAGATGTTCCTTTTCCTTGTGAAACAAAGGAAATGGAGACATCTTCACACAAGCTAATAATTGACATTTACCTGTCAACACCATAACATCTCACAAATAGTAATAAAGTGTTCACAGTTTTCTACGTTTCACAGTACAAGTGACGCTCATGCTCACAGCTTGAGTTCTAACTTCTAAGAAATTCTGGCTAGTTTATAGGAACAGCACTTTTACCCACTGAGTATGTCCTTCAGTTATTATTAAAGTAGATGCGTCGTCTTAGTGTAACAACTGGGGCTGGGCACTGCTTATATCCAGCTCTTGTATAGGCCTCAGACACCTCATCGTTAACTTTTACCATCATGGATGTCACGTCATATCTCTCGCAGTACTTTCTGAAAACTTCACATAGCTTAGAAATATACCAGGAGCCATGAACTTGGCTTCGCCAGCTGACATAACCTGAGATGAGACATAAAAATCAACTTTCCAGTGTTTCTCTCCATGACTGTAAAAGTGTATACAGGTAATGATGTTTATGGCTGCAACACTATTCATAGTATGGCAGTATATACACCTTATTCCAAAATGGCCAATTTTATTGTTTTGTCTTCATGATAATTGGCCCTGAATGCAGTGATCACTTCAAGTGACTTTTTCAGTTATGACTGTTTTTCAGTAGTTCATGGCATTTACATTTGACCTTTTGTCTTTTGCTTGTCCTTCATAAACAATAGCTAAAAGAATACAATTACTGTCGACTAATCAGCACTCTTTGACCAGATTCCTGAGAAATCTACGTTATCAGTATGGCGTTTTTGGGGCTGAATTAGCAGACCTCTCTACCGCGGAATGTCGCGAGCAGTGAGGAGAAAGGAGAAACAACTGTATTTGCAGGCTAGGGTCCATCATAAATTAATATAAAAAGAAAGTAGTACAGTCAGACCTCTATGAAGCAGTCACCCTCTTTTAAGTGGTCACTTACCAAAGTCCTGGAAATCATTTCCCTTAATTACTGTAAAACTGACCTGTATTAAGCAGTCACCTTTATTTGGTAGTCACAGTCACCTTTTCCGAGGTCCCAACGACTTATTTTTTATTGTCTTCATCTCTATTAAACAGTCACTTTGAGAGAACGTACCATGCTAGTGCAACAGGTCACACTGCGTATGATGTCAAGCACAGGCCGCCCAAACTCATTACATGAACGCGGACGTGACTCTTGCTTGCGAGCGGTGTTGTGTTACAAACGGTTATTTATAAAGGCTTGTATGGGTTGGGACACCAAAATAGCGCTAACTCGCCGAAAACGCTTCAAAACGGCTGGAGACGCGGGCAAACAACAAAGAATACAAACAAGGCAATAAGGTAAGTCGAAAGAAAAACCGATCGATCCCATAGAAGCCTTTGTAAATAACCGTTTGTAACACAACACCGCTCGCAAGCAAGAGTCACGTCCGCGTTCATGTAATGAGTTTGGGCTGCCTGTGTGTCAAGTGGTCTTTAACCTTTTTCTTTTCGCCCAAGAAGAGGTAGAAACAGGTAGGGGTCAATTTGTCGTGGGACAGATATTTTGCTCTTTAAATAGTCAACCAATCAGATCAACAACCAGAGTATAATACCAATGATCAACTGACGTGATACAACCCACTTTGACTCTGAAGATGACTACCACACAGGTTGTCGAAATGTCAGTCACTGTCGACAACAACAGTCCTATTCAGGACTATGTTCACCCGGGCGATCAAACTCAACCTACTTTTGAAATGACTCCTGGGTTCAAACCTTTCACAGTCAACCTCGATTAAGCGGTCAGTAAGCCATTCCAAAAAAGAGACTGCTTCATACAGGTTTGACTGTATTATAAAAGTGGATTTGATCCTTGCAGTAAAGTAAGAGAGTAGTTTTGTCACCAATTTGGAATGAGGTGCATTATACCTTTTTAGAGCAGTTGTTTAGACCAGTGTACACTGTGCAATCTATTTGCAGAAAAATTCTTTTCAGTTTTTTTCGTTTCTCAAATATGATTGGTCACACACACACACACACAAACAAAACAAGCATTTTGAAAACTTATTTGGCATTCAATGATTCTTTTAGTTCTTGTCAGAGTAATAAAATTCTAAACAAAATACCTGGAGGTGTGGCATAGCCAAGGAGGAAGTGACTTTCATTGGGTTCAGCATTATGCCGCATTGCCTCCTCAGAGCTTATTTCTGCTGCATCAGCCTGTAACTGTGCCCCTTTATCAAAATTCCTGCCTCTGCAAGCTTGGATAAAGAACAGCTTGGGTTTACTGGCAAGGGAAGGGCATGCGACTCCCTTAAAAAGGGCCGTTATATCTTGAATTTCGACAAGCTCACAGTCTGTACCAAAAATTCCACCATTTTCGCCATGACTGAGAAGGCAACAAACAAAACAGTCATATTGACTGTGATCTTTGGCTGAAATTTCTCTCAGAACATTGTACACCTCTTGTGACTCAAGATCCCGTTGTAAAATCACTTCAAAATTTAAAAACTGCCAGAGCTCTTGAAGGTGCTGAACATCTTGCTCATTTCCTTGCCTGTCCCGCAAGTATGGATTCTCCACAAAGTGCTCATTGCTTATGATCAGAGCAATTCCACGTGGACGCTGTGTCATGGGATAGGAAGGCATTGCCTCCACCTCGTCGACTCCAAACCCCTGCAATTGCTCAACTAGATCTGCTTGATTTGGCATTGCTTGGACAGGGAAGCGTGGCTCAGAATTTTCAGGTCGAGGTTTGGTAAATGCAGCTGGAGATAGCAAAGGAATATTTGGTGCTCCAGACTCATGCGTAACTGGCTGCTTTCCCGTTACTGATCTGGATCTGGGAAGCTGTGATTGTACTGGTCTGTTCATTACAGGGGGTTGCGTGATACCACTTGCACTAGTTACACCCCCTAAATTCATAAAGAAACAAAAAATAATAATTTCCATATATCAAAGATCTAACAGAATAAAACAAAGTCATCAAATCAACAAGATCATAGGGTAGGTGCAAATGGGCAGTGTCCTCTTTTTCTTCAAAGCTACCTTCAATAGTTATTTTGCCCTCTGTGCATGCCTAAACTTGGAATGTTAAACTTTGGCATCAGCAACAAAAGCCAATGTAGTGTTCGTAAACTTGTAAACAACATTTTTGTTGTTTTTTGCTCTTTAAGCCAGATACTGACCAAATAAATACTTGCTGTACTTCTTAGTTAAATTTAAAACATTGTAATTAGTAATTAGCTAACCTTGTAATTAGTATTAGATTAAGTGTTGTAATTAGTTATTATAAATAATGTAACATAATCATTGTTCCTGAAAAGCCCCTTTGGCAAGGTAAAAATAAAGTATGTATGAATGACGTATGTAGGTATGTATGTATGTATGTATGTAAAACAGAGTTGAGAAAATCTCCAGGGACAAATGGGTCAATGTTCAAAATCTATTAAATAGATGTTTTTTCATGTATTTAAATATTGGTAATTTACCATCTGCTTGAAATTTTCTGACTTTCTCTGCTAAATCTCTGCGATGAATTTCCTGGAGCATATCTGCCAGATGGTTCAGATTGTTTGATCCAAGAGTTCCAACTTGAATCAAATGTTTAAACAGATCTTTTCCATTCTGAACTTTTTCATCAACTCCATCTGCAAAAAATTAAATACATGTTGTAGTTTAAAATGAAATTTGAAGTCAGGTGGTTTCAGCCTAGTTTGATTCTCAGTTTCCTTTGCCTCCTACATCCAATTACCCAAGATTATGAATAATGTCATCAATTTCCTTTGACTTCCAGCCCTAATTATTCAAGATAAATAATTAGGGTGGTTTGAAGAATGGAAGAGCTTAGCTTGCTCCCGGGCCAGAATTCAAACTAGATTGAAACCATTTTTTAAAGCTAAATAAATAGTACTAGAACAAAAAAAAAATAAACAGTGTTTATGTTGCAGTAAAACATAAACAGTGTAAATAACCAAGTAGGAGAACCATTGACTATCATTTTACTAAATGTTTTGGTAATTACAGTAACAACTAAGCCAAGATTGTGCATTAGATTATATTTAAATGCTATTTTTCACCTTATTATTACTATTATTATTATTATTATTATTATTATTATTGCTGAAGTCTTCGTAAGCACCAATACTTGTGAGTTGACACGAGCTTCGCTCACTGTTTGTTTCAATTTGAAAAATACTTTAGCCATTATGTATAACTGTTCTTGGAAGAGAATGAGGTCATTCCTGTCATAGGAATTGAACATAATAATTTTTTCACGTTTAATTAAACAGACCCTGCATGTTCAATTGATAAAAGCTAATATCGGAAAACCAATCAGTAAATCGATAACTATCGATCAATTGGCATCAATGTTATTGATCAATCAAAAGAAATATATTGATACTTACATGCCTTGAAGTTCTAAGTTTATCGATTCTATCAGTTTTATCAGATTTAACAATAGTTTTAGAATAGACTGACATAAAGCACCGCTCAGAACATTGAAACCTAGAGAGTTCAACCAACGTACTTGAAAGTGGATTAAGTTCAGTGTCCATGTTTGCAAGACCTCAGTACAGTGAAACCTCTATTAAGCAGACCCCCAATTCAGCGGACACCCTCTATTCAGGGCTTCTGATATTTTGCGCGGTCACGGAGCTGCAAAATTCAGGTAAATCCATGAAATCCCGCAAAATTCACAAAAATAAAAAATACCGCGAAATTTGGTAGAAATCTTATCAAATACCTGTCTGTAAAGCAATTTTGAAACTTGCCTCAGCCACTAAGGGTATTTTGTTGCCGTAAACTTGCAAATTTATGTCAAAACTTCGTCAATGAAATGTGCAAACAATGTTCCGAAACAACCAGGTGTAGATTATGTTGCCAAAAACTGGGCACTAGCCATGATGTTAAACCCTTTGCTTCATTTCTGAAGCGTATTGTTGTTGAAAGAGCAAATGATGACCTCTATTAGAAAAACATTAAAAACGCTGTCTGATCAGCGCAAAAGCAATCGATTTCTGGTGAAATTTGCCTTGAAAATAACCACAAAAACCGCTGTTTTTTTACCGATTGCTTTCCGGCCAAGTTTGCCCCGAAAATTCCCGCGAAATCGGCCGATTTTTCCGTGATTTTCTCCCTAAAAATCCCGCAAAATTTGACTCTTTTTCCGCGACCTATCAGAAGCCCTGTCTATTAAGCGGACACTAAGCTGGGTCCCAAAATTAGCTTCTTATGTTTCCCTTTATAACGAACCCCTATTGAGCGGACACCTCTGTTAAGCAGACGCGGACACTAAAATAAATCACATTTGACTAATTTCTATTGTTAAAAACCTCTATTAAGCAGACACCGGACTGATTTTACAATAGTAGTATTGGATTACATCCTTGAAATACGGAATGTGATCATTTAATGTTCTTGCATTTACAAACAAATTAAAGTTGGTAAAGAAAGGTAATGAACTTGGACTCTGGATAGCTTCCTTAACAAAATGGAACTTTATCACAGCACCGAGTAATTGTTGAATATAAATTGTTAACAAACATTGCGCAATTTTTACAAACCTCTATTAAGCGGACAACCTAGATCAAGTGGACACTTGGGAAGGTCCTGAAGGTGTCTGCTTAATAGAGGTTTCACTGTATTTAATTACTTAAGTAAATCTCTACATTGATTTATCATTATTAAAATTTTTAAACAATACTATAAAATAAAACAGTTTTTTTTAACTCGTGGAAAAGGCATAGCGTAAGAAACGAGTTATAGAGGGCACTGCGATATGCAAATTTGTCACTCGGGTGTAGACACTTTCTTAATTAGTCAGCTCACACGAGAATTCCCGATATCAAAACAACAATTGTCGTTAATCAATCGTTCTTGAACGTCCCCACAATAAAGAAGTGCTGAGCATGTATTGTGCCCAGAGCTTTCGATGTTATGCTTTTGTAACTTTCATAGGATGGTAAGTTGTCTTCATGTGGACTTCGAATGTTTTAAATTAGCGTTATGGCTAACTTGAAGACAGAATTTCATGAAGTCTTGAAGCTTTTTTACTCGTCCAGGCGATAAACATGATGAAGAGATCAGCAATTGCTCCTCAACTCCAAGTTCATGATTCTACCGTGAGTGGCACAATTTTTTTTATTTCTTCTCACAACAAGACTCCCAATCTCATGGTTTTTAGGGAATTATCATTCTGAAGTGAAATCTTTCTTTGTTGAATGAAAACCGAAATGTCTACTGTTGCTGAATCATAATTGATTCTACTCATGTACGTAAATGCAGAGAATTGCAAGCTGTACAACAGCATCAGCAATAGAGTACTGAAGTGTGACGTCATAAAAATGAAATTTCTAAAATCATGGGATTTGTCAGGATATTCTGAATGAACAATGTCCAAGAGGCCTACTTGCCAAAAATGAGCATTTCGGGGCACTCAGAAAACTCCATACAAACCCTTCTAAATTTTTTTGGGTTGACCCCCAAAAAATTAGAAGGGTTTGTATGGAGTTTTCTGAGTTTAACCAGCTAACATCTCGGAGACAATTTGCCCCAAAATGCTCATTTTTGGTAAGTAAGCCTCTTGGACATTGTTCTTTCAGAATATCCCGACAAATCCCATAATTTCAGAAATTTCATTTTCATGACATCATCACTTTAGTACCCTATAGACTTTGCAACAGTTTTGCGATGCATTTAATATCACTTTGTCGGCCATATGTTTTTCAATGAAATGAGTTTAAGTATGGCTTTTACCGTCAAAACCCTGTTTATTTTCCTTGAATACATCTTTCAATTCTTCACAAATAAAGCCTACCAGCTTCACACAGTGTCCACTGGCAGAATTTCATGGGCAAAAACGTTCAACATTGTTAATTCAACATCACTGATCAATGCTTGGTGTAGTAGCACAATAGATGATGTGATGATGACCTTACACTTAAATGGTCTGGGGTTCGACTCCAGCCAGAAGAAACTTTTGTCTTTTTTTTGGTCGTTTTGTTTTTGTTTTCTTGGTTTAGTTTTTTAGACACATTTTTCCTTTTTTGACACACTTAAATTATACCAGTAGCAGGAGCGTAGCGTCCATATACGCACATACGTACGTCCGTACAGCTGAAATCGAGACGCATTTTATCATTTAATCGGGAAGACTTTTTCGAATTATATTGGTGTCTTTGTGCTAGTGTCTCCTTTATCCTTTTGTTATTCCAAAAACAAACGGCAAGAAACGTTGTAGCGGAGTGAAACACGAGAAAAGTATGCCCTGCCCCGTCACAACATTTTCCTTTGTATTTATTTCTCTAAAATGTCCTGCAATTAATGCAGGAAATGGCATTTCCCAGATTGTAAAATTAAAAAGGAGAGTATAACTCCAGGCCCCCTTTTGTTTGGAGCGCCTTTGACGCTCTAACTTTTCTTCCAGTGCGTACGTCTTCAAAATCTCACGCTACGCCCCTGGGTAGTTATTGCAAGATCATTATCAGCTATCATTTCTAAAATAATTAACCCATGAGATAGCCATAGGTACCCTTTGATTTAGACAAATGGTCGAAGGAAGTTGTTTCGTGTTGCTTTTGCATTCTGTTAAATATTTTTTTTGATGTTATATGTCGATAAAACCAATATTTTTCGACAAAATCGATAACTATCAATTACTGAAATCAGACCCTTATGTCGACTTTTACTGATTTCCAATACAATCAATTGAGAATTGATCAATTGATTGTAATAGATTTTTTACTGAAAACTATCGATTATCCATTTTAGCGACTAAACATGCTGGGGTTAGAATGACTCCTATTTTCAATGGAGTGACCAACAGATCTGTTTCGCTATCAGTTAATGCAACTCCATGTACAAGTGAACAGTCTGAACGATCATATTTTCAGGCTATTCAAATCACTATTTTTTCTTGGTCGTTGGATAGAGAGCTTTCTATAAGCAAGCACGCCCTGTTTGAAGATACATACCCGGTAGATTAGCTACAAATTTCAGCGATTCGACGTTGTCCTTCGTCAATTCATCAGAAAGCTTCATCAAGAAAACCTTGTAACTCCCTTGCATTGGACCACTTGTTACAACAGGCGCCATCGCACTCTCGGTTTGCATAGTAGCATCTCCACTCGTGTTGATTTTCGCAGCTAAATCAGCTCTTCCAATCCTAGTCAGCATTTTCACTAAGGCGCTCAGATTCCCTGGTTTAATCAGCCGCTTATGTGACATAAGTCGAAATAAGTCGTTCGAAGTTTGAGCTTTTTCAAGTTCCCCGAGGGGTATTTGTCCATGGCATAAATGCTTTAAATTTTGAAGGTCGTAAGCCCTCATTTCGTTAGATATTCTGTAAAGAAGAAGATTTGTTTCTCCTTCATCGGCCATTTTTCGCTGAGAAGACAGCAAGGGAGCCAAAATCGTTGAAAGCAGCTTCAACAAACCACTCCAGACTCCGCCATCTTTTTGGTGCTTAGCGGAAGTATGGAGTGGCGACTGGGTATTAGGAAAGCTCCCAAGATTACGTCATGGGTGTCGTCTTGGGTGTAAACTCTTAGATCAGGTGTAGCCTCCCACGCAGGCGTTTTTAGGGGAGCTCGTATTTCTTCCCTCAGGGAAGAAATACGAGCTCCCCTAAACGCCTGCGTGGGAGGCTAGCTCTATTATCGTTTCGCGTTGAAAATTACATTCTGGCGGGCAAGGCAAAACGATTTCAGCGGTAGCCGTTAGAGAGAATATATGAGAACCGCTCAAACTGGGCCTGATCTCAGGTTACTCGGGCTGATTTGCTCATCAGCTGATCTCCCATTAAACAGTTGACGTCCTCTGCTTTCAGCATGGAAGTTAACTGAACAGCCCTTCTGGATGATGACGTCAGACTTACTAATTTTACCAGGGCTCGTTTTTTAACAACGTTCTTTCAATTTGTGCTGTTTGTGCCAGAATTCTTTTCAAATTCGGCTTCGTAAAATTGCCGTTCCAAAATGATATTTGGTGGGGTAATTTGTCGGTTTGACCTAAGCAACTTGAGCAGCCAATTTAATAGCCTGCGAAGCGCAGACGCATTTCTGGTTGTCGCTTCTCTCCCCCCGAAAGAGAGAGGCGAGGAGAAGCGACGACCGGAAATACGTCTGTGCTTCGAAAGCTACCAATTTAATCATTCAACACCCGAAATTGATGAGGAAGTGTAAACAATCGACTAAAGGGAAAATACCTTTGGTACTTACTCTGCTTTATTTCCCCAGAAACACGTGTGAGAGGCTGTGTGCTAGAGTTAGATGCTCTCTGCATTTCACGCCTTCTAAAATTTCATGCTTTCTGAAAAGGGAAAACGAAAACAAACTTCCGGTGAACAAATCGTGACGTAGTCACAATCCCATGAAGCCCCGCGCCCTGCCCTTTTCTTTCTCTCCAAAGTTTATGTCAGCCTCCAGCCGAAGCTACCTGGAGTGTCCTAAAATTTCCCATTCGAAAGCCTACAAATGGTGAGATTGAAATAAAAATGACACTGACTATCCTTTTCTAATATTCTTAAGATCGTGTGGTAGAAGTCTTACGTTTGATTATGTTGAGATGACCAGGATGTTTGAAGATGAAACTCGTTGTTTTAGGGAACTGCTACCTGATCGATTCTCGATTTGTTCGAACAGGCATTTGTCAAAGTAATCAAGAACAAAGCGTATTTCAAGCGTTTCCAAGTCAAATTTAAGAGGCGACGAGGTCAGTTCACGTTTAATTTAAAGGCTATTTTTTAAGCATTTGCGCAGTCGCTTTAGCGAAAGAAAAAATTGTTTGTACGAAATTGGAAAGTAAAGTCACATGGCTGTTTTCCTGTTGTTATTTTCAGAGGGCAAAACTGATTATTTTGCCCGCAAGCGTCTGGTGACTCAAGATAAGAACAAATACAATACGCCAAAGTACCGCTTTGTTGTTCGCTTCACAAACAAGGACATCACTTGCCAGGTTGGTAAATCAAAGTTCTCTCCCAAGAGAGCTCGAAATGATATGAAATCTGAAATTGGTTCTGTGGGGAACATGTTGGCTTGGTTTCAGTGTTCTGGCCTCTGAGTAAAGTCTTTCCTTTAGTATCTGAAACAGATTGTGGGATTTTCTTGATGTAGTTGGAGTCATATGCAGAGTTGTAAGAGCTCTTATATCTTAGTGAAAATAAAAAATCATAGTCGTGAGCAGTGGTGTCATAAGTACAAGAAAATTGGAGGTGTTAGAATCGGAACATTTCCGATTCCTCTGGACTCTGGTGAAAACCAGATTGTCACAGTTGCAAGTGGAAGGGGAAGAACATACCAATCTCAATGCTTGCTCCTGTGCATTGTTATTTGCTTAGTTGTTCTGCTTCTGCTTGCCACTCTATCAATCTAGTGTTCATCAGAGCATTAGTGACAGAGTTGTTAGTGGAGAGGGAATGTTGTTTTCACTTGATCACAATGCTCCATGGTTGTGATAATGACTCCCACTGTGTCTGGTACCACTGTAGACCAGCCTTAAAATATGGGACAGTCAGGAAACTGTCAAATCCCTGATAGCCTTGGATCTCCCAGGTGTGTAAACCAGGCTTAAACATTTGCCACAGTTTTCATTGTCTAAACTATGTTAAATCTTAGAATTACTGTCATAAAGAAGAACCACAAACTGTCCAGACTTTTAAGACTTATCATAATTAATCTAATCGCAATGTTACCAGTTTCTGAAAGTTCCCTTTGTATCTCCTTTTCTTTAGCAAAGTGAACTCCAGCCCTAGAAATGCCTCCAGAATTATATTTTCGGCAAACCTAAAACTGTTAAAATCCCTCTACATTAAGACCACAAAATTGAATGGCAGCCTTGTACTAATTTCATTGTGAAGTTGTTCCTTTACTGTTTTGTTGTCTCTAAGCCTGCCTAATGTCTAATGGCTATTTTGATTGACTGTATACTTCTCTGGTGAGCGGTTCTGTACACTGTAGGTCACTCACTTATTTAGTATGTAGTGATCCCAAGATTTCAAGAAAAACTTGCAGTATTCAGGAGAAGGAACCAAACTGACTTCTCAGGGTAAAAGAAGTTTCTAAACCTTGTTAATAATGTGCTCTTTTCTCCTATTACAGGTAGCGTATGCCAAAATTGAAGGGGATGTTATCATCTGTGCTGCCTATGCGCATGAACTTCCCCGTTATGGCATCAAGGTCGGGTTGACCAATTATGCAGCAGCCTATTGCACTGGCCTTCTGCTAGCACGTCGTGTAAGTAAAATGCTTACAATTTTATTTGTCATTATAAGGTGCTACTGTTGTGGTGTAGAGTTACTAAGTTTGCCTCAAAGGGCGGCATACTTTAGTTACCTTAATGTTCAAATTGATACTTTTCTTACTATTGCCTAAAAGAGGCCCCTTTTATGACTATCTGTGAGACATTGGTATTTTGAAAGTTATTCTGTGAAATTATAATAAATCTATGACTCGTAAAAAATTTATAAAGTTGGTTGAATTGATTGGCCGAGGTAAGAGAGTTGAAGATGTTGTTTCAGGTACTGACCTGTCGTATTTGTGGGTTGTGTGTGGTAAGTGAAAATGTAGTCTTAGGGGCACCCAACGACAATTTTTGGAAAATATCTGTTTGGAAAACAATTTGAGATCTAGAATTCTCGGAACATTTGTTGTAAAATTTCTTGCTTGCCTGCCTCTCCTAGGATTTTCTAACGTCTAAAAAATGGTATAATTGCCCATTTTTAACGGATTTTTACCCCAAAAAGGTCACCTAGAATTTTCGGGAGCCTTTTTTCTGGCTGAAATTTTCAAAAAGGTAACTGTTGATCACTATAATTTTTGGATCACTAGACTTTCAGATAGGAAATTCGAACAGATGAAAAAGTTTTAGGGGATAAAAATATGCCTCTATCGACCGTTTAAATACTAAAATACGTTCAACAATGCTATGCTTAAGTGGATTTGAACTATGTTCTCGTTGGGTGCCCCTGGTAGTCTGCGAATACAGCTGTTTCTCTTCGCTCCTCATCGCTGGCTTGGATGTTTCGCCTGGAGGAATATCTGCGCCTCAGCGACAGAAATTCCGTACTGATGACATAAATCAATGTTTACATATTAAGTCTGGTAGTCATGGGTTTCCAAAATAATGTAAATTTGTTTGATTTTATGTTTCTCCTGGTCGATTATGGTAAAGTTTTGTGTTCTACTGCGAACAAGCTCCAGCACTTGTAACTCAGATGCTCTTTGTACAGAAGAATATAAATTCCAGGAATATTGACTGTTTTGTAGTAGATTTATCACATGTATGATCGTGTTTACATTTGACCTTTGTGGCCTTTTGTGTTTTGTCTGTCGTTTGTAAACAATAGGTAAAACAATATAACTAATATATAGATTTAGCCAAGTCCAAAAGCGAAGCTCTCGAGGGATCTTTGTCAAGTAACTCAACTTTTGCCGTAAGCAGAAAGCAAACTGAATTCTACAAGGCTCTGCTCTGGCAGAGCCAGGTGGCCCTTGGTGCCTAATCTAATCTCAGATTTTTCAGAGAAATCATATGCTGGGCACGCTAGATTTTACAGGTTCAGAGCACTGTGCTTCCTTCAGTTTTTAGTAAGGCACAACCCTGTTCCACCTTAAAAGAAAATAAACTTGAGCCCTGATCAATTGAAAACCTAAAACTGGTCAGCGGATATTTTTAAAAGAACATGTCACCTCAGTGGATAGCCTTTTTAAACAGCTGTCAGTTATTGTCCGTAACATGAATGTCCAATACCATTTTTAACCCCTAGCTAGTCAGTGTGTCATTTTACATCTGCCAACATGAAGGGGTGGATGTACGTAGGTTGTTTGGACGATTTTGTCAGAACCAAAATTTTTTACATGCATAGATAACCAAATTTTCTTATCCCTGGTTTTCCCCTGCATGGGCTTTGCATGACCAATCAGAGCTTCTGATCTGATTCCAGACCAATTTTGCGTCACCAGCATGGAATTTCTGTTGCTGAGGCACAGATATTCCTCCTGTTGAAACATCCCTAGCAGCAAGGAGCAAGGCGAAATGGCTGTATTCACTGGCCAATGAAGATGTAAGGTTGTAAGAATTGCATAATTTTACTACTGCAATTATATTTTAAGATAACCAAGTGCTGGGCGTGCTTGCCCAGGGCTGTTGCATCCTTGTCTAAGTTTATGATTTACATGTAGTTAGAACATGACTTACCTATTCCTTGGGCATCAGGCAAGTGAGCCTGAAAAGTTAAATGCTTAATGGGAAAATCTGTTGTTGAGGACAACTGGAAATGGACTTTTCCTGTGCCCTGAAAGTGAAAAGCTATTTACAGAAGAATCAGTTTAGATTACATGCAGACAAAACTGTTTCTTGATTTTTCTTTTTCAAAGGGTGTGCCAGAGTGTTACATAAATCAGTTTTAAAAAGACCAATACATAAATTATTTAAATTGAATTGAGTATTTTTATATGTTTTGGAGGAGAAAATTGGTTAGTGAGAGTCAAGATTGGAATTGGTGCTTTTCTTTTTCCAGTCTAATGGTTATGTTATTCTTTTTTCTCTGTTAGTTGCTAACCAAATTGAATCTTAATGAGATTTACACTGGGACAGAAGAGGTCAATGGTGATGAATACAATGTTGAAAGTGTAGAAGGCTCTCCTGGTGCCTTCAGGGCTTTCTTGGATGTGGGGTTGGCCAGAACAACCACTGGAGCCCGTGTGTTTGGTGCCCTTAAAGGAGCTGTTGATGGTGGCCTGGATATCCCCCACAGGTATGGATTATTAAATTACGATTTGTTGGCATTCATAGCAATATTACTTAGGCTACAAGGGTATACACCTGTCAGAAGTCTGTTTGTGCACTTCAACGAAGAATGTTAAATGTGGTAATTGTCAAACAAATAAAACCATGAACACCTGAAATATTTCAGGAATGTTTATTGTGATGCAGCCAATCAGAGCAAAGATCAGAAAATGTGAGCTAGCCACAAAACCACAATAAACACGATAAACATTTTTAAAATATTTCTGGTGTTCACTGTTTCGCTTGGTTGACAGGACGTCTTTGATTTAGAAATAGTAGAAGGAGAATTCTGAATTTTCTTTTTTGTTTGTTTGGTTTTTAATACCAGTTGTGAAGCATGTTCTAAAGAATAGGTGTAAGAGTAATACACCTTCTAGTGCTTTACTCTTCTAAGTGCCAGCATTTTAAAAGCACTCAGGCTAGCTAATTTTCTAAAGCTACCCAAATGGGCACTTGAGATTCAAGAGGACATCCTTGGTGACTGTTAGAGCTCAGTGATGGTGTGTGAGATTATCTTAGTCAGTGGTTTCATTAAATATTGAAGTAGTGAGCAGGGCTGAACAGAGTAACTGACTGTTTCAACAAGGGGCCAGTAGTCAACGTTTTCAAGGGGTGTCTGGGGGTGAGTTTTACATTCAAGAAGATTTGTGTTTAAGTCACACTGTTTAGCCACACAATTAATGCCTATTAGCAATGAACAAATTAATGATAATTACTAAGTTGCAAACATTTTCGTGTTAACAAATTCTATTTCTGTCCATGACATTGTTCGAACTAGTTGCATATTATTTGGGGAAAAAAGTAGCCGACTTCTCTGAGCAATGTACATGTAGCCGACGCATTTTGTCGGTCGTCGGTGCTTGTTGAAACTCCTGTGTAATCTTTTGTCTACAGCATGAAACGATTCCCTGGCTATGACAGTGAGTCCAAGGAGTTTAATGCTGAGGTCCACCGCAATCACATCTTTGGACAGCATGTTGCCAACTACATGAAGGAGTTGAGGGATGAAGATGAAGAGGCGTACAAGAAACAGTTCTCTCAGTACATCAAGAATGGAGTTGACCCAGATCAGGTGACCATCCAATAGACAATATTATCACAGCATTACTTTTGAAGGCTTCAGTGAGGTTCTTCTTCAGTGAGGAATGGGGCTACTAGTCTGGTCTTGAGTTATAGTTTAAGATGCCAATTCAATTTTAAGAAAGTCTCCTACCATTAGTCTTGCGTTACATGTCTGCAATAGTGTTTGTTTAAATGAAGATATGATCATCGCAGTGGTAATTGCAATTTAAGCAATTTCAATTTCACCCGCGAAAAAATTGTAAAATGTGGGACTTCAACAGGATTTGAACCCATGGCCTCTGCTTTAGTTTGTCATAGTAAGAGTGTAACCAATCATTAAGTGGTGTTGTGATGCTGTTTTAGATGGAGGAGATGTACAAAAAAGCTCATGCTGCTATTCGTGAAAGCCCTGAGGCCAAACCTGCCCCCAAGAAGGATGTTCAACCCAAGAGGTAAGGGTCTTCCTAAAGATAAATAGCAGTAGTCTACAGGGCAGTTTGAGTTATCAGGTACTGGTATATACAATTAATAGATAATTAATAGTTAGTTAATTGAGCAACAAGGAAGTACAGTTTTGTGTAATGGGTTATTATTTTACCCAAAGTAAATTAGCAAGACTAAAGACACCATACTCAAGACTCAAGCACATGTTCAGCAACTTACTATATCTTTTTTAGCAATCCCGGTATGCTTCGCACGTCACGTCATCCGTGATGTAAACATTACATTTTGGTTCTAGTAATTTCATTTTTTTATGTTTCCTCATGAAAGTAGGCGGAGGTCATGCTTTAGTAGGCAGGGCAAAATTCCTGGCCTTTTGCCATTACTGACAGCCTTGAGCCTCTTTTTGGGTTTGATGCTGCAGCTCTGTTTTCATTGCATCATTAGTCATGTAGTGTAGTTGTCTGTACCACATGTTACATCACTGAGAGACAGTCACAGGGAATTTTAAGGACATTACAGGACAATACAGGGTGTCCCAAAAGTTCGTTCCTCTATTTTGATGCACAGTAACTTTTGATCAAAACTTCATTTTTACATGAAATTTCTAAAAGATGTTTATTTGTCTGTTGAGTACATGTATTCAGAATTTCAGTAACTGGCATGCCCTTTTTGTTTGTAGCTGTTCGGGTGATCCATTTTGAGCTTTTTTATCAATTGGTGCATGGGACCCAGTACAACCCCCAAACAATATTTGTTTAGTTTAGGCAGCTGAAAAAAAAAATATTTTGGGCATTCATCCAAAAAAGATAATCATCCCTGCCCCCTTCCACAGCAAGGCTTTTGTTCTTCTTTACAAATTTGAGACGAGCTGTGCGTTACTTGGCAGACTAAGCAGAGGTTTTTTTGGCCATCTCAGGCGCCTTTATTTTAAACATTCGGTTTTCATGACCCGTTGTGGACTTGGCTTGCTAACTGTGCGAGAGCTTACTCGTTAAGTCGCCCATTTTGTACCTAGCCTTCTTTAAAAATATTTTAGATGCTTTATTCAGGACTTTAAGTCTTCCCCTTCGTTTCTTGCCTTCAAAACCGTCATTTCTCCATGATCATTTTACCACCCAACATTTGGATTTTTCCTATTTTTTAGCAGTTTCTACAACAGATAGGCCAGTAAATCGAAGTATACGTGCTTATGCTCTCACGTAGCTGAACGTTTTTGCGTTAAGGGGGTTTATCTTTCGTGATATTTACATAAAACAAGGAAGGATTTCGATCAATTAGGGCTATGAAATACAAAAAATATGTGGCTGGAAAATACACTCGCGCACGCGCACCTTCAGCGCGCAAGTACACAAATCGAATATTCGAGTCAAAAGATGGCTTAACAAGTATGAAAATAGTGAATTCGGTTAACAGACACAACTTATGTTTAAATGATTTGCTTACCAAGTCCAATCCAAGTCCAATTGGGACATCCTGTACTTACTCACCAGAGAATAAACAAATTTATTTAAACAAAAGACCTTCCTTGTACTATCCCCGGTTAAGATTATTGATGATAGCATTTAACATGTTATGTCTTTTTTCAGGTTCAACCGCAAGAAGATGTCCCTGCAGCAACGCAAGGCTCGTGTTGCTCAGAAGAAGGCGTACTTCCTGAAGCAGCAGGGAGACGATGAAGCTGATGAGGAAGAGGATGACGAAGAATAAACCAGTGTTTCTCATAAATAAATAACTTGAAAGAATAGTTTTGTTGATGTCATTTTTTCAGCCGCCTGTGAACAGGGCTTCCAGTTAAGGGTATAAATTATGGGGGAGAGCAACAAGTGATGTGTGCTCAGTTTGGCAGACTTTTACCCTGCGTAGGAGAGATTATAGCCGCGAGAAGATTAGGAGCATGTCGTACATACATACATACATTTATTGAACACATCCCCATCTGGGGCTTTTCAGTGAACAAATAGGATTACAAAATTAAAATATATACAATGCGAATTATTTATCTTTAAAATTAGATTAATATCAATTTAAAAATTCATTCAGAAGGTGAAGGAAGTAGGATTCTTGCATAATTCGAGGCTTGAATCTAGCTTATTCCAGGTAGATACACTTCTATAATAAAACGTTTTCTGTCCTGTTGCAGTTTTAAAAAGAGGAATGTTTAGCCGTTGAAAGTTTCTGGTTATACGTCCAGACACACTGCCTCTTGTAATAAACATAGATGTTAAGTAGGCACTTGACGCGTCATACATTTAAGTGTTAAGGTAGCATATCGACAATACAGTTGTGTCTTTACAGGGAGCCAACTTAGTTTTTTTTAGTTTTGCAGGGATTGCGTTTTAGCCTGCGTTGGTGACGGTATTGTTTTTGCATGTGAAAGACGTTTGGCGGCGAAGCCACCAAACCGCGAGACGTCTCTTCCCATTCTCCGCTGCTTTGCAGCTCGCCTCCCAAAGCTACTTAGCTAATTACCTCTTTGACGTTCTTCTTGCAGTCGCTGTCTTCGTTGCTAAGTTCCCCGGAATCCCGTTGACTGATTATTATTATATTTCGTAACCTTTCTTGCCCGCAGGCTTCGCGCGTTTGAAGGATTGTGCCTTGGCCTTAAATCCCCGCTGACGACAAAACAAAATGTTTGACTGCCGACCCACCCTCTCGCTCCTCCTTTTCTCCTGTGCTCCTATACTTTTTAACCAGGCCAAATTGTTGTATGGGTTTTCCATTGAACGGAAAAAGTGTGATGATGATGAACGTCATTTAAGTCTCAGGGCCTGCTAATAAGGGGACACAATTCTTAGAGCCCTTAGGGACCTTAAGCAACTACGACGACGGTGGTGGCAGTGAAAATATCACCAAAAAAATGAATTTGCGTCCTTTCAAACATACATACATAGATACATATCCTTTATTTAAACACGATGTGGTTTAAAGCTCAAAGCTTGTGGGGTCGTGTAAAAATGATTACAAATGGATAAAACTGTATAAAAATAAGAATAAAATCACTTACAAAATACAACTACAATTAAAACTCTAAAAATGTAAAAAAAAATACAAGGTTAAAATGAATTTACATTAGTTACCTCTAAGTAAATTGACTACAGCATTTAAAACAAAAAAAATAGTTAAAAGCATTTAAAATCTTGGTAGTGCCTGGGCAGCGACTGGATCGACTGTGCGCTAAAATCAAGTTCCTTAAAATAAGAGTCCTTCTTCACTTTGCGATAAAAAAACAATAAACTGATCTGTAAATTAAAATGACTCGAGACAGCGTTCCAAAGAATAACGCCTCTATAGCTAATAGAGTTTTTAAGAAACTGCGAGTTAAAACGCGGGATGATTATGTTATTACTCCTTCTGAAGTTGTATGCAGTGGAGGGTTTATTTGTCAAGTATGAAAGAGCCGTAGGTGCTTCACCTATAAACACGCTATGGAGTAGTTTAATTAATCGAAGTTTATAATAGAGGGTTAAAGTATTCCAGTTCGAATGTCGGTAAACTTCCTCGGTAGGCATATCTCGGGACAAGTTGTATATGATTCTGGCTGCCCTACGGTGAAGTACTTCCAGAGAATGTAGAAGCTCTGCATTAGGGCAGCCGCCCCAAACGACTAGTCCATATAGACTTGATGGTAATATTATCTTGAAGTACAAGTCCAATACGGCGTTTCTGCTCAAGAACGAACTCCTTTTCAGGAGGTTCAGTTTGTTTACGAAATTCTTTAATACATCTGTAAGGTGACGTGACCAGGAAAGCCTCTCATCGATAGTAACGCCCAAAAGACGAGAGTATTTCACCCACTCGATCCGATCCTCTCCAATAGTCACAGAATTAAGCGGCCCGATATGCGGTTTTCTCATCAACAGCATAGCTTCGCACTTTGCCGAGTGAGGGGTTAAAGAGTTCTCTAAGCACCAACTGTTCAATAGGCCATTTTCACGATGACGACATTTGACTACAACTACCAGAATTCATTTCGTTTTTGCTTTCTTATTTAAATTTGTCAATCCCGCTGAGGATTAAAGAACAATAGCTCTAATTTGCACAAGAAAACAACAAACTAAAGGATTCTGGTAGTTGTAGTAAAATGACGTCATCGTGCAATTGTCCTATTCCGATAAAGCTTTATTTAAAGAAGTGACAGTGTTATCAATAGTGTCCCGATGCAATAAACGGTGGTGTCATCTGCGTACATAAAGACAGAGCCAGAGGTAACAGCACTAGGTAGGTCATTGGTGTACAAGGCAAAACAACGTCGGGCCAAGTACTGATCCTTGGGGAATCCCGCAAGTGACATTTAGCACAGTTGAGTGCTGGCCGTTTACTATCGAGAACTGAGTTTGATCGGTTAGGTAGTCTGTCAGCCATGATAGAAGACAACCTTGAACTCCAAATTGAAAATTCAACTTATGCAGTAGGATAGCATGAGATACGTACAGTCAAAAGCTTTTCTGAAGTCAACAAACGCCACAGCAACCACTTTTTCGGCATCAGTAGCTGTTCTCCAGATTTCTGACAGGTGTACAAGCAATAGTTCAGTAGAATGGCCCTCACGGTAAGCCCACTGTTCGTCTGTAACCAGGTTATTTTGGAAAACATGTCGAACGACAGATTCTGATACACAAGATTCCATTATCTTGCTTGGAACACTAAGAAGCGATATTGGTCTATAGTTATTTGTGTCAGCTTCATCATCTTTTTTATACACCGGGATCAGACGTGCTTTCTTCCAACCAGTAAAGGTTTCTCCGAGGTGAGCACAGAATGAGAATAGACCAGTCAAGGGAGAGACAATGGCAGGCCCAGCTAGTTTTAATAATTTAGGTGCAATGTCAACTGGAACCGCACATTTATTTGGCTTAATGGCTTTTAATTTACGTCAGACCGAATCTTCGCAGATAGTTATATCAGTCACAGAGGGCACTGAACAACCGATGCAATCGCTCTGGATGGAAAATTTCTATTGGCTCGTCCAAGTCTAGTGCCGATATTGGCAAAGAAATCATCTATTAGGTTAGCCTTTTCTACGACGTTGACGGCAAGGCTTCTATCCTCCCTCTTTAAAGGTCCAATTCTGTTTCTTCTAACAGGATTTGTCGCTGCTGCAATTAAATTCCAGTAAACCGCTGCAGATTTAACTTCAGCTAACTTTTCCTTGAAGAACTGCGCCTTCGCGTTTCTTATCTCTCAGATATAATCTCATTTCTAACTTTCTTGTATCTTGCACAGATTTCTTGATATTTAGTGCTAAATTTGTCGTCGTATGTCCACGTCCTCCATATAACGTCGCATTGGGAGGTTTCACGTCGTAGTCGTGCAGCGGACGTCAAAGAAATGTACTAAAAGAGTGATGCACGTGCAGAGCTGTTGTTTTGCTCATTAAACCAATTGTTCTTTGACGCTGTTGTTGTCGTCGTCGTTGCTTAAGGTCCCTAGTAGAGCTTATTAGGGACTTTAAGATCCAACGATGCGAACGGCAACGAGAACGTCAAAAACCACAGTTTTATTGGCAAAACAACAACTTTGCACGTTCACCACGCTTTTATTGTACATTTCTTTGCCCGTTTTTGCACGACTACGACGTGAACATGTCTAATTTCGCGTTTTATGGAGTACGTACGTAAACAAGCAACGACGAAATTTTGTTTCTCTTTCTGCACTTGGATATTAGCCTGCGAAAACATCCGTTTCTCCTCGCTCTTCGCCGCTGGGGACGTTTCGCGCGAAACGGACGACTACTTATTCCTAATAGACTACTTGGATATGGTCCCTAGGAATTCAACTCCAGGAGGATTCGCCTACATTTGACAAAGTAAGTGGGTAGGAATAGTTTCGATAAAGACAGAAAGAACACAAATTCACTTTTTAAGCGACGTTCTCATTGCCTTCGCGTGGTTAGATCTTAAAGGCCGATACACACGAGGGATTTTGCTCCCGGAGCATGCTCCACGGGCACGCTCCGGGAGCAAAGCTCCTCCGTGTGTACCAACTATTTCATGGGTACACTTCATCCTCGGGAGCAGAATTTCCACCCCGCAAAATGCTTCATGATACCGACGAGGGGTTTTGCTCCACGCTCATTTTGCACGTGTCAGTACCCACGAGGGAGCGTTTTCAAGTTCGCTCAATTTGCCCCGGGACCTTGCTCCCAAATATTTAACCCGTTAAATATCGTGGAGCATTTTGCGGGGTGGAAATTCTGCTCTCGAGGATGAAGTATTCCCATGAAATCGTTAGTACACACGGAGGAGCTTTGCTCCCGGAGCAAAATCCCTCGTGTGTATCGGCTTTAACAGGTTAAATGTTTGGGAGCAAGCTCCCGGGGCAAATTGAGCGAACTTGAAAACGCTCCCTCGTGTGTACTGACACGTGCAAAATGAACCTGGAGCAAAACCCCTCGTGTGTATCGGCCTTAAAGTCCCTACTATTGAGCAACGACGACGGCGACGTCAACGAGAACGGCAACAAAAAAATTGCCAACATTTGACGAATTGAACGAGATGGGATATGCGCGATAAAGTTTCAGAAGTTTGAAGCAGCGCGAATTCACTTGTTAAGTGACGTTTATCGTTGTTGCTTAAGCTTCCTATTATGTTGGAGGTCTACCTCTCGGATTTTCTTCTTAAAGGCGTAAATTGATTCGGTATTTGACACACCGTAAAATTCCGAAAATAAGCCCCGGGGCTTATATTTTTCAAACGCCCTTTTTGAGGGGCTTATTTTTTGAGGGGCTTATCTACGGAAGGAAATTTGCGTTTCAAAATCGATTGGGCTAGCCTCATAGTTGGAAGTAAATTTACCGTTTTTGCTTTGTTTTACTTTGTATTTGAGGGTCATTTTCCAAGTACAAGCCCCCGGCGGCTAATATTTGGAGGCGCGATTTAACGGAGGGTTTTCCGGTTTGGGGGGCTTACAGTTGGAGGGGCCGCGATACATGGAGGGGTTTATTTCGGAATTTTACGGTACTGTACTAAAAACAAGCAGTACACTTAAATATCCATAAACAGCAAAGAAGGCATATAAACTATGGTGGCAATTTATCTGCTTTTATTTGATAAATCGTTATAATCTAATTCTACCTTTTTTCTCCTAGTCTAATGCAATCCTTATCGATCATAGAAATCGCACGAAAATCGTCTGTATCAAATATAAAAATATATTAGATCTCTTTGTTTCCTTCACCAACACATATCTGACGGGTACCAACACTAAAAGGAATGTTAATGTGTGACGCGTATGTTCCACGTGACTGCCTGTGTAGGTGCGAGTTGTGTATTGCATGAAACAGCATTCAGTTTATGAAACTGTCGTCGTATGCAATGACTAATGAGGGGAGTAGATGTATTTTTATGCTAAGTTCTCCCGCTTTATTGGCAAGAGCATATCTATTTTCCAGCGTGACGATCCTTGTATCTTTAGCACGTTAAGGCGCTTCTATTGTACTTAATAACTTTTTCGCTTCAATGTTGTTTAAATAAGCTTTTTTAAAAGAGTACGATTCGCGGTTAATGGCAGTTGATACGATGTATTTACAGTGAACAAACGTATGCTAACTCAACCTAACTAACTGGCTTATTGAATAATCCTAACATATTCCGCGGTCTTGATTGTAGATTGAAATTCTACTCTTGGGCTTTGTGAATATAACGCAGGCAATCCTTCGACGCTGTGCAGTGTAGAATATTTCTCTAGCAATTGCAATGAACACGTTGGCGCTGGTATCCCTGTGGGCATATGTCCTATGATACAGTGCTTTGTTGCATCTCCAATAACTGTTTATCAACGTTTTTCCTTCTCGCCTCATTTAGAGCCAAGCGTTGCTGTAAGCTTGCACGACTACGAGAAAAACAATGCTAAAGTAAGTCACAGAAAACATTGGCTATGCTTCCTTGTTTGCTTCAATGTTTACCAATTTGTGTAAAAAATAAGTTGCCATCACTCGAGGAAAAAGTATTTAAGACAGGACCAAGGGGTCTGTTCGAGACCCAAGAAGGGGGTGCCACGCCCCTAGACGTTTCTGAATCTAAGGAGAAAGAGAAAGTATCCTGAAGAGAAACAGCTTGAGCGGAGAAACGTCTAAGACAAGAGCAAGTGTTTCAAAACCTAGTAAACTAAACATCATCCATTAAATCCTCTTTTCAGCCCCCTTTTTTGGGGGAAGAAAGTTATTAAGCATCCTCCCCTCTCTTTTCAGCTCCCCTCCTTTCGCCTCTACCCACAGTCTTCAAAACTAAATTATGAAATGGTAAACTGGCTTAATCAATCACGACTGTGGCGCTTCACGTGGACTGATATTATTCGGTATGATTTATTTACGTGCTGGAACTATTCGGATTTGTTTTTGATCTTCGGCTGAATGACTTCCGACTTCATCAGCTCAAGCTTTTCCACTTAGTGTTCTAGTTCTTTATGGAGAACTGATACCATCCTCTAGTTGTTAAAAAAAGTGTAGCGCCCTGTTTCACTGAATTCAATCATGATAGGCCTACCCTCCCGGAGGCTTAACAGAGGATTAAATGACGGTAAAATAAATACAACTTGAAGCGCAGTGGAGAGGTTGTTAAACGCTTTGCGCTCACCTTTCAAGGCAAATTGGTAAATTACCACCCGAAAACGCATCTAAAACTACAACTTACCATTTGTCTGGATCTAACGAATCAGCATCCACCACTTTCTCGCGTGACATTCCTAGAGAAGCTTTCTTTTTCTCAAGTTGTTCATGAAGGTTCTCATATGAACCGCTGACTGACTCGTCCTTTTTCCCAAAGCCACCATTTATGATTTCTGGCATCTTCTCGCGCTCTTCCTTTTGGGGTGGTGACGGCTGCGTGCTGTTAAGGTCAGCGGCAGAAAGTGTGACGTCACCAGCTTGCGAAGTAGAGGAATTTAGAAGCATGGGTAAACTATCTCGCGCCATCTCCATGTTAGCCTGTTTCAAGAGTCCCTCGAGAGTTTCTAGGCTGGTCTGAACGCTTCTAGTTCGGTCTTGAGGGTACGCATATGAGCTGTGACTGTGTACTGAGTGTTCATGATCCTGGCTTACAAGTATAGAGGGCATGGGAGGATACGAGTGGCTCTCAGTCATGTCGTGAGTACTGACATGAGTGAACGAAACAAGTGGGCCATTACTAGTCAAATTATGAAGGTTCTGATCTGAAGTGCTTTTCTTCATGCCGCTGGCAGACGTTTTGGTGACAGTTCTGGGTGAGGTTACTCGTCGGATATGTGTTGCTGGACGCGCCCCTCTCGGAGTAGTAACACGGCTTGCTGTACCAAATGTCGCTCGTTCGTAGCCAGACACCTTAGCCTCCAGACGAGCAATCTAAAGTAATAATGGCCATGTGGACATAAGTTGAAAAAACGCCCATTACACTGCCTCTCCCAGAACAGGAGCCCCACGGGCGTACAAATACCACGCCTACGTAGTAGGCAGATTTAGCAAAGAAAACAGGATTACAGCGTGACGAAGTCGCGAGAAGAACCAAAACAGTCTTAAAACTTACATGGCCAATACCAGAACGACAAATTGGACACCGGAAGTCGCGTTCAGTCTTTCCGGTGCGCTTTCGCAGTGTCTTTGTTAAATCTGCCTAGTATTCGAATTATCACGCTTCCACTGACGCCTTTTTTGGTGGGAATGCCTTCGCCCTACATTGTAGACCATCGCGCAGGAATATGACAAACAACAATAGTATACAGCCCAATAAATGGTAATAATTAGGTAATAACATTTAGCTTTTTGTCTTTTTTCCCTGTTCATATCTACTGTGGATGTACACATGCACGGAGCTTCCCTTTACGCTGAGAAGAAACTTTTACAAATGTATCGTACATTACTGGTCTGTGAAAGGGCAAGGTATGCGACTTGGGCACTCTACGTACTAATGACGATACCTCTGCGTCTTTGATCACAAGCGTCTCACTCATCGCTTTAGCATCCTCTTGATACATGACTAGTTCAGAAGCCAAGCTTCTGTTGTCCTCTATCAATGTCTTATTTTGCTCCTGCGCACGCGCAAAGTCTTGTCCTAAGCGTCTTTCCTGCTCTTGTAGCCGCGTGATCTCCAAGCGATGATTTGCATCGCTTTCGTCTTTTTGTGCCAACACTTTAACGTGATCTTCTTGTAACCGTTGGACCTGAGGAAAACGAACAACGACCTTATTTTAACTGATATCCGCGTCTTTGAGATTGACGAAGAATGAGAGTTTACCGTAGCTTTGAATAAATCTCCTGTCAGATTAATATCCATGAAGATGGAACCTTTATTCACCACACAGACAATTAATTTATTTTATAATATTTGTTACAGTAGTTAAATGGTTTTTATCAAACGAATGAGATGAGAAGCTTAACAAAACCAATACGACAGGTTTATTATCCCACTTCAAAAAAACAAAAAACAAACACACACACTATATATATATAATTGTTAGCTATATATATATATATATATATATATATATATATAGCGCAAAAGCAAAGAAGACTTTCGTTTTTCATTGTTTTTAGTATATATATATATATATGCGGCTCTTCAGGCATAGCAAAGTGTTTTTATTCACTTATTACGTCACAGACGTAATTGTAATTACAATTATAATGGCTCTTGTAATTCGTAGCACGCGCGAGCAATTAGCGTAATTTCAAATCATTAAGAACGGGTTTATATTTCAAAATAAAAAACCTCTCTTTGTTTTTTCTCATGCCCTCGGAGGGGCTGAGAATCTTGTAAAACGGAAAGATAGTAAACTGAGGAGTCAATCCCGCCGCACATTCATCGATATGCTTACTGACTCCCAGCATACGTGTGTGCGGGTCTCTGATTTGTTGTTTATGAACTGACAACCCTGACAACGGAAGAGTTAAGAAGGGTGAGAGAGCAAGCTACCGAAAATAACCTCCTTTGTCTGGTAACAACTTACAATCCCAACAATCCGCAAGTATTCCAGCTGGTCAGGAGAACACTTCCCATGTTAAACCAAAACTCCTCATTAAAATCCATTATGAGCAAGACTAAAGTAATTCACAGACAGCGACAACCCCGAAACCTCAAACGAATGTTAACTAACTCCTATTTCTCCAGGCTAAAGGACACTGATCCGGAAGTTAAAATTTGTGGAACAAAACGGTGCGGAACATGCCCCTATTTAAAACAGGGTAAAGAATTTACCTTCTCCGCCACGAATGAAACATTTCGGATAAAACACTCGATGAACTGCACCTCAACGAACTTGATTTACGTAATAACATGTGCAGGATGTGGACATAATTATATAGGAGAAACTGGTGATGTCCTGAGAAATAGAGTGACAGTTCATAAAAAAAAAATCAGAGACCCGCACACACGTATGCTGGGAGTCAGTAAGCATATCGATGAATGTGCGGCGGGATTGACTCCTCAGTTTACTATCTTTCCGTTTTACAAGATTCTCAGCCCCTCCGAGGGCATGAGAAAAAACAAAGAGAGGTTTTTTATTTTGAAATATAAACCCGTTCTTAATGATTTGAAGTAGCCGACGCTACTGTGTCGGCGAGACGGCAATTTTCGCCGATCACCAGAGAACCTTGCCTATCTAATACTTAACGACGTACCTAGTAGTCGAAGCTCGCTTACCTCATGTTCCTGGGTGGCCTGTTTGAGCTCATGTTGTTGCTGAGCCTTTCTTACTTCATGCACGCATTTCGCCTCAGCTTGAGCCTCTCGTACTTGCGCAGCCCCAAGCTCCTTTGCAAGCCTCGTGCAGTCTGCTTCCTTTGTGGATAACAGCGCATGTGCATCGTCAAGTTCCCGGATTAGTTCTTGTTCAGTTCTTTGACATTTCAAGAGATCACGGCGGGCTTCCATCAGCTCCGCGTGCTGCGTATACAAGTTATTAAAACCAAGGTTAAACAAGAGCCAAATGAGCAAAAAATGGCAGAGGAACGCCTTCGAGCATGTCAACTTTCTAATTCTTAACGAGATATAAAAACGGAAAGTCCGAAACTAAACGACTAAATGTGCGGCGAACACCTATCTGAGGATGCATAAAAGTTTACCGTATTTTGAAGCTGTTCACGCGCCAAACGTAACTCCTGACTGGTCTCCTCAGACTCTTCACGCCTCCTCTGCAACTTGTTGATCTCCTGACAACCAGGACGAAAGGGAACAGCATGTTAAATTTATTTTGCTTGTTGATAATTTTCTCTAGTCTACTGAGCGGTAGTCTTCTAGACAGACGTTTTTAGTGTCGTCACGCAACGCTCCTGACGACACTGAAAACGGCCGTGTAGCAGACTAAATGAGCGGGAATAGGACGAAGAGATGGCAAGAAAGGGTAAGCGGACTTGGTCCCCTCGTCTTCCCTCCTCACGGGGCAAACATGCAGTAATGGTTCAGTTTTGTTCCTCAGTCAGACATTTAGAGTTGTAAGTTGTCTATCAATTTTAAACGCTAGAAAAAGAATGGTGACGGAGTAAACAAGAAAGGCACTGACTTTGTGAATTAACAAAAACAGTTACAACTTGTCATAAAAAACTCATAAGGGGCTGAAACGTTCAAATGTCATATGTTTGCTTTGCCGATGCTCGTGAATTTTCGTTTTCATTGTAAAACGAGAGATAACTGACCAATCAAACTTCGTAAATGACGTGACGTTAAATTTTACTCCATGTTCTCGCTTTTTCCATTACGTTGAGTTCTTCTTAAGACTGTATCGTAGTTCAGGAAAAGAAAAAGAAAGTCGCTGTATTGTGTTTTCACCCTCCACAAAATGGCACTTTCATGTCGTAGTCGTGCAATGACGGCAAAGAAATGTGCAAAGCGAGAGCTTCCAAATATAGTACTTAAAAAAAAATGAATATTCACGAGCAATGAACGCGAGTTACACGGTTCAAACCTTTATGAGTTTCTGTTGTCATTCACTGTTTTTGCGACAACTACTTTACAAGGAAACAAAACAACAACAACAACAACAACAACAAACAACTCGTTTCTAATGGTTTGCTTACTCTTTCTAGCTCGGACACTTGCGAAGTTCTCTTCTTCAGTTCTTGTTGTTGGTGCTTCACCGTTTTCTCCAAATGCTCAATCCTGGATTTCTTTTGCTTATCCTGCTCTTGATTCTGATCTCGCCTGGCTTTTATTTCAGAGATCTTAGGGAAAAAATATAACGAACTTCTTAGAGAGTAGCTTTGCTGAAAGAATAAGAGTGATGAGTAGAAAAGTTTCTTGCCTGGAATAAAACAAAGACCGAACTCACGAGAGCGGCAGAAAGTGATGCGATACGAAGGGCTGACCCGTCTGAGTGTCGACCCATATAGTGGAATCTGGAATAGAAGTTCTACTGTCAAGAATCCAGAATCCAGGGCCCGGTTCCTCGCAAGATGGTTAAGCTTAACCTAAGATTTAGCCACACTTTAAGCCTGGTTTTCTTGTCTAAGAGCATGTAACTCAAGCTTACAAAATACTGTTGAGCCTTTACCCTGAGATACAGTAATGATGACACAATATGTTACTCTAAGCCATGTGAAGGCAGGTAAATATAAAAATTGGAACAAAATTTTAATCCTGGATTAGGGCTAGTCAGCCTTTCAGGAATCGGGCCCTGTTTGACCCACCGAGCCCAGTACCTGGCGAATCCGGAATCCACGGCGTGAAGTACAGAATCAAAGACTGTTGAATTCCTTTGCAGGGTCGACAAGCGTCTTTGTTGTTGCTGAAAGCTTTCCTTTTCCTTTCAGTGTGAAAATCTTTTCGTCATAGTCTGACTTACGGTTTGCAACACAGCACACACAAAAAACAAAACAACAAACACAGAGAAAAAGGCTCTAGAATGTCTCACCTCCACTGCTCTCTCGCTGAGTTCATAGCGAGCCTGGTTAAGCGCATGCTCTAATGTGATGACCTTTTGCTGCAATTCACTCTTATGTTCCTTCATGGTCATGTCCAGCTGGGTAACCTGGCAAAAAAAGATACGAAACATAAACATCCTTATTACATTCCCATTAAATTCAAACATTACTTACAACGGTCACTATGGTTGTGTGGACCACCTGTGTTTAAAGGACACGATGATTTTTCAACTCCAGGATTTAATATTAGTACTATCCCTCAATTGGCGGTATAAGTACGGAAATATGGTCTTTGAAAAAGAACACTTGGATGGCATCAACTGACTGACTGAAGTGCTTGCAGGAGTCCGTTATTTACATGTGCTCGTGTCAAATCAGGAATGCAAAATTATTCATAACACTGCCTTTACAGAGGACTCAAGGTTTGAATCAAACATTCAAGTCCCAAGTAGGTTGAATGTGATCGTCCAGGTCAGTCAAGTACAGCCTACGAATGCTGGTCACACAATGACTGACGTTTCAACAGCGTGTGCGCAAGTCATAATTAGGGTCAAGGTAAATTTTGCATCATTGGCTCATAGTTAGTAGAGGAGATTAGCTACGAAAGAAAACAAAAAATCAAGGGCGAGAAAAAAGCTGCAGTTTGTATTGGCAGACCTCTACCGGGCCATGCATATTCATTTGTTTTTTAGTTCACAAATGTCATAGAATAACTTCATGGAAGCCGGTCGGTTGGCTATTTTGTCCCACATAGACAGACCACAAAAGATAACTTAAAAAAATACTAAAAAGCCTTTCCGGCTTCATGACCATTACACTTTACTACCTATAGTCAGCTGATCATTTTAAACCCTAGTTATTCACCTGAAGAGTCAAATAAACGAGTGCGATTTTATTGAGTTTCTGTCAGTTAAGCCGTGATATTTTTAAACCCTAACACGAACGAACTATGCAAACTAGTCATCCTTCATCATGTTAGGTATATCTCATCTTATCCCAGTTCCTCCTTACCTGTGCAGCCTTTTGCTTTAATTCCCACTGTCTTTCTTTAAGAGCTTTGTCAAGCTCGACAACTTTGCTTTCCTTCTCCTTTAAGTTTTTATCCTTCTGCTGAAGTTCCTCCATGCTTTCGTTCAACATTTTATCGAGTTCCTCGACTTTCTTTTCTTTCTCCTGTACCTCTTTCTGGCTCGTCTGTAGTACATCTTGGAGAGATTTTAGCTGCGTGATGGTATCTTGTAATTCCGTCTGGATTTTATTCACCTAAACGACAATATTATATTTAAGACAGCCCGAGAAAAAAGCCGACATTTCGCGACGCGACCAAAAGTTTCCCCGTAAATAGACGCTCGAGAAAAGAGCGCAAGAAATTCCATACCGGTGATGTAAGGGAAATCCCATGTACACGTAAGAATTCTTCGATCCTCTGTGACGCACTTAACTAGGAAAACCAATTGGTTATTTCTAGTACTAGCCTGTGCTAGGCTCTCAGATAGTATAGTGCGGAACGACTTTTCACCACTATCTCGGAGCCTGGAACAGGCTATTCTAGTACATGCACGGTGATAATCAGCACTCAGGACTACCGAGAAGCAAATAAAGGAGAGTGGGAATGGCGCACTTGAACCCGGGACATCCGGGATAAAGGGGTAAATACCATTTAGGTAGGAAAACCGGAAATTCCGGTTAGAAAATCAAATGTTTCACGCCATTCCTTTTGGAAAACTTCGCAAAATATTTACTTCGCAGCCGCTCGGGCCGGATCCAAGCAATACTCCCAACACCCACTGGGGGACCTGGGGGCCTCTACCCACAACACCTGGCCAAACCGTCACCAGTAACGACACTAAATTGTCAAAATTGACAAAACGAAGCGGCAATATCAAATACCTCGGTATCTAGCTGCGCATTCTGTTCCGTTGTTTCTGTAAATTCGTTCTCCATCTGTCGTAACCTCTCCTCCAGTTCCCCGTTTTTCTTTGTCATCGCAGACAGCTGTTGCTGCGTTTCCTTGAGGGCCTGGTCAAGAGTCTGCGCTTGCGCAGTTTTCTTGTCGCACTGGGACCGAGACTGTTGTAGAAGCTGCTCTAATTCAACAATGCTCGCTGAACTTTGTTTCATGTCCTTGTGGACCCCTCTAAGGGTTGAGTTAAGTTCGTTAATTTGTCGCGTTCTTTCGTCAATATCGTCTTTGGCGTCCTGCAGTCTTTGCTGCAGATCACTGGACTCTACTTGTGATGTGTTTCGTTCACGGTTGATTTCTTCTTCTAGAAGGGCAACTTGTTGCTGAAGGTGAGTGCGCGTTTCCTCCAAATCACGCATCCTTTCTTGTTCTTTTTTGAGGGCATTTTGTTGGTCCGCCACTATTCCTTCTAGATGAACAATCTGTTCGTTTTTCGTATGTAAGTCAGTTAAAGTCTGTTGTAACGCTTTTTCCAACTTGGATATCTGAAAATAAGCAAGGAAATAAACGAATCAAAATAAAAAAGGACAGTTGTTGCTTTCCATTTCCAACCAAAACAAAAACAAGTTAAGCATAGAGTTTTGTAAAGCCAAACAGGTGGATTTGCAAGACATGAGATGCGCGCCCTTCTATCATAATGCTTATGCAAATGGACAACAATGAACACGACGAAAACGAAGCCGAATAATTATATTAACCTGGAAGGCTACGATTTTAAAATCGTAAAAAAGCAAGGTCCTAATTCATCGGAACTAGTGATGGTGGCACGTCTGTCAGGGCTCGAAGTTAACTTTTTAGTGCACTTGCAAAGTTTTGCTAGAAAGATTTTTTTCCACTAGCAAACTGGTGAGACCACTAGCAAATTCTCTCCCTTTGTTTGGGAGACATGGATGATTCCAACTCGCAAACGGTTGCTAGTTGATGTTTTTCTCACTCGCAGATTATCAAAATCACTCGCATTTTGCAAGTTTGCGAGCGTTAATTTCTAGCCCTGGTCTGTCAGTTAAACAGGTAAGAAACTCTTTCCTCTAAGTATGAAAGCTGGTACCTATTTCTTCCCATGGAAGTGAAAGCGTTTTAAAAATGTGATAGCATTTTAAGTACAGTTCTAAAACTCCCTCTTAAGACCTTACAACTCACCCCCAGTCGTTTTTCTTCAAGTTCCTCCTCATGCGCACTACGCACTTGCTTCAGTTGTTCCACGTACATCTCAATCTCCTTGTGGCACTCCGCTAATGATACCTCCATCTTTCTAACCTGCTGCGTGGCTTTGTCAGCCTGTTCTTCTAGTTTTTCCAGTTTCTTACCGTGCTGAACTGACTGCGAATCACGTGATTCAATTTCTTGCTTCTGCTCTTGCAGGGCGCGTTCCATTTGGTCAGCGATTGATTTTTTTAGATTCAACTCCTGCCGTGAAGCTGCCAGAGATGTTTCAAGCTGAGATATGACCGCGTTTTTCTCTTCAAAAGATCTCTGTAACTGAAAAGAAAAATTAAAATGTTTAGTACCATCAGTTGGCCCCGTACTTGGCAAAGTTGTAAAAGAGATTAAATGGATATAGCGTGGTGTAAAAAGGCCACACTGGTGCTGTGTTGGTGGAGGAATGAGTATTTGGTATCATTAACGGAGCTTGTAAAGGAGAACCAAACTTTGAGGGTCAAAAGATACGCGAGACCCTTTTAAAAACCCGTAGTAGAATGACCACGGCTATCATGTTTTCCCGCCAAAATGACGCTGATTCAGTCACGCGCGAGCACTGCTTAGTGCTGAGAAAACCTCGTTCTCATGGTCGTCCTCGTCTTAGTATCCAAAGGCCTCAAATGATATCAGAAACAAGTTTGGGATCAACTTAGGTTTCTGGGAAACTGCCCACCTACCCCTCCCTTAAGCTAATATTAACACTTGCTTTGCAAAATGTTAGCTTAGGGGAGAGGTAGGCGAGCAGTTTCCCAGAATCCTTAATTGATCTCAAGTTTGGTAGTGTCAGTTGCCTACCTCTTCTATCTGTCGCTGCAATTCATGGCACTGTTCACTGTGCAAGGCCTTTACTCTGTCCACCAGTGAAGCAGATTCCTTAAGTTCAATATCTTTAGCTTCCAGTGTTCCCTCTAGTTCTCGAATCCTCCGGCTTCTGGTTTCCATTTCGTCTTGAACTTCTTGTAATTTTGCTGAGTGTAATCCTGACTGTGACGTCTTCTCATTTAGCTGTTTCTCTATGCTACTTAAATGTGACGTGGCTTGACGGACCTTAGAAAGAGGAAATACAAAATTTTTGCTTGTCAGCTGAGTTGATGAAGTAGGTTTAAAGCATAACCTTAAAAGATTGAAAAGCTGATCTTTCGAGCGCTAGGCAGTCGTCAGAAGGATCCAGCCCAAAAAAGGGAGGTAATCGTTTTAAATATTTGGAATACAAAACTACACAAGAGGAAAAGGTTTTCTACAATTAAAGAAAATAGTTATGCTGTTTAAGCTTTCCTCTTATTCTCACTTCCAAAAACCGATGATTCTGAGCCACCTCGAAGAACTGACTTACAGACCATTGTATCTTGCCTTGTTAGTCTGACAGGATGTAGTTAATCAATTCAAGCTCTTACTTTAAGTGATAAGTACTTAAAGTTTTAAAAAACCGTAAACCAAATTAGATGAAAGGGAAAGACCTGAGCACAAATGGAATGCAAAGTAAACGGCGAGAAATTTCAAAGTAGGCGGTGATCAATCGCCGGGTGCCGGCTACTACTGAGAACCCTGAAAATTTAAATAAATAAATTATAAAACGGTTGATATTAACAGGTCATGGTTTGTGTACAACGACCCGCCATGTCAAGTAAACGATCATAACTCGTTTGCCAAAAGTTTTGGAACTTATTTGATACCATTACTACGATCTATCCACTTATGAGTTCCAGAATTGTCCGCAAGCCTCGTAATAACATTTACAGAAACGTCGATGAAAAGATCGTTTCTGACCATGGCCTGTCTAATGGATTTTTTTCTCACCTCTCGCTGTAGTACGTTATTTTCAGTAATCTTTTCCTCCAGTTCGTTCTGTAAATCAACCACCTTAAGATTTCTTTGTCCGAGCTTGCTTTCCAGGGACGCAATTTGCGCCATCTTGTCCGCCAGCCGTTCTTCTAGCTGTATGGTCTGTGTTGAGTAGCGCGATACTTCATCCTCCAGTCGTGTTATAATCTGCTCTAGTTCTTGTTGTTTACGATCACCAATTCGACTTCGCTCGACAATAGCGGACAGCTCCGTTCTTAAACCATCCATAACACCGCCATCACCGGCTAAACCTAAGAGAACAAAAAATAAAACACCTTTCAAACACAAGACAATTTCCATTTTGTAGGCCTAAAACTAGTTTCCTGGTTTTGCAAAAGAGGGTTTAGACAGTACAGAAAGACGATCGTTCATTGACATTATCATGAGCTCATTCTAAGGAAAAATGGAACGAATAAAACTAAGTACACTCAATTCCTTTGCCTGCTTTGTCAAGGTAAGGAGAGAATGACCTTTTATAAGACTCAGATACCGCCGCAATGAGAGCGGTTAAACTCCTTGAAAAAATCTCTAGCATGTTTGAAAGCTTAGCAAATCTCATTTACCGGCAACATTGATTTCAAAAGCTTATCTTATCCAAAGATTCGCAGGTCCAACGATTACTATATTTGGCGGTTGCTGTCTCAGCCGCACAGGTGCTATTTCATGAGAATTCCCTACCACCTAAATCTTTCGGAAATATATTTCACGCTTTGGTAGAGTCGGTAAAACGCATGACTGGCTGCTATAATACTGTCGGAAAATACCAGGTGAGCCTGTCGTGCGAGAACATTGAATATTAAGATAAGGAAAGGACAGACAAGGTATAATGAGAGAAATACCGCTGGAAATTGCCTTTTATCACCGTGCTTCGCGTTCACATTTCGTGGGAAGTGCCATGTTTATTTCGAACTCAAAATGAAGCAGACACAAACGTAGTTTTCTTTTTTCCCGCAGGAAAAGGTTCAAAGTAATATCCAAGCATACCTGCAATGTGTTTTTGCTGCGCTGCTGCCCTTGCTACAGCGGTGGCCTGTAGTTTCTGTATCTCAGCTTCTTTCACGGCCAGTTTAAGCTTAAGATCTGCAATGACTGCCCGCGCCGACCCTCCGCTGCCCGTCACGTGATCACGGTCGTGTTCATCCTCTATATAGCTGTTGCCCATATTACGCGGACTAATGCTATAGTAGCCGTTCATGGTCTGGGTACTACTACAGATACCGCTGTCACTTGTCTGAAAATTAATCATCACGCTATTGGTCATTTCGAGACAACGCACGTGTGTTCTATCGAACTGCAGCATGGAACTGTTTTGGGAGACCGCAACCCCTCCCCCTCCCCGCCTCAACGCACTATCGCTTCTTCCTTTGGCAATCTGTCTGTCCCATAGGGTCCAGCGCAGTCAAACGTCTGCAGCGTTTGTTTTTTTTATTTTATAGGATTTCATCTATCAGGAAGTGGAACATAGGTAAAGATGTATTCATAATAGGCTGATGTAACTGTCTTCCTTAAAATAATAAGCTACTTTTCATTAAAAACGGTTGCGCAAACGCACGAAAACCCTTGACAAATGGCGCTGACAGTAACATCAAATTTAGTTTTCAAACACAATTTTTCTCGTTAATTTCTAAACGTTTATTAAATTAACAACTTATTGGTAATTAACTTTAGACAGTGAAGGATACAATCTCAGCTTTCAAGTACTTTGCTTAGTTTTGCAAATTTGTCTCGTTTGACTGCGGTGATCCCATCCCATAGGGCAATTCGACACAGTGCCTTTCCACCGCAACCTCCGAACGAGAAAAACTGTGAAATTGTGAACGACATGCAAGTGATCACTCACGTGATAAACGGAGAGACTAACGTCTCATAAATCCCTGGGTTATTCGATCATACTAACCGAAGGCGTGGCTGTCACGTGCTCCTTCATACTCTGTTCCTGAACCTGATGCACAAGTTCTTCTAGTCGCGCCATATGCAGCTTGGTTTCCTCAATCTCCCGTTGATATTGTACGATTTTTTCTCTCTGTTTCTCCACAGTACTTTGCAAGTCTCCTTGATCTTTCAACAACAACTCGTTTTTCCTCAGCTCGTTCTCAATTCTACCAATTTTCTGACTCTGACGTGAGATAGTGGCCCGTAAGCTAGTGTTCTCGTGATGCATGGATGTTTGGCTGTCTTCTTTAGCGCTACTTTCCGCCTGGAGGAGTCTGCAGTGATTGACATAAAACAAAAAGTCATTCTGAATATAGTCAAACCCCGTTAATGAGGACACTGAGGGGGCCGGTTGAATTTAGATAAAAAGTAAGGGCTTTCTTTCCCCAGGACTCACCAGGGTGCAAATAAAATCATTTTTACAGCCTGCCATTCGGGCAAGCTGAAGCTAGCATTTACTAGCCCAGACATCATTTCAACTAGTCACAAAAGTGTTTGATGAGCAGAATTGATTTCACAGTTCTTCTGTTATTCAAATTCCTCAAAAAACATCACTTGCCCGTCGGGCAAGTTAAAAACAGAATTCAATAGCCCCATAGAAAAGTTCACTAGCCCCGGGCTATCGGACACTTCTTTCTTTGCACGCTGCTCACTCAAAGTGCATTTTGAAGAGAAATCGCGTTTGCTTTGACTCTATTCAGCATCGCTTCACAGTACTTCGCGATAAACACAAATTAAGCTTCGTTTTTATATGAGAAAATAGAAGTTGCCTTTTGGTCTTCCATGTTTCCACGTCAAAACATTTCTTATTGAATCAGTACCACAATTTTGCTAGTCTTCTTGGGCTTAACTACAACGTAAGTTATAAAAACTAAAACAACGCTACGACTATATTTTCGTAGCCTAAAAAGAAATATCGAGTTGAAACTATAGAGACACAGAAAGGATGATCAGTGAGGCCTACCAAGACGTTTTACAAATCCAGACTTACTGCCAAACGATCAACAAACTTACCATTCAGCGCTGGCCCCCAATGGAACGCCTACTGGCGGCTACTGAAAATTCAGACTATGAATGAACAATCGCTTAACTAATTATTGTAACAAAGGTATTTGCTAACCTTATCTCTTCTTGAAGGTCAGATATCTGTGCTTGTAACATGGACTCTCTCTCTAACAGCTCTTCTCTCTCACGTTGAGATTGGGAATGAGTTTCTTTCCAGTGTTTTTCACGGTCAGAATTCTTTGATGAAAAATCAATCAGTCAGTCAGTCAATCAATCAACCAAACGTATTAATTATTTACATACATTTATAAAGTCCAATATAAGCAAAGGGCTCGCTCAAAATACTTGCGAAGAAATATATTAAACAGATAAGCTTAGTCGGATCAATAACTGGTCATGACATTCTGTTTTCAAGCACAATTTTCTGCAGAAAAAAAGTAGATGTATGAAGATACAGTCATTTAACACACCTGTTTTCTAAGCGATTTGATTGTTGTCTCCAGTTCAGCCAGTTTGTCTGATAGCTCTTCAACATTTCTCAACGATTCTTCAAGATGATCTTCCGCTCTATTTAAAAAAAGGCCACTGATGAGACACATATCATTGATATTTAATACCACTATGGGTGCATGTAGAATTTTCTACATGTAAAAATAGCCTTCTACAGCCAAACCTTCATTTAGCGACCACCCTGTCGTCCCCACCTGAGGGTGTTCCCCTAACAGAATTTCCACTAAACTTTATGTTAAATGTTTCTTCTAAGAAGAACTAAGTGAGAGGAGCCTTTAGAATAGTAAGAAGAGAAACTTTACTTAGCACAGAATTCAAACAGTTGAGCACTGATTTACATTGATGAAGCTGTGTAAATTAAAAACTTAAATATACCAAAACAATATATATGCATGTATACAATTACAATATATATGCATGTATATAAAATAAATTACAATGTCTCAAACTAATTATACTTCCAAAATATAAGTAACATGTCATGTAATCTAATTAGAAATGATTTACTCCAATTCTTCTTCACAAAATTATTAATAGAATGAGAGCTTTTGATTGAAACGTTGAGATTATTGTAGTTTGGCAGCTGAATAAGAAAATGATCTCAAACCAGAACAAGATGAAAAGCCCTGAACAATCAACATAATTGATTAAATAATGTATGGCATCTTTCACAGGTAAACAGTCACTAACTGTCAATTTCACTACTGACAGTGTGAAGTGCCAGTTTGTAAGAAGTACATTGTACAGCTTGTAGGCTCAAATATCATAACTTGCTCACTTTTGCACTGAAATATGAAGTTCTAACTGTTTAATATGAAGGACATTTCAGAGCATATTGTGGCCCAAAGGTATCAAGACAATGACATATTTTTTTTAGTCAGAGTCATTGGTAAGTAATACCGTTTTCTAAGCTTGGCTTCCTCTCTCAGCTCATTTTCAGCTATTGTGGATGATTCCAGTACACTTCTGAGTTCTTCTGTTTTGGACTGAAGCTCTTCCTGGCAGTCTCGCATATTCTGCTCTGCATATCTGCAAAGCCAAGAAACATGATATGACAAGTAACAAGGAGGTTTGTGTGTTAATTCACAGCTGTAACACCCATAAGTTACATGCACCAGCCAAGGGCTTTTGCAGGATCAAGTAAGTTGTCTAGTAAATGCTATTAAAGTCAAACCTGCATTTAGCGGACCTGAGTTAAGTCGCCCTTCATCAGCCCCTCTCAGCCTTTTCCGTGGTCCCACTGAGTTACTTTTTATTACTTTCACCTCTGTTAAACAATCACTTCGTCATGTTGTAGCCATACGAGTGCAATAGATACATTGTGTATGGCATTCAATGTACTTTAATCCCTTTCTTATGGCACAAGAAGAGGTAGAAACACTTTGAGGTAAGTTCGTCATGTTATGAATATTTCCTTTTGTCACCATTTTTTTATTTCTCTTTCTTTTGTTAGGTTTGTCAAACCTGTATTAAACATTCAACCTGTATTAAGCGGTCAGTTGGCCATTCCCTAGCCAGGGACCAGGCTGCATTGTTGGGAAAAGGGCAAAAAATAGAGCGAAATGGCATACATGTAAAACAATCAGCGAGCTGAGTAGTACACTGGGGAAGGGGAAAGACGGCAGAGCCTGGAGACATGCCTTTGATGCTGCCGTTCCCCTCTCCGGACTACGGCTCGGCTCACTTTGTTCGACAATTTTTTCCCCTTTCCCGCCAACTGTGGAGCCTGGTCCCAGCCTAGCCACACCCAGTCAAGGGAGACCGCTTTATTATTATTACTTTATTACTATTTTTATGATTTAAATTTTTTTGGACTGCTTTATGTAAGTTTGACTGTAGTTACCTGACAGCATCCTCTTGTGAGGCTAAGTTGGACTCTAAACTCACTATCCTGTCTTCTAAAGGTGGCAACCTTTTCCTCTCAACTTCAAGCTCTTGACTTAGAATTTTCACCTTTATGGCAAGAGAAATGTAGTTAAAATAATTATAACGAATTAGTCACACTAAAAAAAAAAGCCATACTTCCACTCCCTTCCAGGTCAAAGGTTCAAATAGTTATACACTTAAGTTTTGTAGGCACATGTAGCATAACATAAGCTGGAGCAGATCTCTGATTTGATTGGGGAAGTGAGTTCAAAGGCGTTTAGGGGTATGTAGGGTGAGATGTATTGTTGGAAAGAGTTAATTTATATTGACACTCAAAGTACTTCTGCCAGGTCTGCAATGTTTACTTGAAAAGGAAATTGGCACTATAATCCTAACTGATTTCCCAAAACTTTTCCCATGATAGAAATGAAGCCCAGCAAAAGGATGCAAGACTACTTAAGGCAAGGCAGGTGAAAGAAAGAGGAGAGGAGAGATTCAAGCGAAAGGTAAAGTCAAGGGGACATCTTGAAATTTTGCAATCTGTGCATGCTCGAACTTTGGAAGCTGATATTATTTTATTTCAAACAGAAAGCTGCAGTACTCTAAGTGGCAAAATATTCTTTTGGATCACTTAAGTAATTATATAGATCTGAAGGTTAACTGGAAGGAGAACTGCTGTTTCACAGCAGTTGCTTGTTTTGTTTTTTGGCACTTTATTCTAAACACCCTTTCTAAATTTATTAACATACAGTATGCAATAATATATACTTAGTAACTGTTTTTACTTCCTGAATCCACCAGGCCTATTTTTTTTTTACTAACCTTGTTTCTAGCTTGATGCAGGTCATAACTAAGATTCTCCAGTTCTGTCATTAACTTGTGATTCTGATTGACAAGCTGGGAATTTTCTTCACGCTGCCTGGAAAGTTTTTTAATCATTGCGTCATGATCATAGTCACTAGCACTTCCAAATGACCGGCTATCCAGCTAAAATAAACAAAACAGTTAACAACAACAATAACAAAGAAAGTCAAACATTGGTCTGTGTAGGGTGGCCGCCTAATACAGGTAACAAATACGTTCATTTGTATATAGCGAAAAATCATGACTTCGAAAACTGGCCGCTTAATACAGGGCTGTTGCACACAGGTTCAACTGTTAAAAAGTATTAATATATATATATCATTTTTAATTAGTAATTCTTATTTTTTAGTTTTTAATTGTTAGTCAACAGGACCCTGTTGATAAAAATACTTTGTACTGTAGGGTTATCCTGGATAAATATTTGATTATTACTATGATTACACTTATTAGACAAAGGGAATTGAGAATCACCCTGGGTTAAAAAATTTTAACCTCAATTTAATTTTGACTTTAATAGTTACAGGTCAAATTTGGTTTCAGGTTAATTTTGATTTAACCTAGGTTGATTCTCAATTTTCATTGTCTCCTAGGCATAGAAGACAAAGGAAATTGAGAGTCAACCAAGGTTAAAAGAATTTAACCTTAGGAAATCAAATTTGACCTGTAATATCATAGGTGATGAATTACTCCTTATTTTTGGCGCGAAATTTCAGCGTTAATTTGTAATTTCACATTGGCAACCTTCCATATGTCTCAGAGTCAAGAGGGTGACGAAGTTTTAAATGCCGTGAATGAAGATGTCAGGGCACAAAAAGACGCTTTAGAAAACCTGAACACACAAAAGAGCACATCAAAAAGGATTCTAACAAGTATTTTGACGAAAAATTCTGAAAATTTCGAACTTAAGCCAAATTTAAGGTCTAAACATTAATTTCACTAGTCACCATTTGATTACACATACTAACATATATATCAATTCACAGACAGGAAATCTATCAAAACTGAAATAAAAACAAAGCATATAAATGTGACCTATGATAAGTATGAGGACGGCGTACCTCCTGGTCCCTTGGTGACAAGTGTGTGGAACCATTCCTGAGGTCTGGATATGATGATCTAAGGGGCTGAGAAGAACTGATAAGCGGAGTACTTAATACGCGGCCCTTAGAATGCAGGTTTGGCTCTGAGCCTGCTGGACTCAAGTCAGCTAGTGTCAACACCTGACCTGCTGCACTTTCTGGGGATGATGAATAACTCCTTCTTGGACCATGGCCATTTAAACTGTAAAAGTCAGAAGAATAGAGTAAATCCTCCATTAAATTCCCATTGGCAACTGAGGTATTTTTTAAGGCATTATAATGAGGGGTGGAGTTGTGAGAGTTAGAAGTACTGAGGTTAAGCAGAAAATCACAACATAAAATAGAATACATAATTGGTAGTGCTCATGGAGTGTAATGCAAATTAATTAAGTGATTGATAATCAACTTCCACTAACACTTTTTAGTTAGGTTCTGAAGGAAAAGGTAAGGGGCTGTTTATGCTTATTAGAAAGGAGCAGGGCTAAATGGAAGATAAACTGTACCTAACTCTTCACTTCTCCCCTACAGCAGACAAAATAAAGACAAACATGAGCAGCGTTCTCCAGAAGCAGTACAACCAGCAATAATTAAAGTGCTATCTAGTCATCGTGAAAGCCCCAGTTACTCAGGAAAATAATTTTTCCAAATCCTATTTCTAAATGTTTTTGTTCAGTAAGTGCAAACATAGGAAACAGATTTAAAAGTAATTAAGTAAATGTGGGAAAACAAAAGCAACGTCCTTGTGGCTATAAAACTACTTCCCTGGTCGCTCAACATAGACTGGAATGCACTAAGGCCATAACAATACATTGAACTATCAATTAACTGTGATATTACTGCCGAGATACTGATGGATCTATTATAAAAGTGAAACATAAATAACAATCGCAGTAGTGTAGTGAACTATCAATAAATTCTATACAAGTTTCTAACATTTTTATCTAACTTCTTTGGACAGATAAAGATACCCTTCTACCCATCTTTGATTCTGAAGGTCACAATGATGGTAAACAAGAAACTAAAAACAATTAACTGTCCTACTGCACCTACATTTAAAATGTTTTAGCGCCTTGATTATTGAACTGCTTTCAGTCTATGTTAGAGAGGGTTTACATAAATTACTGAGGTTCATTCAAACTTCAAACATGGCAGCCAATTTTGTATCACTGCAAACGAAGAAGGAAAGGCTGAAAACTATCACAATACTATTGCAATAGTACCTCCACTATCGCAATATCTCTGTGACTTATTGCAATACAACTTCAATACTGTGAAAGGTTTGAACCCAGGAGTCACCTGGACGATCAAACTCAACCTTTTGACAACTTCAATAGTTAAGTTTTTCCCAATAGTCACCCCTAAAATGCACTTTTCAGAGCCCCAGGAAAGCCATCAGACTCCCTTTAAAGGTAGGGGGGATTCATGACCCCTTTCCTTCCCATAACTACCCCTACAGATGCACTCTGTGCCATTCGATCGTATCTACTGCCAACTGCATAAATTGTTTTCAGCTTCTACTTTTAATTTTGTGGAGAGCTCTGCTTGTGATTTTACCTTAAATCGGCAGCACTTTGGACACAAACCATGAGCTATCATACCTACCACCACAGTGGACGCATCATGTGAAAGGCACACTGTGCCATTCAATCATTTCTACTGCCACCTATGTAAAATCTTCTCCTTCTACTTTAAATTTTCTAGAGAGCTCCACTTATGCACTAACCTTAAATCCTCAGCACTTGGACGAAATGCATCAGCTCTGGTACCATGGGAAGGGTGCTTTAAAGTTGGCCTTGTCTTGCTTTAGTAAAGATAAAAAAAAGATATAAAACTTTAAGATACTATACATTTATTAAAAATTGCAATAACAAATTTCTGAAGGGTTAACGAAAAGCTGTGCTGAGCAACGGAGAGGAGTATGAATAACAAAAACATAAATAAAAGTAAAATCTGAGGTTAGTGGAAAAATCACAACAAAGACGTGCACGAGATTGAAACACAATATTATGGTGCGCACCTAAATGATGAAGGATGCAAGATGAATCTATGAACCTTTGAGCAGGTTCACTTGTGTGATTGTGGGTAAAATTTTGATGATGGAGCCACCAGCATGAAAAGAATAGGTTGAGGCCAAAAGTGAGCCTGCACATGGATCATTGATTTTTTTAATTTTGCCTCTTTTGAGGTGTATCCAATAAAAAAGGCAAATGTAAACAAAAATGACAAAAAGTTGCAGACCTGTGGATTGTTAAACCCTGTGAGAAACAAAAACCACACGAAATGACCTCTCAATCAGACAATGTGAGACAATTAAGCAACAAAAATAACTTTGGCCTAGTCAAAATCAAGCAAATTTCCCAGTGAGATCAGGGTCATGTCCCTCACCCCACTTCCTTTCTAGGAAAGTGCATCTCTTACCTGCTGAACTAAAATTTAAGGAGAACACTGGCTTCCCCCTTCCAAGTTTGATGTGTGGATGTAATATGTTGTTTGCGCCCAGTGTCCGTGGTTTTTGTTATAGTTATGTAGCCTTTTAATCAAGATTGCTGCATTCTTTGGTCAATGCAAGGAATTCATAAAATCAAAAGCCCGCTTGCAAGCTAACTTATTCTTACCAGCTTGCACCTTCCTGAAATCATGCCTCGATTGGCCTGCTCGTAGGCGAAGATGAATTGGAGCCACAATAGTTTAAGGGAAGGAAAAGGAAGGATTGAGCCCTGTTGTTAAGTGTTAATCAGGTAAAAGAGAGAGATCCACCCTCATATTAAAATCATGCCAGGAAGATCCAATTCTCTGCCATTTAAAGAGGGTTTCTGAGACTTAGCTTAGTCCTAATCCTGATTTAACTGCAAACAGAACATGTGAGTTGCCATGGTAACTAACCCTAGATGTGCACTGATCTGGTAATGAAGCAGGGTTCCACTGCAATAAAGCTTATCAGTGGGTGAACTTTTATAAACAGACTACGATAATGTATTCCATATCCATCTTAAATTGTAGGAACTGAGAAACTAGCCGAAAATTAATATCATATCCTTTTCAATTTGTACTTCAGTTTAATAGAAACAAAATTATTGAAACATTGTTTTTATTCAACAAGACGCCGTATCACAGAAAATGCAAACATTTTACGATTACCGCTAAAGTATGTTCAAATGTCTAAACGTGTTAACTAAACAATCCACCCTCTGTTTTAGGTAGCCTGTCTACAAAGATAATCTATAACCTTGTAACTCGAGATTACGAGAAATTCTTTGATAAATCAAGGTAATTGTGGAAATAAGAAAAATCAATATCAGTTAAAATATACCGGCGCACTAACATCAACCGCAGAAAAATCAACATTAACAAAATTTCGCGTATACATTTAGGCCCTTAGTTACGATACACGAACGTCGGAACGCGACAAAAACAATAACATCATTTTGAGAATTTTTAATAGAGGCTAGTACTGTAGTTCGCACATTTCGCACAGCAAATGGCAGAATTTATGCTAACTTTTCTTGGACAGAGATGGATCTTCAAAAACGGCATTGATTGTGTAAGCCTAAAGCAAACTTCGCATACAGTGCGAAATGTTTACCTTGTACTGATTACGCATAGAAACGTCTAACGCTCTCGAAAATCAATCAATCCTGTCGTTCACGAAGCTGCACTCGAACGGCTACTTTCTGAAGAGGAGTGTATTGAATCCGCTCCTTTCGAAAGGAAATTCGAAAGCGAAATTTACTTGATTGAATGATGGAGCAGTTTATATTTTTAATGAGTACTTAATTTTAACACAAAAGTAATTCCCATAATGTGATTACTGTATACAATCAGAACTACGCGATCAAAACGCCACTGAATCATAATAATTGCCACGGATCTCTTGGCAGGACGTCCGAAATAATACAAAAATGTAACAAAAGCGGTTGTAATCTTACTAAAATTATAAACTACTTCATAATTGTATACATAGTTTTGTTCTAGAGATGTACGACGTTTCAGAAATATTACCTGTTCGTTGCATGAGGTGGATTCAAACTTTGAAGGGATTGTTCTGTCTGAAGTAACCTTCGTCGAAGATCGTAGCAATCTCGCATCAACGGGTCATCTTCAACGCCAGATTTGAGGCTAGTACTTACACTGCTGCTTACACTTGATCTCCGACTCATCTTTCAAGACTTGCTCTCCGCATCAACATGATATGAACCGAAAATTTGCTCTTTTGAAGCGTAATGTTCAAAGGTGACAAGACCGCGAGGAGTGACGCGCTAGCGATCGGAGTTCCAACAACGTGATACAAAGCAACTTACGTACTACGGCTTTGACATTTCGCAGTGAATAATGATGTTAAAAATTCCCACACAGAGTTACAACACTAGCTTCGCTGTTATGTAGGCATAGAACTCTGAAGAGTTCAAATTTAGCCTCTGATCCTGCAAAATTTGAAATTCGTTCCGAGTCTCTGTTGACACATGCAACGAAAAACCGCCGCGGCAGTTGAATGGGTTACACGTCCCTGTGATTTTGATTAACCAATGAGAACGCCGTATTGTAATGAATAAACCAATCACATAAGAGCGCACACAAAGCTTTGCTTTATTGAACGCTTCATCGCCTACAAAACGACCGTGGTCTTTCGTCGAAGAAAAATTAATCGTACTCAAAACTCGGTAGTTGATAGAAAATACTAATTCCATTTGATCTTTTTAAAGCACTCATTGTTCTGTCTCTTTGCAAATGCACTCGAAAGATTTTACACGTAAGTTTTGCCACGAACTTTCAGAAATTCTGCTAAGAGAATACATCCGCTAGTCATGAAAGATATAGTGGTCGTTTTGTCCCACCAAAATCTGATCAAAGTTTTTTGTTTCAAACAAAGGATCTGCTAATTTACTTTCTATTAAAAAAAAGAAGTCTTGAAGGCCGAGGTGTCAAAATTGAATGACAGGGAAACTTTAAAAGACAGCTGCGTTGGCACTTAAAACAGACTAGAAAAGGAAACATTTGTTTTACTGACTTTTTGAACCTTTCGAAATTGAAGAAACCCTGGTTTCGTCGTTTCGAAAGGCTCCTATTATGTCACATTTAAAAGTAGTTATTCTTTGACAAAAGAAAGAACTTCTTGGTTTTTTTATATTTGAAAGGAAAACTTAGATAAAATCTTAAAATGTTTCCGAAAACAACGACATTATAAATATTGATATTCAGTGCAAAATAAACATTTGAAAAACAACTTCCCACTTTGAACTGAAGAGCTAACTGATATAAGGAAAAAACAAGAAGAAAAAGAAGACGGAAAAAGAATTCATTTGGTTTATTTAAAAAAACCCTCACAAGGATCAACCCCCTTCCCGGCCGACAAGACTTCACCAATTGCTGTTGTATTAATAACCACAAAAGAAACAAACGTGCGACATAGAAATAAATTTTATATAGATCTCTCGTTATACAAGATATATTCCTCAATTTAAAATATTACATTTTTCTCAATTACTTAACTCTAATACGAATATTTTTTTATTCCAAGTTATTTTGAAGTAAATATAGCCACGAATTTCTATTTCGAAAAGTTTAGTTTAAAAATAGGTCAGAACAGTATATGTCTATAGCTTGTCGACGGACATGTTCAGCCGCTAAAAGCTTTCCTCTCCAAAAATATTATTCCATAAATTAAAATTAATGTAATCCAGCTCTGCTCGCCGAACGTTTTCGCGCTAAATTTTGCCGAAGGAACCCTGTTTACAAGCTGAACATTGCGTTAAAATTTCCTTTTAACTGAAAATGTCGATCTATGGATGTATAATTAACTACAGCAATTACAACTTACAGATTTCTTGGCCAATGCCTGATACAACTCGTTTATTACTCTGGGTGCGTTTCTCAACAAAAGTGCAGAGACCCTTCCGGGACCCGCGGAAAACAGCTAACATGAGAACGTATTTGAATCACTGAGCACAGAGAACGTGATGCACCCATTAGACTGCAAAATAGCCAGTAACTTATATTTTGCGTAGGTCAAGAACGCGGCAGAAATCAAAGAAAAGTCCTGGAGCGAAGATGAAAACAAAGTATGAGACTGTGGAGGGCATATGAGGCTCGCCATGCAGGCACCTTGAAAAAAAAAACCGATTTTCATCTTTTGAGGGAAAAACCGACTGTTTTGAAGTCTATACGTCCACCTTCGAGTTGTCGCGCGTTCGACCTCCGCTTCGAAGTCCAATGTCAAGTGAACTGTAGCTTTGGATTAAATTTCTCCGCTTAGGTTTCAAGACAAACGAAACTGAATCTGGATATGTATAGCCCTGGGCCCAGAAGGTTTACGCGTTTCCGGTGCTCAAACGTGAGCACGATGCACGTCAGCTAAGATTTTTTAATTTTAGTCCTTTATCGTTATTTTCTATTTCTTCTTGTAAAAGCCTCCAAACATTTTACTCATTTTAGTCATGAATATTAAAGCTCTTGAAAGTGTTCAATGATCCTTTAAAAGGAAAAAAAAGCTCTGAACAGACAATTATTTCGCCAAACACCTTTTTCAGTAATAAATGTAAAAGGAACTCTGCGCGCTACTATTATAAGGTACTGCTTCTTAAAAACTCATTCATTTGTAAAGAATTAAATTCTTAGAAAAGGACTTCAAATGATAAAGTTCAAATATTCTTTAAGTCAACCTTGAAAGGTCTCAGTCTCTTCAGATCTCAGAGATATTTGTTGTATTTCAATTTAGATAAGCGCAAATATTCACTATCTAAATTCTACATCTTTTGCCCGGTGTTTCACAACACATCCGACACTGAGAGATATTTTTTCAACAGTATTTTAGGAGAAAAGTTGCAAAGAGATCCAACATACTAGGAAAAAAGGGCTGGTAAAAAGTACTTAAAAATCTAAAAATTACGTGCTGCAAAGCAATCAACGTGAACATGTTTGCTGACTTTTCACTCAAAACCTTCCCATTCATCATCCCAACCACCTTCTACCTGAAAGACAAAAAGAAAAAAGAAAACAATAATTACAAAGATATTGATTTATATCTGCAACTAAACCGAATTGTTTTAGCTCAGCCGCGCAAGAAGCAAAAGTCGCCGACTAAAATACTGCTTCTGTGACAAGTGAAACTGGAAAATGCCTTTAACTTATTGCTTTCCCGAGGAATTGTTTGCTTTCAAAACAAATTTTTTCTAGAACGTTGACCATCTGGTTGGAAAAACCGGAAATTTTGTTTTTTATCCCAAATGATACACTTTACTCCGGAGAAATATGCCGGGTTTTTCCTCTTGTTCAACGCAAAGTAACTTTCTGTATACTAAATAATATTATCACACTGTTAGGCACTATTGCGGAAAAGAGAATTTAGCGGGCTAAAATGTATCTTAGCCAGCTAAGGCTATCCCCTTTTTTTTTCGTTTAGTGTAGAATGCGTTTCCTGATATCGGGTCGGTCGGTCGGATGGAAAAAAAAAAAACAAAAACAAAAAAACATGACAAGAAGTCTCGGAATAGGAGGCCCTGGTGCCCCAGGATGACGTTAAAAGTTAACATTTGCATATTTGGATCAACAAAATGCATACTATGCAGTAAAAAATGTTCCTGTTTTTGTTCCTGTTTTTCTCTATGCTGTTACTATGCTCATTTTTCAGATTAAAAGAATTATTTCAAGAGAAAAATGGTTTAACAACGTCGTTACTTTTTTTTTTTTTTTTTTTTTTAAATGCCAAAACTTTGGGTCGGTCGGACGACGCTAAACGGAGAAAAAAAAGAGGATGGCCTGAAGCAAACCACTGAAAATTGAGCCACAATAAGTGAATCGTACGATGCAAGCAGCCAATCAAAACCGAGAAGCCATTGCGATAGGTTCGCGACGCTTTTTGCACTGTTTGTGAAAGAGTCACGGTGCCGTTTTCCAAGCCCAAATCATGGCTGAAAGCACAGAAACAACGAAGAATTTGTAAATTTCTCAATCTCCTCAGCTAGAGAAGAAGAACTACAAACAATAAGCTTTATCGAACTTTTCTTTCTTGTCTTATTACAATTTTGGAAAACTCAAATGGCAAGTGGTTTAATTGAAACATTTCCGCCCGCAGTTTACCGTTTATTTACCTGTGACATATCGTCCACCATTGCAAGCTTAGAGCTCAGTTGTTCGGAATATGAATGCACAGGTATAACTTTGGAATCCTTGGCTTTAAAGCTTACTGCCGGTTCCATATCAGCAAAATAATCAGGTTCAGTGGAGCGAATAGGAATCCCTGTTATTTCAAACTCGCTCCCTGGTAGCTTGTTTCTCTGTTGCCTTGCCTTGGAGGGTTTATCATCTTTACTTGAAGTTTTCTTGGAACCAAGCTTCATCGCAGAGCCATGAGTTCCTGTTGTAATTTTCGGAGCAGAAGTGTTCTTGTCAAGAGACGTTAAACTAGTCCTAGTAAACTTGTCGGTGCGTGTAGAGGGAGAGGAAAAATCCACATTGTTAATGTCATGCTTGTCTTGATCACTGGCGAAGCTATGCTCGTCACTCCAGTCGTTTATGGGTTCAGCGGTGACTTGACTTGATCGACTACTCTAAAACACGACAAAGAAAAGTGGTTTGATTATTATATGCTAGTTATTCGGAGTATACACTGTTTACCTTCAAGAAATTGGAACACGACTTTTTGGGTCGTTCCAGCGAAAAATTTGCGGGAGCAACGAAACATCTGAAAAGGTACTCCAATTTTTCAGGACGGAATATGCCAAACGGAAATTCGAGTTCTACTCCTTCAAAACCATCTTTGATATGAGCTTCAGGCCTTCGCGGCAGTTTTTCGATAAATAAAACTGATTTGTACAATTGCTTAACTCGAGACCGGGACGAAATTTACAAGTCCTGAATTTTGCTTGCCATTTGCGGCCCAAACCATGAACCGACCGCTTTGCCCATGTACATGGTAAACAACCTAAGGCACTCAAAAAAGCGCGCGCATGATCATAGGAACAAGTCATATTTTACTGATTGGCATGCACTATAGTGACAAACATTTTTTGAAAAACAAGTTCGATTATTCCAACAATAAGTTCAACTTTGCATAATTTTTATATATTAATCTTGAGTCAACCATTTTTGACAGTTTTATACGGAAAATTTTCAACCTGAAAATCCAAAAGTCCCATTTCCCATTCTCCGCACAGCTTCGCAGCTCCTCTGCCAAAAATTTGCTCGTGCTAACGATCCCGCCGGCTACGCAGGCTAAATTACATTGCGCAGCTGTTATCAAGTGCTGTGAAACAGCTACCGAAACAGGTATTCCGCAAATTCAAAGAGCGGTACGCGTGCCATTTGATTTTGACGACAAATGTAGACGGCTTTGTTTGTTAAAGAAAAGGTGAACTCAAGTGGTCACATTTCTGAGCTTGAACTCGAAATCAGCAATGAAAAAGGACTGTGACCACGTAAGTTCACCTTTCTTCGGTTTGATATACAACGCCACGTGACCTAAGAGGTAAAGTATTTCTCCAAAATCAACTGTTACGAGTTTCTACACCTGGAAGGACTTTCACTCTAAAACCCACTCTACTCACCGTCACGTCTGACCGAGGGAAGTTCTGAGTCTCTTCAACGTCTTCCCAAGGTTCAAAGTCCTCGTGGTCAGATACTTCATCCGGGATAACCGATGTTTCTGGAATTCGTTTCGGTGATGATACCTTTGTTCTCTCGGTTTTCTCTCTTTCCCTCTCTAATCTGCGCCTTTCCATTTCTTTCCTTCTCTCTTCTTTTCGTTTCTCCATCTCCTGTCGACGTTTCTCTTTATCCTGTGTTTTTGTCTTGTTCTCATTGTTTCCAAAACGTTTTTTTGAGTCTTTTGTGTTTCTACTGAGTCTATTTTCAACGTCGATAACACTGCTCAGGTTTGTGGGGCCGATGTTGCTGATCTTCTTCTCCGATACAGAACCCGTGCAAACTTAAAAAAGAAAACACACACAAGTGCAAAAATTTTAGCTCGGTCAAGTCCCTTTTTACCGGTTATGCGGTCAAAACCATTACAGATATTATAATAATGTTTTAAACCAGGAGTTTTAAAAGTAGTAGGGGAGGCATATTTGAAACTTAGAACTTAGAATAAACACATTCAAATCCATTAACAGTGTATAGTACGTCTCCGGTTACTTTCAATGGGTAGTCGTGCAACGACGGCAAAGAAATAAACAAAAAAGCGTGATGCACGTGCAAAGGTGTTCATTTAAACCTATTGTTTTTCTGCCGTTCTTGTTGCCGTCGCCGTCCTCGTTGCTTAAGCTCCCTAATGTCCCTATTTGTACGGAGAACCTCAGATCCATACAGTCTGGGACAATTTAACACTTACTTGGTTGGATACTTGTAGATGTCTTGAACTGAAAAGGAAAGGAAGTTTTATATCAGGTCATATAGAAAATAACATTATCATATGAAGAGCAGGGTTTTAAATTAAAAGAGCGTCAACTTGAAAATGCAACCAGCGGTCTTTCTGAATCGGCTAAAGCTGGTTGTGGTATAAGTCATCCACTTGATGGTATATTGTATACATCTTCTAAATCTGGCAAACGCCAGTTGATTATAAAGAATTGACGGGGGATTAGAGCCAATTAAAAACGGAGAAATATTTTTAGCCTGCGAACGGCAGACGTTTCTCCTCGCTCATCGCCACTGAGGGACGTTTCGCGAGGAGAAACGTCTGCCGTTCGGAGGCTAAAATATTTTGAAAGAATAATAATGTTGGATAGCCTTGGAATACGCCGCCTTAGTTCAGGCTAACTGTTAACTGACTACATTCAGCCTCACCTTGGGTCTTCCTTCGATGAAAAGCTTTCTTCTTTCCCCGCCAACAACAACACTTGCACCTAAAATGGGCACCATGACGGCCAAGGCAGAGAAAGTAGCAGACACAATTCTGTCATCTGTTTCCCGCAGACCAATCAACATCTGATAAAAACAAATTTACATTTTACACTTCTGTTACCAAGAAATAAACAGCACCACCTTGCAATTCAACATTTTTCTAGATCTTAGACATACATGTATCATGGGTCTTTCTCAATGCATAAAAAAAACGCATTTTGCAGTCAAAGACAACGTTTGGGCCTGTACTGAGTTTCCGCCTAAGACAGTCAAAGAAACTGACTGAAGGACAGCAAGACTAGACTAAGTACTCGTTATATTTCTTATACGTCCAAGGAAACGAAAAGCTGGATAGCGCTCTCCACTAGATATATTATTATTATCCAGGGGATAAATATTAAGCAAACCAATTGGATTATCCTCTGTACAGAGATTTATCCAGTGGATGGTGCAATTCAGTTTTTGAACAACTGGAGCAAGTTCTCTCAACTCTTACTAAAAACTAAAAGTAACAATCAAACCTGAGGAAGGATAAAATTCTCCAGCACATCTTTCTTGATGGAAAAGGCATAGAGGCCAAAGTATTTGAGGAGAATCAGCCTGACATGACAATCTCGTATGGACCACAGTGTCATTAGAATGGGAATACAATGTTCTCTGAAAAGTTAAGAACAAACACACATCAGTTTACAATATAAAACGACGTTGTCACTTGATTTGCCGATGCGTTGAGTAGACAGTACTCCTGAAGACCGCTGTTTATAATTCCCCCGCTAGAGACGAGACTAATCAATAGGAGACAAAAGGTCTAGCCCATTGCAGAGCAAAGGTGGTAACTTCTTGCTAAGACTCTACTATCTGAGCTTTAGGGCTTGTTTACATAAAGGTGGGGGACCCCAGGTAGGTGAGGTAACACGCGGCGGGTCACCCCACCTATCATGTAAACGCGATCAAATTAAAATGAGAGATTATATCGACAGGCGGGTTACCTCACCCACCTGGGGTCCCCCACCTCCATGTAAACAGGCCCTTAGTCTAGTACTGGGGATCGAACGTAACCGCAGACTTTGAGAGCTCTGTCATCTGAGTTAATCCTGTAAAATGCAAAGGGTAGAAACAAAAGGTGAACTTTACGCCAAGAATGTCAAGCGTGTGACCAGACGCCGCGTAGCGAGCTTCCTAGTGCGTGCTTAAAGCAAACGTTGGAAGTGCAAAGTTGGCGTCTCAACTTTTCCCCTTTTACCTTGCAAAGAAATGCTTGCTAACCCTACCCCAACTTCCAATACTCATCAAAAAGCCAGTCTCTGAATCACCTGAACAATTCATCTGGAAGAACTGGAGTAAGGCCACTCAACTGATAATCAGTTTCACTATCATCTGAAAAAGACGGAGGTTTAAAATAAGTAATTAGGGACTTTAATATCTAACGACGCGACGGTAACGAGAACGTCGCTTAAAAGGTGAATTTACGTTCCTTCAATCGTAACAGTGATTATTCCTCCCTTTTTACTTTGTCAAATGGAGGCGAACCCTCCTGAAGCTGAATTTCACGAGACCAAATTCAAGCCCAGAAAGAGAAATAAAATGTCGTCGTTGCTTGTTTACTTCCTCCATAAAACGCCAAATTAGGCATTTTCACGTCGTAATAGTGCAAAAACAGGAAAGAAATGAACAAAAACGCGTGATGCACGTGCGAAGTTGTTTTTTTGCTTATTAAACGTTTTGTTTTTTTTGACGTTCTCGTTGCCGTCCGCGTCGTTGGATCTTAAAGTCCTTATTGTCAGAACATCGTTCAACAGACGTTTAATCCTGAACGAAGCAAGACCTTTCATGCAAAACAGGGTTTGCTCTCACGATCAAATTGCCGCAGATTTGAGGCAGAAAAGAAACAGTGCCTTTCTGTTGCTGGTTCTTGATATAGGATAAATTTGACTGGGTAAAACAATCTTACTTGACTAAAAGTGATACCTTCCATTGGAGTCAAAAGATGCGGCAGGAAGTTCACCTCTGCACTGGGTTCCGCTAGAACAAATCTTGACATTAACCTGGGAAGCATGCGTCTCGCAACAACCTTGGTCGGTATTGTAGTCAGTTTGTAAGCTAGTGAGCTAAAATGGACAACCATAAAAAACATCAGCGAAACTGTATCGCAAAAAAAAAAACCCAGCCTGCAAAGCAGGGCTTCTTATTTGCGCTCTCAAAAATACACTATAAGCGAGCGAGTTCAAGTGGCATGCAAAGCGAGTTTTCTTAATTCGCTCTGCAAGCTGCTAATTGTCAATTGTACACTGGTGAATCCTCTCGCCTCTTGCCTTTGAGCACCCGTTAGTAATGGTAACAGGACTGAGTGGAGTCCAATTCGGTCTGTAATCATACGAGTGATTAACAAAACGCGGGAGTCCGATTTGTTTAATCACGAGTATGATTACAGACCTAATTCGACGAAACGAAGTTCTGTTACCAATTAATCATAACTTTAACAAAATTTGTAAGAAAAGGTTCTTTTTTTACAATCAAAACACAAGAAATTCCAAGGTTTTCTTGCTAGCAGGGAAAAAAAGCCACTTAAGCGCGCGCGTGAAGTCGCGTACTATCCAATCACTTAGGCATGACGCGTACTGTCCTATTAAACTGTCCTATTAAGGCTGAAATCAGGACAGTTGATAGCCAATCAGATTTGAGAATTTTGTAATAGTTATGATTAACTGGCAAACTGCATATCAGTATCAAACGTTTAAGGTGATGTTACACCAGACCGTTTGATTACATTAGTACAGGGTAACAATGCATGCTAGAACAGGGTTGTAACAACTCAAACCAACGTTGTAACAATGTTGCAACGATGTGATGCATTTCTGAAAACCATCGTTGCGAATCATCCCATAAAACATCGGCTAATGTAGCGTGCAAGTACATGCTTAAAAAATAACCTGAGTTTCAAGCCTTCCTTAGGGGGTAGGGCTCCCCTCTCCCCTCTCCCCGTAGAAAAGTCTGATACGTAGACGGCCATCTTGAAAGCTTCCACTGACTGCTGTTCAATGACTTTATTTGCTAAAGAGTTCCAGTCTCTGATTGTACGTGCAATAAAACTGTATCACTGGTATTTGTTACATTTGGCACTAACTTGAACGAATGGAATTGCCTTACCGAGTGCCCTGTTGCCTTTTACATAATATATGGCTGACAGACTAAAAAAACACTCTCTGACTTACAAACACATGTACAACGTACATAAACTTTTCCTTCTCATTTCGAGGACTTCTTGAAAGATTCTTTTTCAAAACTTACTAGCATTCCGTGCAAGAAGAAGCTTGTCACAAACTGAAAAATTGTCAGCCCCGAAGTATGACCGAAAACTCAGGTACACGTAAATCGATTTTCCCAACAGAGTGAAACGGAACATACACCTTCTTGATGTGTGATGCAGTATTGTAACAAGCTTCACCCTGCCCTAACCACGTTAATACACATTACACAAACCTGAAGAATTTCTCTTTCTCTACCTCTGTTTTAATTGTTATCTGGTTCAGGAAAGTCATTATCTCCAAAAAGTTGCTTCTGCAGAAACGATAAGGAAAAACAGAAGTTTCGAATCATAAATGGCATGCAGGTAGACTAAGAGGACAAAAGTCCTGCAAGTGCAGTGATGTTTGAAAATGTAAAAATTATTTCATTCTTACGTTCCTTAGGGACGAACAATTAGAAAAGTTATGGGGGAAGTGCGGAATTTTCGAGCCGCAGGAATTTTTTTCGTCATCAAATTCCTCGTATGAATTTTTTTTTAGGCCGTAGCATGAATAATTTTTGGGGTTAATAGGCGTGCATGAATTTTTTTCATTCAATTTTCCCTTGCACGAATATTTTTTTGTACTTCGCCCATTCCCCCAACCCCCCCCCCATAAGTTTTCTAATGGTCCGTCCCTTATGTCCATCCCACTGATTGCTTTTCAATGCGTATTCTCACCAAACACAACAAGGTTATCCTCTTTTGGCAAGTGCTCAGATTGCAAAATGCTAAATTATCTAAGACTAGTTTCAGTCTGCTCTCTCTATAAATATGTTAAGTGAAACACGCATATCCTATCAATACTGGAAATTACACATGAATAAAAAGTTTGACCTACAGGAGTAATCATAAGGAATTAGAGGGGCATGTACAACTACTGTCGCAAACATAGTAAAGATGTTACTGATGTAAGACAAAAGAAGTGGTTCAGATACATCGTTAAAGGTGAAGTTGCAAATAACAAACAATTAATTTATCGTTATTTTACAGGGTTCGTACCCCTTTTAAACCGAGAAAAAAGGACTTTTCAGTGACTTTCATAATTCAAGGACTCCATGCCATGCAAAATCAAAGTAATAATAATCTTTTGTGTTGCTATTATTCTACCATTAAAAATTATTGTTGAGAATCTGTGTTGGATGAGCAACAATTTCAAGAACTCTCTCCACTACATTTTTTAAGGACTTTTCTGGCATTGAATTTAAATTGTAACTCAAGAACATTCAAGGAACTTCCAAGTATACTACTCCGCGAGCAGAGGTTTCTCTCTTGCATGACTTTTAGCGTTTACGAAGTCATTCGCATGGCTTTTCTGTCACGTAAGCAAACCAACTACGCAACTGACAAGCCATGTGAATGACTTCATTAATGCCAAAAGCAATGCAAGAGAGAAAACTCTGCTCGCGGGGTATAAACTAAAAGCAAAAAAGGGCCAGAGAGTGGAAAAGGACAGAAATCAAATATCCATTGGTACTGTAGATCTACACACCCCAGATACAGAGTGCCAGTCTAAGAACTATTAAAGTCTTGTGTATCTTGTAGTGTGGTAAGGAATATGACAAATTGACAATGAGATCTAGTCTACAACAGGAAATACAAAGTAAATTACAAACCTGAAAAAGTCATCGTTGAGGAGACTGCGAAGTTGAGGCCTCATCTGGGAAAGATATCAATAAAGACAAGTAATAATTAATCATTGGGTTATAGCTTACTTTTAGTCAGTATACCATGGCTACAAAACATACAATGTACATGTAGCTTGTTTGAACAACAAAGGTGAATACTTGAATTTTTTTAGGCCAGTCCACTAGGAATTTACTTAAACAAGGCCAAAGGGGAACAAAAATAGAAATTGGTGAGTATAATTTTAAATTCCACAATGAAAGGTGCTTGAGAATTAACTCTCCCTTAATGTGCTAATTCTAAGTGTGTAATATTGCCTTTTTTAATCACACATGTACATGATGACAGCAAAAAAGCTGCAAAACTAATAGTGAAACAGAAGTACACTTAAGGCCAGTGGATCGGTATTTCCCCTGGCCACGATGAGCATGGTCCCCAGCTACTCTTACAGGAAACAAGAAGAAAATAAAACCAAAAGAACTTCCTTGTTCAATTCCCCACCACGTACATGTAACTTGAAATGTTAGTGACAGCCCAGCAAGTTAGGGCCATAGAAAATACTAGTACAGGTAATTTGACCTTTACATTATACTCCCACTTGAAGTTCCAGTACCTTAAGAAAACAAAGTATTTACCTGAGGATTCTCATGAAGGAATAAACTCTGCATTTTTTCTCCAAATGTTTCACCAATATCACCTGGCATAAAGAACAGATTTAACTTTTCTCAACACTCTCAGGACTGGTTGTCATGAAAGAAACTTACTTCACGGGACCCAAACTTTTTTTGGTGCAAAAGAGGTAGAATTAAAATAATATATTAATCATTATTATTAAAGGCTCCATAATTAAAGACCTTACCTAACTTGGCTAGTGATTTGCAAATATTATAGAGCTGACAATACCTAAATATTACAGTACTTTATTCAAGGTATCATAAAAATAAAAAATACAAAAATAAACCCTGAAAAGGAAGTTAAAGAGGTGGGCCCTAAATGAATTAACTTCCTAAAATGCTTGAGGTACAATTGCTTGAGGTACATTGCACTAGTGTGGTCTGCAGGGCATGCTACTTGGGAAAATTTGCAATGACTGCCTGTCAGGACACATTAAATTTTTTGTGTTTTTTGGATGAAGCATCATATTGTGCACCGACAGTAGAAAACATGTCTTGTAAAGTGTGCGAAAATCTTATCATTTTTCTCTAACTTTGGCTGTGAACCTGGCTTACTGGAGAGTCAGCAGTAACATACAATGGTTCTCAGTAATATTGCAAGTCTTTCATGCAGGACATGTAAGTTTTAAGTTGGAGATCACTTCAGTCTATAGTTAAATTCAAAATTCTTATGAATTTTACATGTATTTACCTAAATCTGCTCTTGTGTCCAAGATGTCACTAACAAACATACCAAAGGCATATGCATCAATAGAATGGCCAGTTTTAGGAGTGATGTTGACTTGACCTTCCTATCAAACAAATAACTTTCAAGTTACTCATTCTTTCAAAATACATGTATCTATGCCCCAAGTCTTTGGGGAGCTTACTAATAATATGTAATGATAAAAAAGGTAATGGTCCATTCAAATCCACCAAAATTGCATAAAAAGAAAGATGATTGAAATAATCATTAGTGGCACTGGGTCCATGGAAAAACAAAAAACAAAAACAAGATTAAAGTTTTTCCAGCAGGAGTCAAACCCATGTCTCTCCAGCTGGGTAATCTTGGAAAAAAAATAATTATCTTTTTTACGTAGCCTTTTTTGTGGAAAAATTACTTTCCAGTCCTCAAGAATGATTTATTTAGTGCTGTTAACTGTAAATGACAGGCATTTTATGTCCATCTCTAACAGCATAATACTCCGATGTCATTTTATACCACGGTTCTAAAGTGAGCACAAAATAAAGACAAAAAATGTCCAAAAACATACCTTCTCTTCAGGGGAAATTGATTTGGAATCTCTAAGTGCCTTTGTCCCTGATAGAAACTGTAATAAAAATAAAGCAAATATAAATTATGCAAAATTAATATAATTTTTACATAATGTAAATCCTGAATGAGTCAGTCTTCTATTGTTAAGCCCCAATACTTAAATACAATTTTTCCAGACTGGTGTCCATACATTTCCTTACAGAATTAATTGAGAGAAATTTGATAAAAGATCAAAGTATTTTTCCTTTGGTGATTATTTTACTGATTCTCATTAGCTTTTCTCTTGATTATGAATTGATCAGCAGTGATTTTGTTACAAATAGTTATGGGGAGTCCTGGGACTCAGTTTGTGAAAAATCATGAGTCCCAGTCCAGAACCAGTGAGTCCCACTTAAAAAATGCTTGGGCCTTTATGGAACTAGACAGTTAATCTGAAGACAGACTCCAAAACTCTGTATTACAGTATTAATACTGAAATTAAAATATAGTCCCTCTATTTTAAAGCACATTACAAAGACTAAAAGAAATATGCATCATTAAACAAATCCCAGCCACAATAACTGCCACAGAAATTTACGCGAAACGGGCCAGATATTTCTACAAATACACATGTTCAGATTGATCAATCGATCTTTGCTGACTACGGGACGCATGCCATTAATTATTTTATGCCTTTGGGGATTTTTATGTGCCAGGGACACAGGACGCAGGGGAACCAAAATCACTGGATCAGCATTGTTCGGAAAAAAATGAAGCTAATCACTCTTGAGACTGGATACAATAAATAACAACTCACCTCATTGGTTAACTCAGAAAATTTGCAGACAAATTCCATCCCACCAAGTCTCCATCCCCAGTCATTATCACTGATGTACACAGATGACAGACAAAGGTTGTTATGTGACAGGCCACCCTAAAAGTTCATAATAAAATGTACATGTAACATTTAAAAATAATATTATGACTTTTATGGTGCCCATTTTAAGTAGGGCCTTAAAAGTGTATAAAAATATACAATACATCTATTTCAAAAACTCATTAATAATAATTAATTTTATTCATAAGGAAAAAAACAAAAGAAATTTGTCTTTAATGAGTGTCTTTTTATCTAAAGACACCACTAAACTTTACATCTAATTTTTTAGCTAAAATAACCCCAAATCTAAATATTAGGGCAAGAATAAGTTGATGTATGTCAGAGATTTTAAAGCCATTGTGTCATGCCAGTCTTGTCTTGTATTGTCTTGTTTTGCCTTGTATTGTCTTGTATTAATCAGGTTTAAAAACTCTTAACTTCACCTTGAATTTTCAAACTTGACAATACTACACTCCTGCCCCAGTTGTTCAAAAGCTGGATAGCAATATCCACCAGATAAATCACTCTCCAGTGGGTAAATATTAGGGGAGCCAGTTGCGCTATCAAGTGAATGGAGATTTATCAGTCCAGTGGATAGCGCCACCCACCCGTATGAACAACTGGAGCCTGCTCGTTTTTTAAACAGTACCTACAATAAATTTGTAAAAGTAAAAGCAAAGATAATTGTGTTTTCTAATTTTTAAAGACTCTCAATAAAATTAACCACAAATTTGCTACTGGAGATTTTGTAAAACAGTGTAAAACATGTCAAACCATTCTCTGGTAGACCTCTTTCTAACTAAATAGAGGCAACAACTGCCCAGAGATTGTATACAATTTGTGAAGCTTAATTTCAGGTTTCATTCAGAATCAAAAGCAATAACTTCTAAGTGTGAAACCTGTAAAAAGGCAGGGTTGTCAGAAAGTTTTGAGGTAGACGGCTGAGTTGTCAAAGTAAGCGGCCAGTCCAGGGATATTTTATTTAAAAAACAACATCTGTAAAGAAATGCCAAGCAGAGTAGCCGGCCAATACTAACCAAGTAGGTGGCAATTTTTGCCAGCAGCCGGCTACTTTTGACAAGCCTGAAAAGATCACAAAAGTTGTGGTCCATGGGACAAGGTTTCACATGAGCAGTTTCTACAAATGTTTGAGGAGCGAATGGGTTAAAGTACAATTAAACCATTTTATTTTATTTTAACTCCAAGTAAGTAAAGTGGTTCAAATTTCTGTCAAAGTCTGTCAACAAAAACATATGGTGTCACCATAAAAACTCAAAGCCAATTATGTATAATGGAGGGTAGATACCATTTCAGTACAGTATAATAAGCAAGGAGGGTAGCAATCCTCCTAGCAGGTATAAGGTCTCCATCACAACCTTACCACAGACCACTTCCAGGGACCCCACAATGTGCTTTGGAAGTTTTACTTACCTATGACACTTGTGATGGTAGGGAAGGGAAAACAAACTGTGCAGACACCAAGCAAGCCTCAGTAAAGCAGAAAGCACATACATGTACAGGTGTACAAATTTAGTGAAACTGCTACCCAGCATTGGATGGATTTTAACTTTGCCTAAACTGCATTTAGCCACACGTAAAACTTCATCAACAATACTGTATATACTGTATGGTTCTATTTTTGTTTTCAGGGCAATTTCACATGAGACAATGAAATTTTGAATTTTTTAAAATAAAATTTTGCACAATGAAACTTAACCAACAGAAAGCTGAAACAATGGGCTGTTTCAAATTACTGAGATCTTGTGTGTCTTGTCCATGTGCTTAATGTGAGAAGGCATGAAATCCAGAGAATTTGAATCTCATTATATTTGGAATTTTTGGAAGGAAATTTTAAACAAAGTTTTAACATCTAAGAAAACATACAGTTAACATAAAAGTATGTGTGTATTATAACCTTTGCCTTACACTATCATTAGGCTATAAGTTATTATCCAGCTACTGGCACTTTCCCAAGAAAACTGACATTGAATTTTTGTTGCGGACATTACGTAATGTCCGCAACATTAAGGTACCTTTTTTCAGTTCCCGTACACAGTGTGCTGTATTTTCATGTGCTATTGATGCTGCTCAGTTAGTCTGATGTATACTCTATTTTAATCTCAAAACATTTCCTGGGTGGGTTTTCTTTGCTCAGAAATTATTCGTTGAAAAGTGTTGCGGACATTACGTTGCGGACATTACGCATGTTAGATTTTTCATTTATTCAGGCTGTTGTGGACATTTAGTTCTTACTATCTCTGAATTAGATTCAGACAACAGCCCACTTAACACTAAATTGCTTTTTATTGATGTACAAATGTAAATGGCAAATTAAAAAGAGCTGGTAGCTGCTTTTTCGTAAAATGTCTAATGAATTTAATTTACAAAGTATTAAAAACATTCTAAATAATTCACGATTTCTGTGATATTCTTGAAAATGGGCAAACGTAGTGATTTTCAAATTAGTTCCTTCCATAAAGTAGTATAGATGCATGACAAATTTCGCAGTACTTTAACAGAAAAACAGAAAAATATTTTAAAGAGTTTATATTGTTTTGGGGGATGCTGTCACAAAATTACAGAGTGACATTTGTATGGATCTTTAACTGTGTTTCAAGAGTCATAACTTGATCCCTGTTCAACTTTAGAGCACCAAACCTGCTCAACCAACCAATCTCAACATGACCTTTTATATGGTGGTGTCAGTTTATCGATTAGTTTAAATTAATTTGAAACTTGCCCCAGTTCCCTATGCAACTCCAAAATGGCCAATGAGTAGCTGGTCAGGGGTTTTGTACTGCTGAGCATGCTCAGAACAGTTTGTAAGCATGCTTTTTGAGGAAAAGCACTAACCATCATTGTTTCTTCCACAAACTTGAATGGGTATTATTTTTTTAACAAGAATTTGTAATATGTGTAGTGAACAATGTGCAATTTTAGTGCAAATTTACATTTTATCTATAAGTCAGACTGAATGACAAAATATGATAATTTCAGTAGCCAAATCAGTTTTGTAATAAAAAAAAATAATATCCTCAATACTGAGAACATTTTTTTCTCACAACATTTACTTGAGATGTAATAAAATTAATTTGGAAATTATTTTAAGGAGTCAGTATAGCAGAAAAAAATCTGACTGGTATTGCATGATACTAGGTCTCAGCAGGAGATTATATAATATTATAAAAGAACATAAATAAAGTAAATGATAATTTCACAGCTTCATTTTTAGACAAGTAACTACAGAACAAATGGACATAGCCACAGTCAGCAACACTGACTAGAATGTGAATGATAAAAACTGTGTTCCCAAAAATGTAATGTCCGCAACAATTTTGTGTAATGTCCGCAACGCAAACTTTTGTTTGTAGAATCATTGGAACAAGGTTGCATGGAATTTTTTTTTGACAGTTGAAAAATCTAATTATTGTTATGTTTTGAAGACACAATTATTTTCTGCTCAAGGTTAAAAATTCACAGGAAAATCTCTTTAAAGAAAGTTACTTTAAAAAGTGGTTGTTTAAACTGTAATGTCCGCAACACACTTTCTTCAACTCATACCTTCAAGGTCTTAAGAGCTAACCAAAGCATCTTTTTATTAGGTACAAAGGGAACACTAAAAAGACTTTCTAGATATGTTTGAACACCCTTAATGAACATTTTGACATCTAAATTGGGGTTTAAAATATTAATTTTAGTATCTGAACGTAATGTCCGTAACAAGGAATCACCCACCAGCATTTTACAAAAGAAAGTTTGGAAATTAACATTGGTCACTTCTGGGGTTAAACAGGTTAGGATGAGCAGGTCAATAGTTACCACAATTTTGACCTACAAGAATCTGAAGTAAACAACATAATCAAACAAACAACAGCAAAAATTCTGGTGAGCTGCTTGGAACTTTAATGTTAATTAAGGAAATGAGTGTTTTCTATGGAGTTACTTTCCAAACATTTTGGCCTGGCCCTTCACCAGTGGAATTACAAGTACATTGGATCTAGTGCAAGGTTTTCATACAACGAAAATTAAACATTACAAACTCAGAGGCCCTACCAGGGTAAATTCCGACAAACGACATGGCCCAAAAAGTAGCAACAGCGTGTAAAACAAAATCGTGACAAGAGACAACCTCCCTTGGCCAAATTGCGACAGTGACGGCAAAGCAGACTATAAGTGACAAGCATTTATAAACACTGACACAAGACATTTTAAAATTCAGATGGGCAACATGGCACCCCCATGGCAGGGCCTCAACTCAGTGGGCATGCAGGCGCACTCTCTATGTGGCCTATGGAAGTCAGATTTTTATCTGCACGGATAACTGGTACCAAGTTTAAAAATAAAGTTAAAAGATAAACAACATACCTTGTCATGTAGGAAAGCTAATGCATCTACAACATTGTACAACCCAGCAATAATCTCTAATGTGTCTAGTGTCTGTATCACAGACTCTAAAGGCCGGACTGGCTCTGTAACCATACAGAACTCCTCTGAGTTGTCGTAAGACCAGACCTGTTTTAGGATGGCTGGATGTTTCAGAATCTTCAAATACTTAAGGAAGAAAGGAATGGCATGTTAGTCAATGTTAGTCACTACAAACATTTTCAAACATTACATTATGGCATATGGGTGGGCAAAGGGGGACAGGTTGGTGTCTTAGCTATATCAATACATCACCAAAACTTTTTTCTTTATGAAGTACTTATCATGCAAGCAGTTGTAATACAGCCCCCACTGTGTCTTAAAATATAAAACAGTGGAACCCCACGCTACAAACAACTGCTTAACATGGACACCCAAATATAATGGACAGTTTTGTTTGTCCCGACAGTGAAAAATCTCATTTATCATTTTTCTCTAAAACCATCTCACGTACTTAATACGGACACCAGGATAACAAGGACACTATGGTATGTCCCCTGGGTGACTGTATTAACCACATTCCAGTGTAAAATGAAACATGGAGGATGAGAGGGCATCGAACACGTCAGCATACAATAGCGCTACTACCAGCCACTACCAGCCCTTTTATGAGCTTACTTTTATCCACCCAGCCATGATGTAAATGATGTGTGTGGTGGGGAAGATCACACCACAAGGGCTTCCTTGACTCTTTCTGATCAGTAGTTACTGGGTTCTTTTGATTCCCACTTCTAAAAATTGATGTGTGTGGTTAAAGGAGAAACGCCTGATGGCTTAACATCATCTCCCAATGAAGAAATCACTTGGACTTAGACAAGGTTTTTAATGCAAGCATCAAGGAATTAACTTCAAGGTCATTCCATTTAATATTCACTTCAGTCTACTGATGAGGTATTTTTGGCTGGACCCCAAAAGAAAATGCTTCCCATGTAAAATGGAAATTTATGGCCATCATATGCAAAATAAGCTTAAGCTTAACTTATACTTTCTAAAAAATTTAAACAAGGTTAAGGCTGACAGTCAAAGAATAAGTAGCTATAATTACCTGAGCAGCTTTAGCAATCCTCTCCTCTTTCTTGGGTTTTTCTTTTCTGTTTTTCTCATAAATAAATACGGTCGCTTTGAAATCATCTTGTTTTCTCCGTGCAGCTATTAATCGCCATTCTTTGCTACTGCATTCCACAGGTTCCTCTAGCTCGTAGTCCTTTTCAACACTGCACTCAGATCCCATTACACCATGAACAGACACTTTTGTGAACGAATATAAACTTAAATGCACATATTTTACGGCGCTTACGAATCACTTGTACACGTCAACAAAATGGCGGAGTTTTCCAATCTTTGCTGACTCTCTTCACAATCCACAAGAAATTACGTTTCTTCAAAAAAGTAACTACAGTTCTTCCTCTCGTCAAAAAATCAAAAACACACAGAGTCACATTTTAGTTCTCCACAAAGACCAACAAGACATTTCCCCAAGGATGGCTACAATCAGCGGTCTTTTTATCGTTCGTTGGGTACGTTATAAAAGGCTGAACTAGAAATACAGTATGCAGTAAAGAGCAAGAAAAAAACAATAAGATTAATAAAGGCATCAAAACCTTAGAGAAAAAATAAAAGCAATAACAAACAAACAAGCAGATAGTAGCAGATATGTACCCAATTTGTGTTTCTGCCTTCCTGCGCGATCTCGTGCATTCCACGAGGGATGGTTAGTTTCGAATTCTTCTTCCCCCACCCCCTACCCCCTTGGGCTAGCGGTCATTTAAGTCCACGCTGTTTTTATTTCTATCACGCGCGCTCGGTGGACTTTTAAGAGAAAATAGAGGGTCTATGAACAGGCTACATCTATGCAGCGTTTTCGCGGGGCTGACGGCAAAGATGCAGAAATCAAAAGCGTTCCGGTTCTATGCTAGAAGGGTCGGAAGGAAAGTTGGTGAAAAAAACAAACAAACAAACAAACGAGCCCGTACAGACGCGGAGCAGGGACTGAGCGTAAGCGATTGGGCTAAAGGTGATAAGGCTTTCTTGTTCGGAAGGGCGCTCCTCTTGAAAGTAGAAGCCCGTTACACTTGTGGACTGATAGCATTTGGGCAAGGGCGGGAAAAAGTTTTAAACCGCCTCTTATTAAAAGCCGACTTCGAATAGTACATGAAGTGGGGTAGTGCATGGAAAGTACTACAAATAAGTGATTACAAAGGAGAGACAGCGAAGCCTAAGCCATTCATTAAGGGGATGCTCGAAACAATCAACAAATCATATTTCTATATCGAGTCTCCAATTACAATGACTTTTTCGCGAGGCCGTCAGAGACACTGATATGACGTTAGTTTTCAGTTGAATCCAGGAAAGGTTGAAATTGCGGTCTTTATCTACAATCTCAAAAATTACGACTTGCACCACATTCCGTTGGAGTTGAGAAAAATTAGTGGTGAGATTAACTACATCGCAAACGACACTTGGAGAAGAAAAAAACGTTTTTTCAGCAAACCTCCTCTTCAAGGACTGCTGCCAGCGTACGTCAAAGGCCTCTAGCGTCTTGTTGAGTGAGTCTTGAGTGCAACAAGCCCAAAATTACCGGCGTAAACGTCACCAAAAACTTTGAAGTCCTAAAGCAGTACGAGTCAGATAAAGAAAAGCTTAAGCTCCCTGTGTAAAGCACTCACAGGTTCAGGCCGGACTATCTCAGGGACCGCGCAGAGGGGGGGGCTGGGGGGGGGGGGCTTTAGCCCCCCCACTTTTTTGCAAGAATAAAAATGAATTAAACAAAAAATAATTTAACAAAAGTAACGGAGTGAAAAATAGCAATGAAAATCGTTAATTCGAAAGTGACCAGAGTTACTGGCAATAGACAGAATGAAGCATAGAGTACCGAAGTGATGACGTCATAAAAATGAAATTTGTGAAATTATGGGATTTGTTAAGCTATTCTGAAAGAACAACGTCCAAGACGCCTACTCGCCAAAAATTAGCAATTCAGGGCAAATTGTCTCTGAGATATTAGCCCAGTTATGCTGTGACGATTCCATACAAATCCTTCTAAATTTGGCTTGGTTCATAAGATTAGGAACCAGGTAAGATTTCGAAGGATTTGTATGGAGTCATCGGAGCATAACTGGGCTAATATCTCAGAGACAATTTGCCCCAAATTGCTAATTTTTGGCGAGTAGGCGTCTTGGACGTTGTTCTTTCAGAACAGCTTAACAAATCCCACAATTTCACAAATTTCATTTTTTATGACGTCACACTTCGGTACTCTATTAGTCGTTACAATTGTAAAATATTTTTTCGCTTCTAACCTAGCAGAGGTAAACGTCTTTTAAATGGCTTCTTTTTTCCTGCGGACCTCTCAGGAAAACGTGTTGTTTCGTAATTGGTCAATTTCGATCCAAAGTAATAACTGGGTTTAGTTTATAAGGCGATTCTCAAACAAATTGTTTATTAGTTTCAACCTTGATTTTTGGAAGATCATGAAGTTATTGTTTCTCTTGTTGTTGTGCCGTGCGTCCTGATTTTAGCTCGATCAGCGCGAAGTCCGCCTCGTGCAATAATTGCTCAGTAATTATACAGCCTTGAGTTCAAGGCAGCTCAAGCAAAATCGTTGGATTTCTGGCTTATTTCTAGTAATTAAAGGTTGATATCAGTAGTATAACATAACAATCTATGAAATTTCAATTTAGTGATGGTGAATTTTCAGACCCGATAGCAACATCACTGAAGATGTGGAAAAAAATCAATAGTTTTATCGTTATTCGCATTCTCCGTCACTTTAGAGAAATTGAATAGAAATCCACAAGCATGCCTCCCTCCCCGCCCCCCCCAAATTTTCCTTCACGCATTCTTCTTTAGCCCCCCCACTCGAAAACTTGCTGCGCGGTCCCTGTATCTCGACCTGCACCTGATCTGAAAACAGACGTGCTGCCCCTGACAGAGGGGTTTGAAAACGTCCGCTCAAATTGCCAAAGCATCTCAAGCAGTTTATAAGATGACCTGGTAACTACATCAATTCGGCGAATTTGAGCTGGTCAGGACTGTAGTAAAAACAATGGTCAACCTCCGCAGGCGTAGAGAACATGTCGCGAACAAAATCCGCGGCGCCATTTCATTGGCAAGTGAGAGGAATTTTGAACCTGACAACGTATACAGGAGCGGATCCAAGATTTTTCTTAGAAGGGAGAGCACCACTAAAGAACTACTATTTTAACAACCACTTTTGCGACGTTTCACATAAATTCTTCAACCTTGTCTCATGTTTTACTTCAACACCAATAATTAACCAATTAAAAAGGTTTTAGCCGCAGGTCATCTCAGGGGAGGTGCGCGCCCCCTGCACCCTCTCCCTAGTTCCACCCCTGGTATGAGAACGTGTGATAGTTGCCATTGTCATCCCAGTCACTTTTGCGAGAACCCTGTTGTTTCTATCACTGTAGAGCGGATGATCCTTTACTTAGTTGCTTGGGTCGAAGAGTTGAGAATATGTTTTATGCCTTCGGGCACAACAGCTGACATTGCTCGCAGAAATGCCTCTTTTAAAAAAGTGTTGTAGCAGACATCGTACATCACAAGCTTGCTGATTTTAAGGACTGTCTTGCCCAGGTAGAACTACTTGTTGAGCTTCAATACCTCTATTATTCTCACCCTAATTCCTTTTCATCAAAATAAATCAGGCCTTGCTTCTCACCTTGAAACTTTCCTTTGTCCTCCAGGATCATTTGACGCACACTGAATAAATGCTTTTGTAGAATATTGAATTCTTTATGAGCTTGAAGAACTCTTTGTCAAAAGTTCTTCGTCTACCCGATTCCTGATCGAATTGGAATTTGGAAATGTTGGGTTTTGAGGAGAGGGGAAAACCGGAGTACCCGGAGAAAAACCTCTCGGAGCAAAGGAGAGAACCAAGAACAAACTCAACCCACATGTGGCGTCTACGCCGGGATTTGAACCCGGGTCACACTGGTGGAAGGCGAGCGCTCTCACAACTGCGCCATCCCACATCGCCATCCCTTGCTCCCCTATTACAACCTAATGTCACGGCTTAGTGGTCTAAAAGTGTAACCGTATACAGCTATTTCGAGAAACGTTGTCGGAAAAAGTGCACGCGACAATCCCGAAAGGTATCGTGGGTAGTTTTGAGTTCACTGTTCTTCAATAAAATTTGAAAGAATGGCTCGAGAGGCCATGGACGTATGTTTGTAAGTGCTAAAGGAAAGTAAAAAAGTAGGTTCAATAGCTACAGTGTCAGGAACAGTGTATTGATTATATCCCATGTTACCTTTCGGGATTGTCGCGTGCCCCTTTTTTCCGACAACCTTTCTCGAAGTAGCTGTACACTCTGCGAACTGGAACAAGACTACAAAACAACTTGAGGAACTATAGTGTCTCGCTTCTCTGAGTAAACGTTTTAACTGCAAAACAAACCGTGTAATACAGTACTGTACTGAAGTAAGTAATGGCTTGTTTTTGGTGGGAACATTTGAAGTTCTCTTGAAAGGCTAGACTATAGTTCAGGGAAAACGAGAAGATAACTGTGTTACAGGTTAACAGCCGAGGACAATGTTTTTGTTTCTCTCCACGTGGCGTCTAGAAAGGACGATAATGCCGGGTTTTAAGATACGAGCAGTGGGAGTCCTGTACAGTATTTGGTTATGTATGTAAATTGCTTCCCCCTAAATGTAGTTCACTGTCTTGTTGAGCACCTACGTTTCCGTTTTTGACGTATTTTTCAAGGCATAAACCACTTCACACGTGTCCTTTGACGGTTTCAGAAGTGTACGTTCTTCGTCTTAATGAGGTGTCCGTCTCATAGAGAGTATAGTTACAGTACTGAATGACTTGAAAACGGCAGGGGCCAACACCAGGTGTCTGTCTTATATAGGTGTCTCTTATGAGAGAGTTGAGTGTAGTTTAGCGTGTTTCGTGTGGTCGCTTTCAGTAACAGGCTAACGCGAAAAAAGTATAACGAGAAAAATTCGGTCAAGAGAAATAATTCAACTTTGTTTTACTCTTTGACGGTGGGAATAGTAGATGATTTAACTGGGTGACGATAGTTAATTGAACCTTATTTAATGCTGAACAATAAATGAAACATTTGCAATATAAGGAAACTACATTTATCGGCTATTCATTTACAGTGTTCTGCTGCCCCCTGCTGCCACACAGCAGTAGACTAGTATAGTTTTTAGTTGTATGTTAACTTTAACTTTTTGCTACTTGTTTTGTTTACAGTCCCTTAGAGTGCTTATTAGCATTTAATGACTTTTTTATGGTTCCTCCCAAATATTCAGCAGGCGCTTACCTTACAAAAATATTTCCATGTGGATTAACCACACCCTTTACTTGATTCGCTTGATTTCTGCCACATGGATCATGTGTGGGCCAATTTCCACTCGTGCTACCGTCGAAGTAATAGTAGGCGCTTGCACTGCTGAGAACAGGGCCGCGACTGTCCATCGTGATGGACTTTGGCACAACACCAGCACACTGCTTTGGAACTTGTTGAACAAGTTTACAGCTGAGGGACTCCGCTTTCTGCATCACGAGGCTTCCAGAACCTTCCTTGCAAGCAATCCAGTTGTTGATGTTACTCTTGATAAGGAACTCTTTTCCAATAGTGCGCCACAAAGCAAAGTTCATGGCTTCATAATGCATCTCGCTCAGTGGAACTGTGCTGGACACTCGTGTGTGTGCATTGCTGGCTGTCCATGTAGGCCGTGGAGTGACAGCGTTTGCACTAGACGTGAAACTTGAATAAGCTGTGAAGGTATAACTCCAGGCCAAAGTCCAACCTCCTCCGTCCGTCTGTTGGTCGCAATAGGCCTGGAAAGCGTTGCCATGGGAACCAGCATCGGGGTCAATCCAGTAAACGCCTGACGTGGCAGAAGGCGTTTTCATTTGAAGGTCCTTACAATTCTGTGCTGGAGAATCTTTGGACAGACCTGCGTTTATAACGGAAATGACCATTTGAAAATGACATTTTTTTCTTAAACGACTACCAGCAGCAACAGTTACCACTGAAAAGAAAGGTCAATGGACACAATATCTTTCCACTTACGAATTGAATTTGCGTCGTCCTTGAGTGAAGAAAACTAAGGAAAACATTTTGAGTGGCACTGCTGCACCAGTGTTTCTCGCCTTAATTTTTAATGTTCTTCACAGTTCGAAGAAGCTAAATCTTGTTCCTCTAATTCAGGAATTTACAAGCTTTTCTTACATCGTGGGAGTGACAGATGCATGAAATAACTCAGCACGATTTACTTGGAAATTCTCTGGTCTTATCCTATTTGAAAAAGAATCTTGAGTCGTTACATAGCATTTTAAAGCAAACCACCGCGACTCACCTATCAGGTTCGATTCTACCAGCTGGTATTTGTTATTTACAAGTTGTTTAACAATTTCATTTTTGCAGAGAAACGCAGTCTTATGAAGGTAAAGATTTCCTTTTGGGTCCATCTCAAGAACTCTGTATCGAATTTTCTTATCCAGGGCCCTGCGTACAAATCAAGTTTAACAAGTTACATTAGATTGCATGTGATTAGCTTTCTCCTAACTGATCGCGCATATAAATTCATTGTTTCGAAGAATTTGGTTGGAAGTTTATCCTACAAAACGCTGAAGATATGTGACTAAGCCTGAAAACCGTTTTTGTCCTTTATAACAAAGAATGAATGCTTGAGACTCGAGAAAGCGGTTTACGCGCGAAAGTTTTTAGGAACAGTGTTCTTGAAGAAGAAGAATGATCATATTTTTTCCACGGAAGTTCGAAACTCATTTATTTCGATCAACCAGCGAACTTCTTTTTTAAATATTAGACCCAGTACATTTTGGAAGAGGTTGATTCGGTTTTGACAATTTTTTGCACAAATTGAGCATGAATTGTTCTTTCGTTCAGTTTTAGCATCGACCATGGGAGAGGAAGAAAGGTGTTTTGACTTTGCTTTTGAAAATTCTAGAAACATAAATTTGCAACATTTTACAGCAGATACATACGGAGTTGTAAGTATAATTTTATGATCTGTTTCATTGTTGTTTTTACCCAATAAAAACCTGCAATGCGTTTGCACCCGTTGAGCCATGACCTGATGTATTTTGTTTGTCAAATTAATAAAATATTATTACAATTGCATCCCTAAGTACTTAGAATGCGCTCGATTTTTTGCAAATTTGAGCCGCGTTGTTCTTGAAATTTTTCTTATTTAAAGTTGGGTGTACAGTATTTAGTAATTTTACAGTAAAGTGACAAAAGGAGAGGGTTTAAGCGGCGTGTGAAATCATACAACAACAAAACTATCAATTTTTTCAAATTTGTTTAACAAAAAAAAATAGTGCCTGCTCGGTGAATGCGCGGAAAAGCAAATAAAATAGGCAACCTCTCACCATAAAATTGAGAGTTTTTACATTTATACTCATTATATGTTTAGCATAAACAAATAGAAATCCGAAAAATTGTTACCTTGTTGTGGAAAAACAGAGGCTGGCGATGAAGAGACCCAACGTAAAACGAAACATCGTACAGTGTTTGTCCACTGAATAATGCAATACATTTTCCTTACGATTAACCCGTTTATATGATACTGATATGAGCAACTTGGGTTTATAAATTGCTTAGCATGAGGTCAGACAAGAGTTGTATAAAATATGCCACATTACGGTGACAAGATTTTTTACTTGCGGCATTTTATTTTTAACCCCCGTGATTAATCAATATTCCCTTCCCTAGTCTCCACTGAGGCAAAAGAAACAGAGCATTTTTTTCTTAGTTGCAGAACATTGGAATATCAGGCCGATAGGCGGATGGAAATAACAAGTTTTCGTCGGCTTATAGACCGAATGCAAATATGGCGGACCTCTCGGCCAGCCCGGGTCTAGTTGCGCGAAAGCGAGGCTAGTGAGGCCTCAAGAGTTTTGTGTTGACTGCGCGTCTTAGCGATTGAGTCGATCGATATGGTTTGCTTCGAGTTGTTGCATGCCTGAGCCAGAGGGCCACCAAAATGAAGATTTTACTCTAGCTGGAATAGCCTTTACTTTCCCGAGATCGTTTCACAAAGAAAGTTAAGGATTCATGCGATTCGGCGCGGCGATGGGAAGCACCTAACAGCGAAAGTGTGCTCGCGTCACTTGCTTTAGATGAGAGGACTCACGAAAGTATTTGAATGAAATAATTTTCACAAGAGATGGTGCTGTTCCAAGATGTTTGCACGGTCTGTTATTTATCCAACAAAAGGTAAACATTCTCGAGAACGGGAGCATCCGCTGTGGACTGTAAGATCTTTTAGATTTCACGCTGAAAACAGCTGCTTTAAAATGTAACAACAACAATAACAATCGCCTCTTAATCCTACAAGCGTGGCCTGTGAAACTATGCAAGAACCAGAAGAAAGCGACATATTTCAAGAAGAGTCCTTGACCAAAGTGCACTGAAAAAACTAACAGAGGACCCGTTGCCAACTAAGAAGGTAAGAAGAAGGAAAAAGGTTCTGGCAGAGAAAGAGCGTGCAAGTATTCGAGCATTGTATTTGACCTTGCGCGTGATCTATTTTAGCGACTTGTCGAATCGTTTCGAGATAAACTAACAGCGATTTTCCAAAAATTGTTTCTTTTATGGCACTGCTCAAACTCTTGAACACAGGATCGTGAAGACTGTGAAAACATTCGGCCTTGTTGTCTGTCGTTGTGTCCCTGAGAGCGCCTAAAGACTGGTAAGTCGCGACGGCGGATTCACTTGTTCTCGAAGATATTTACCTTTTCTTGGTAAGAGAACGGACAAAGCAAACTTGAAACAGAACCATGAATCTTTCAGTTATTCACCCATTCTAATAGTTTCGTGAGTCTTCTCTTCTGAAATGAAGCGAACGCACTTTCGTTCTGTTAACTCCGTGATAGTAAAGTGCCTCCATTCGCCGCGCCGAATCGCTTGAATCCATTTCTTTCTTCGTAAAGAACCTTGGCAAAGCAAAGGTAATCAACTGTCATCTCTGCTGGAGTTAAATCTCCTCCTTGATGGCTCTTAAGCAAGTAACAACTCGAAGGAAACTGTATTGATCGACTGAATCGCTGAGACGGGCAGTCAAAACAAACAGGCCTCACTAGCCTCGCTTTCGCGCAACTAGACCCAGGCCGACCGAGAGATCCGCCATATTTGCATTCGGTGTATGGAGTTTTTCTTTGCGGAATGTTTCAATTTACAGAAGAGGTTCTATGTAGCAGGAGTTTGAGCCAATGACTGCTGAAAGATGTTTAAAAAATTTTGAAGAATAAATCAATTATCTTCACAGCAAGGTTTGGAATAATTTATAGAGTACAATTTAAAGAATAGCACGATTGCCAATAGGCTCGGTTTTCAGATCGAATATAGCAGTGCACTGAAAATGCTTGTGCCAAAAATTTGAAATGATGGTTTGTTCTGCCTCAGAGCAATTCGTTGTCGAAATTATTGAACAGCTCTAGTTACGGAATTCTGCTCCAACGATTTCTCTAAAAAAATTAGTTGGCATACTAAATATATCAATGAAAGCTGATACCAGAAATTTCAGGTGGAAATGTTCGCAAAATGTTTCACGAGAGGCGATTTCCTTCTAGGGTCTCTCTAAGTTGTTTTAAGCGCTAATTTTGCACGGAAAATCGAATTATTACTTATTATTGCCAAGTTCTTCTGAAATTTTGGTCATAGCGTTAGGAACCGTTAACCGTGTGACATTACGTAACTGTTTCAGCTTGTTTCGTCATAGTTCAATACGCCTGTAACCACAATGAAGCCACCTTAAGAAACCATTTTATGATTTCATTCGTCAGTTCTTTGTTCTATTTGCTTTTATTGAAAACACATACCAACTCTTGGCCCTTATTTAAAGTGATATACTATTCATATTCTTTCAAAAATATGTATCTTAGGCTATGTTCGCACCAAGCCAGATAGTTTTTGGCCCGGGGGGTATTCGGGATTTCAAGTGACAGGCATGATCGAATGGAGCCAAAAGTCAAGACCCAATAAAATCCCTAGGGCTTCCAGCAAAACCCCAAAAAATTACTGAACCAAATCCCGGTTGAAGTCTTGTATAACACGTGCGATGTAAAGCGACACCATAGTTAACTATTAAACAACAGCAAAACACGTTTGTTTGTACTTTACTCGCAGAACTACGCTGCCAGGGCACTACCGATTCTTTTTAATACCCCCAAAAAATCCCTACTCAAATGAAGCTACCCAAAAAAATACTTGCCAAATTTTCGTACCCAAAAAAATCCCGGAATCAAAAATTTCGATCATCCCCGTCACTTGAAATCCCAAGTAACCCCCCCTGGGGTTTTTGGTGCCGACACTAAAAACTATCCGGTATAGATCATTTTCACTGTCACGCAAGAAACAATTAAATTGGAAACCGTCCAGTGGAAGAAGCCAAGAAAATTAAATGTTATAAAAGACTAATATATAAACAACTTGTCTTAATCTCAGGTCTTTGTGGCCCACAGTTTCTGAGTTATTTGGCGAAACGTTTCATGCACCTTTGTAGAGCTTTGTATGAAGACGCCATATTGGTTCACCGTTTTGGTGCACCAATATGACCGCCGGAAATTAACAAAAACATCTGGAGTTCACTTTTTCTGTAAAAGTTCTTTCTTTTTACTCGAGAACTAGTAGCATACGTGCGCATAAACATATCTTCTAAACCTTGAAATGGTTATACTGCAGAAATTCAAGAGGAGAGACTTCATTTCAACGAGACCGCATTCCTATTTTGGTGTCACGCACTGTGAAAACTCGGAACTTCAAATTGCCGTATTTTCGAAATGAAACATGCTACGGAAATGGAAACTTTAGTCATGATGGATGTTTTATATTCCCTGAATTAAGTTACAATTAAGGCAGTTAATACATTTTTGAATAGTCTTAGAAAGAACGAAGATGAAGCCCAAGTTGATTTACGTTAAAAATTATGGAAAGGGCTAGGGTCACCTATTGTTGATGTGTATTTACTTAAAGGGACTGTGACACGTTTCTGCGCATGTGCGGCAACTTGATTTCTGTTCTGGCGAACAGTTTTTCAAGATTGGCTTTTGGTGAAAAAATCCTCTTCCATCGACCCTGAAACGCCCGAGGAAGCCATAATATCAGTATTCAAGAGCTATTTATTCCATTTTGGAAGTTTTAAACGCCACATTTTGTTTTTTTGTTCAAGCATTGTCGAGAAAATTTGAAGTCATTGAGGAGAAGTGCACGAAGCCTTGTTCGTTGTTGTCAGTGTTCCCACAAACGGATCAAGTGTGGCGTGTAATGTGGTCATCTGGCTTTCATTTCTGTCCATTAATTTTTTCGGAATTTTGGCGGGTCGGTGTGGTAGTGTAAGTTAAGATAAGATAAGAACTTTATTTTAGCACGATAAAAAGATCAGTATTGCTGGTGAGGTCGTGCATACAACAATTACAAGAAAAATAAGGAGTACTGAAAGCAAACGAACAATTAAAAAGTAAAAACTGTTGAAAATGTTTGTAACCGATAT